CGGAGACCAGCCAGAGGAGGGGAGGGGAGGGGAGGGGCCTGAGGTCTGCCCGGGCTGCCCGGCCAGAGCTGCGGTATCCTGTGCGGGAGTCGCTCAGCACAGTGACGGGCAGATGTCAGCATGGCTGACGCGGCTGACCAGCGGAAAGCTGCAGTGTGCAGATGGCCGAGGGACCGGCCCGGGACCGCCTTGCCCGCCGTTCCCCTTACCCACTCCCCTGCCTCCAGCATCCCCCTCCCTCTGTCCCCCACCACAAGGCTGAGCTCAAGTGAAGCCCGGCCTCTCCCCCATGAGGGGCTCCTTGGGAAGGTCCCCCCGAAGAGCCCCTGAGCCGGGAGAGGCTGCGCAGGGCTGGGGCTCCTGCTGTCACCGTGTCTGAGAAAAGGATGGTTTGCAGTTTGGGAAGATTCACTTGCCAGTCATGTGCTGTGCCCACACTGCTGCCCTTGGCTCCTGATTTCCTCCTCAGGAGATCAGGGCGTGGGGGGCTGCGCTGACGCATTCGCCCTCCGGGCGTCTGTGCCTGTTCATCTCCCACGCCCTCCCCGAGCTTCCACTCCGGGCGCCGAGTGCAGACCTGAGCGCTGTCCGAGGAGCGGTTGGCTAGAGGGAGACGGAGACCCCCGATAAAGGGGCCTGTGATAAGGGGTTCCCCAGAGCAGAGCAAGATCTTGGGAGGGGAGGAAGGGAGCAGTCAGGGAGGCGTCCCGTCACAGGGGGCAGAGAGATGGGTCTCAGAGGACAAGGAGGGACCAGGGTTGAGGGCAGGGAAGGGCCTCGGAGGCAGAGGGAACATGCAGGAAGCCTCAGCTGCTGTTCGGGGGACGGGGCGTTGGGTGCAGGTGCCGGGTGGCGGACTGGGCGGGAGGAGCCGTGTACCCACGGCCGCCCAGCAGTGCTGCTCCGCCCGCAGCCTCGCCCACGTCCGTCACCACCTACGAGACCTGCCAGACCTACGAGAGGCCCATCGCCTTCACCTCGCGCTCCCGGAAGCTCTGGATCCAGTTCAAATCCAACGAAGGCAACAGCGGCAAAGGCTTCCAAGTGCCCTACGTCACCTACGACGGTGAGGCCCCAGCTGTCGTCACGGCCCGCTGTGCACCGCTCCGAAGGGGCCCGGGGACACAGAGAGGAGTCGCACCTTCCTGCCCTCGGGGAGCTGTGACCCGGCAGGCACAGACCCAGAAGCAGAACGAACACTCTCAGGGGCCAGAGTCAGGCAGGCCAAGGGTGGTACCGGGCGGTACAGGCAAGGCAGCGGCTAGTGGCATCTGCAGGCTTCGGGTGACGTGCCACCCAAGCAGGGTTTTGAAGGCTAAATTGGGGGTTCTTGGCTGGGCACAGTGGCTCACGCCTGTCACTCCAGCACGTGGGAGGCCAAGGTGGGTGGATCACCTGAGGTCGGGAGTTCAAGACCAGCCTGGCCAACACTGTGAAACCCCGTCTCTACTAAAAATACAAAACTTAGCCGGGTGTGGTGGCGGGCGCCTGTAATCCCAGCTACTCAGGAGGCTGAGGCAGGAGAATCTCTTGAGCCCGGGACGCAAAAGTAGCAGTGAGCCGAGATCATGCCACTGCACTGCAGCCTGGGCAACAGAGTGAGACTCTGTCTCAAAAAAGAAAAAAAAATTGGGGGATTCTTGGCAAAACTCCAAGGAGGACGATACAGGCAGAGGGAGCCCCGCTGAAAGGCACAGAGGCCGAGCCGTGTCCCGCCATAGCTGGGAGCCTGTGGCTGGAGCAGGGGGCGGAGGGCAGAGGCTGGAGGTGGAAGGGGCACCGGTGGGGTCTCAAGCCCCTCGTCTTCCTCTTCCCCGGCTGACCTGCTGCCCAGAGGACTACCAGCAACTCATAGAGGACATCGTGCGTGATGGCCGCCTGTACGCCTCGGAGAACCACCAGGAGATTTTGAAAGTGAGTGAGTTTATTGGAAGGGAATTGTCGTAACCTTGGGATGGGGCCTGTGAGGAGCCGGGGCCACCCCTGCCGCAGCCCTGGCCCCTGGAGAAGCAAGGGAGGATGGATGGTGATGGGGGAGGAGCAGGAGGCCTGGGGGTCCCAGAGCCCTAAGGGCAGGGACTGGGTCCTGCCAGGGAGGCCTGAAGGAAGCTGTTCGGTGGGGATGTGGGGACCGGGACCCAGTGATGTGACCTCGGGCAGACTCCTCGCCAGCTCTCAGCCTCACTCTCCTCATCTGTAGAGGGAGGGTGTTCGGGGGGTGCTATCTCAGAACCGGTGGGATCTACCCAGTGCCGCTGTCACTTGGAGCCCCCCTGCTGCTGGGACTGGGCTCCCTCCTCTTCCTGCTTCTGGCCTGGAGAGGCAGGGCCACCTGGTATGTCACATGGTGGGCACTGGAGACCCAGCCAGCTCAGCCCTGGGCAGCAGCACCGTCAGCCCAGGAGCCCTGGCTGTGGAGGACAAGGGCAGGGCTGGGGGTGGTCTGCAGGCTCCAGAAGGTTCACTGGAGCCCCCCATAGTCTGCCGGTCACACGCTGCGACCCCCGGCCCCCTTCCTCCCCAGGCTGCGCGGGCAGAAACCCGGGACGCACTGGGACTCGCCCTCCTCCCCATCCCTGTTCCCCCGGCTCCACCCTGGAGCGGCGCTCCCAAACGGAGCAGGGTCTGAGGCTGGCCGGGGACACACACCTGGTCCGCAGCAGCCCTCAGCTCCTCACGCCCACCAGGGCCTCGGGAACGTTCTTCCCCAACTCTTTCCCCATCTTCTCCCTTCAGCTGGGTCACCCTGTCGTCCTCTGTGGGGTCTGCCCGGCTCTCCCTGACCTGGGTACATCCTTCGCAGACCCTTGGGTCCCGGTGCCCCTCCTTTCTGGCATCCGCCAGTACCCACTTTAGGTTTGTTGTGTGAATATTTAGTCCGTGCCCCGAGCTGCCTGGGTTCATGGTCAATTCTGCCTCCAGGACTGGCACCTTGCCCAGCACAGGATGGCAGGAGTGCCCGTCTCCAGGGTGTGGGCTCAGGGCACACGTGTGTGGTGAGTGTGGGGGAGGGTGTGGACTGTGGTGTATTTGTGGGTGGTGTGTCTGTGCTGTGTGGTGCGTATGTAGGGGTGTGTATGTAGGGGTGTGGGGTGTGTGGGGTGTGGTGTGTAGGGATGAGTGGGTATATGGTGTGTGTATAGGGGGTGTGGTGGGTGTGTGTGTAGGGGTGAGTGTGTGGTGAGTAGGTGTGGTGTATATGGGGGGTACATGGAGGTGTGCTAGATGTGTGTGGGGTGTGGTGGGTGTGTACGCAGAGAGATTCGTGTGTGCCAGGACAGGTCCGCCCCAGAGACAGCAGATCGGCCACAGTTGCCAGGACGAGGAGCCCTCGTGCCCAGTGGAAGTTGCCACCGTTTGCTGAGCAGCTTCCCTGGGCCAGGCTCTGGAGACTCTGTCAGGAACCAGACCTCCACCAGACCGCTTACCTCTGCTCTGTAGTTTCTGCCCAGCGTGGTGGCCGGTGCCCCACCAGAGAGACGAGACACTGGGTCTCAGAGAGGGCAGGGACTGGATCTGCCCCAGAGGTCGCTTCGGGAAAACAGTCCCCCGTTCGCTGCCAAGATCCCCACGGCAAGCAGACGGCCTCGGGAGGCCGAGGCGGGTGGATCACTTGAGGTCAGGAGTTTGAGAACAGCCTAGCCAACATGATGAAACCCCGTCTCTACTAAAAATACAAAAATTAGCTGGGCATGGTGACGGGCACCTGTAATCCCAGCTACGTGGGAGGCTGAGTTGTGAGAATCACTTGAACCCAGGAGGCGGTCTGCAGTGAGCCAAGATCACTGTACTCCAGCCTGGGCGACAGAGTGACACTCAGTCTCAAAATACTAATAATAACCAGTTATGGCCGGGTGTGGTGGCTCACACCTGTAATCCCAGCACTTTGGGAGGCCGAAGCAGGTGGATCACCTGAGGTCGGGAGTCCAAGACCAACCTACCCAACGCGGTGAAACCCCGTCTCTACTGAAAGGATAAAACTTAGCCAGGTGTGGTGGCATGTGCCTGCAGTCCCAGCTGCTCGGAAGGCTGAAGCAGGAGAATTGCTGGAACTCAGGAGGCGGAGTGTTGTGAGCCGAGATACACTCCAGCCTGGGTGCCGGAGCCAGATTCTGCCTCCGTAAATAAATAAATAAATAACCCGTTACGCTATTAAAACCAAAAGCAGCTCTGTGGGGTCCTGAAACCTACCAGCCAGCCCAAGTCACCCAGCCTGGCCAGGCCCCGCAGACCCTGCAGACGCAAGCCTCCCCCCACCCCCACTCTATCTTGCAGGACAAGAAGCTGATCAAGGCCCTGTTCGACGTGCTGGCCCATCCCCAGAACTACTTCAAGTACACAGCCCAGGAGTCCAAGGAGATGTTCCCACGGTCTTTCATCAAGCTGCTGCGCTCCAAAGTGTCTCGGTTCCTGCGGCCCTACAAGTAACGCGGGGAGTGGCCCTGCCTGGGGCCGGCCTGGTCCACGGAGGGCGCACCTGCCCTCCACAGCGGGAGCCGTACAGGCCTCCACGTCGCCTTGGGAACCCACGGCACTCCCCTTCAGGGAAGCCGACCAGCCCGTGGAGTCGGAGCCCAGGCACCCTTCGGACCCGCCACCCCAGCGGGAGCACCCTGCCTCCCTCCGCCTCCTTCCTAGGACACCAAGAGCACCCTCTCCTGAGTCCCGGCGGACCGACTGCAAGCAGCAGGATTGCGGGACCCTCCACCTGGCGTTTTGGGATCCGGAGGCCAGGCGGAGGGAGGAGGGGCCCGAGGCGCCGGCGGGGGATTCGGCTGAGCCTGTGCCGGCGTCCTGGGGCCCCACGCTCTGCTGACTCCGGCCACAGGCGAGGCCACCGCTCCAGGCTGCTGGGCTCCCAGGATTCTGTGATCGGCGGCACAGAGCCGCCAGGGGAGGAGACTAGGTTTCTGCTTGCTTTCAACAGACATTTAATGAAGTACTCTCTCTATATATAAATATAAATATAAAATATATATATATATATATATATATATATATACTTCTATTTGTGGGTAATTTAGGAAAAAATGCTCTTTGGTCACTGTAAATATGAATCGTGACCCCATCCCTTCCCGCATGAGCCCAGTGAGTCCCAGCAGCTCTAAGCCTCCCTGGATGATTAAACAACTCCCAGCCTTTGCCCTTCCGTCTCTTCGAGGCTGGGGACCCCCGGGGCTGGGGGAGCACAGCTGGCCTTGGACTTGCTTCAGAACGGGAATTCTTCGGGAACTGGGCTTGGAGGCTCTGCTGGCGTGTCGGCCCGGCCCCAGTCCCCCTGCCAGCAACACCACTGCCCTCGGACGAGACTCGGTGGAAGACACTTTCCCCTCAGACCCGTACCTAGGATGTGCAGGGGCCAGCAATACACCGCAGAAGGGGCCTTGGCTCTGACCCTGTGGCAGTGACCTTGGGGTCCGTACTGTGCCCACGCGTCACCAGGAAACAAGGCCTTGCTCACGGGAGCAGAGGCTGTGCTACCACGAGGGGCCTCAGAGCAGCCAGGAGGGAAGGGGGAGAGCGGCGCTGGCTGTCGGAGTCGGAGGCCCGGCCCCCAGCACAGCCGCCTCTCACCACACCATGCTGTCCCCACTCAGAGGGAAACCTCTTTCCTTTCGTGTCGAGGGAAGAGGCTTAATTGACTCCCAGTTCCACGTGGCTGGGGAGGCTTCAGGAAACTTGAGAACCTCTTCACAAGGAGGCGGGGGAGAGAAGTCAAGCTGGGGGAGAGCCGGGGGAGAGAAGTCGGGGCTGTGGCCGGGCGCCTGTGTTCCAGCCGGCAGGGAGGCCGGAGCCTGCTCATCGCCTGCCTGTGGGCTGTGGACCTGCCGGGGAAACAGTCTGTATTTTTCAAGTTAAGAAGTACTGAAAATCCCAAGGAGCATGGAAGAATCTTAAAACGAAGTCCAGTCTTCAGCTCAAAGTTGCCTCTCGGGCTCCTCCTGGTCCCACAGGCCGAGCCTGGCTGCCGAGAACCGAGCACGGTTTGAGGCTGTGACCCACGGCGCGCTGCCCAGATGGAGGCAGCAAGGGAGGTCCCTCTAGGCTTGGGGACGAGGGACGCAGGTCATCACATGTTCTACAGCCCCAAAGAGCTCGGAGCTCAGGAATCACTCACGTGTCCCGCAGCAGCGCGGCCCCCAGCCTGGCTGCCGCCGCCATCAGCCACCTTCCCTGCCGAAGTCCAACTCGAGCCGGAGAGAGTGGAGCCTCTGCACCCGGTGGATAGGTCACTGTCCACTAACGAGCCATGCCCGGGGCCACACTGCCCCTCCTCTAGTCACGGTCCTCGCAGCCCTGGTTTCTGGAAAGAGGCCTCCCTCCCTCCCTCTGTCAGGCCATCAGTCGTCCCCAAGAGGAGAGAGGAGCGTCCTTCTGAAAGATCCTGAGCAGCAGCTCCTCAGGGGATGCCAGCAGGATTGTCACCTCTTCATGAGTGTTCTCCAAAGAAACACAACCCAGGAGACCGAGGTGTGGACATGTGAGGGGCTGCATTACAGGAACTGGCTCACGGATTTCCAGAGACCAAGAAGTTCCAGCATCTGCCACCTGCCAGCTGGGGCCCAGGCAGAGCCACACCCTAACTCGGCCTGAGTTCAAGGCCTGAGAAGCCAGGGGCCACCTGTGAGTCCCAGCATCCAGCGCCCGAGAACCAGGACGATGGCCGTCCCAGCTCCGAGACAGAGGATTCTCCCTTCCTCCACCTTCTGTCCTGTCTGGGCCCTCAACTGACTGGATGGAGCGGACGTTTCACTCAGATGCTAACCTCGTCTGGAAACGCTCTCACGTTCTCCCAGCTAGCTGGGTCTCCCTTCACCCAGCCAAGACCACCATGAAATCAACCATCACGCCTGAGGGTTTTTAAATCCGTTCCAAAAACAGAAAGAACTCTTCACCTCTCTGAGCTCCTTTCTGCAGTTCCTTTGGGTGGTTTCTGAAAGTTGCCACCCACACCCCCACAGATCCACTGCCCACCGCCCCTCCCGTCATGTTCCACGACGCGCCCCCGTGGTCAGACCCTGCCCAGCATGCCCGGGGCAGGTTGGCCGGGCAGGTGCAGATGCAGCCCAGCCTGGCAAGCCTCGCTGTAGCCCCCAGCCGTGAGAGCCCATGAGGAGTTGCGAGGGCACCAGCAGCCCCTCTGGGCCTCCCACACCATCTGGGTGACCTGAGGTCCAGGGCTGGACACTGTCTTGAGCCGCCACATTGGCCTCACGCTGGGGAACGTGGGGGTCCCCCCGTTCAACTAGAGCCGACAGAGCAGGACGGTCCCAAGGAGAGCTCCGTGGGCAGCAAAACGCATTTCTTCCGGTTGGCGCGCCGTCAAAGCCAACGGCAGCTTCACCGACGTGAGGTGGCCGTCCCGCCTGGCCCACGGCGGAGGCGTAGAGAAGCGAAGTGGGGAGCGAGGACGGGGCCAGGTAGGACGGGTCCACATGACGAGGCCCAAGAACAGACAGGCTGAGGGCGGGGCGGGCGGAGACCCCGTGCCCTCCTCAACTGTGGCCTGAGCGGCTGACGCGGCCCCCAGTGCCGCTCGCTGTGATCCAGGGACAGGAGCAAGGGGCGGGCCGCCGGGGGTCCCCACTCCGCCATCCGGCCGGGACGGAGGCAGCTGCCCGGTCTCCAGGCTTCCCTGAGCTCGGGTCAGCTCCCGGTGGGACAGCGCACCCCAGGCAACCAGAGGCCGGGAAACGGGGTGTCTCCCGCACAGCTCCCAGGCGTCAGACGGGACCCAGGCGTGGGAGGAGCTTTCTGTCCCACATTCCCGGCATCCCAAGTTGGTTTCTACTTTCCAGAAGCCACAGATACGGAGGTAACCCGCGGCAGGGTGTCCAGGCCGGCCCGGCGCTCGCCGCCGCCCAGGATGAGACGGCCCCTCCCGGTCCTTCCCCGCACCGCGGCCTCCCTCCTCCCCAGCTCTTGCCGCCCCTGCCCCACACAGGTCATCCTGGCCCGCCGGTGACCAAATGCTCACTCCCCAAGGGGACAGTGTGGCCCACTCCTCCTCCACCTCCGTGGTGGCCCAGGCAGCAGGGCCCATGGTGGAGGCCTCAGGCAGCTTTCCCTCCGGCAACCCACTGGCTTGGGACAGATACACAGATGAAGTAGAGCGGACACGTGGGCCAAGACGTCCCCAGACAAGGAGGGCACAAGACGCCACATCTGAAAGCCCTGGGGGAAGCGCTTTCCCCGCCTCTGGCTAGCGTGCTTTTCTGTCTGAATGGCCTCCCTTTCACGCACGCTCAGGAGACGCTCGGGCCACAGGCAGCGTCTCGGGGAAGCCTCTCCCCCGGGCTTGTCCACAGCAGGAAGCCCCTGGCCTGTCCAAGCCACAGCAATGCTTAACTTACATTTTTGGAGTTGAATCTTATTCCAGCGCCTCCACCACCCCCAGCAGTAAAATAAGACACCGAAATAAGTTGAGTCATTTAGCAAGCACCTGTGTGCCAGGCTCCCAGTGCCCTGCACAGACGCCAGACTACCCCGGACAGCCTGCTCAGCTCGCCTGGCACAAGGTGTGCCCCGCAGGGAGAAGCCCTCCTCACCCAGGGAGTCCAGCCGTTGTCACCTTCTCTGGTCCATACTCAGGAAATCTGGTCGCCCTGGCGAACTGCACCTGACGCTGGGCCCCTTTTCTTCACCAAAGACGTACAGGTGTCCGTGCCGAGCCGACGTCATTCAGGCCAAGCACAGGGGATGTGATGGGGGATGGAGGGAGGCCGTGGAGAGAGCAGGGAGCTCCTATTCTCCCATGGATCCCTGGCCCTTCCAGGAGCGAGTCCTGGGCAGGCAGAGCTGGAGTCGGCCTGATCCCACCTGCCTTGCTCTTGGAAAGGACATCAGGTGTGAGCAAAGCACCCTTGCAGCCCAGACAGCACAGGCGCGGCCCACGTGCCTCCCAGCCCCTGCGGCAGCACACCAGTCAGAGCCCCCGGGTGAGCCCCCTGGAGCTGTCTGCAGGCCCCAGGCCCCAGGCTCAGCCCTCTGATATCCACACACCTCATTCTCCCAGCCTGTGTGGACGCTGGGGTTCAGCTCATCCTTCAGATGTGGAAATGAAGGCTCCGGGAGACCGCAGGACATGCCCAAGGCAAAGAGTTCGTAGCTCCTGGGTTTGGGAATCACGTGCAAGTCCATCTGCTCCCAGGGCAGCAAACGTCTCTAAAACGTCGATCGCTCTGAAGCTTACACACTGGAAACCGGGCCAGGTCGGCCAGGGTGGTGGAGTCCAGAGACAGAGAGAAGGCTGCAGGCAGGGGAGAGCGCGGCCAGGAGTCGGGGCCAGGGTGACTTCAGTGACATTCCCTCCCTCCTCAGGCACGAAGGACAGCTTCCGCCTTCCCTACCAGGCAGACAGGACACTCTCCGTGCCAGCGTGAGCAGACACAGCCAGAGGCTCAAGTGCCCTTGTGAGTGCCCCGCTGCTCTTGGGGAGGCCCCGGCACAGCCCACAGAGATGCGAGTGAGAGGGCGCCCGGTGCCCTCGGCAGACAGCTGGCGGGAAGCAGAGCGAGGCACAGGGAGCTGACGGATGCTGGGTGTCTTGTTCCGCTGAGGTCAGAACCGCCAACAGGCCGAGCAGACCCAGGCCACGTTGCTCGGGGAACAGGACCCCAGGGCGCTGGACCGTCCAGGCCCTTGGCAGTGACTCTGTCTGCAAGAGTGACGAATGCCAACATAACCAATCTTCCTTTCAGCGGCCGCAACTAATCAGTTTTGTTTTATCCGCCATGTCCCCCATATGCATGTAAGGAAACACTTGTGAAAATCACTTTAATAATAAACAGGAAATGGACCTAAATATTGCTCTCTTCGCTTGTTCAGCGGAAGGCATGAGTTGGGGGGAAATGCTCACTGAAATCCAGGAAAGAAAAAATCACGGAAGAAATTCCGGGACGCTATGGAGGGCCGAAAGGAAGGAGCTGAGAACCCTCTGGAAAGCACAGCATCGAGCCTGAGGTCCACACGCAGAGGCAGGGGCGCCCACATTTAGGAAACAGGCATGTTCCTGACTGGCAGAAAGCAAAATGCCCGGATTTCAAATCCCATTTCCCCGCATGACGCATGCCGGGGCTTTAATCTAAAAGTCGTGGTCACGGTGAGCCTCAGGGAATCTATGACTTCTCAAAGTTAGCCATGCAGTGCTGTGTGTGTGTGTGTGTGTGTGTGTGTGTGTGTGTGTGCGCGCTCACGTGCGCGAGATGTACAGGTACATACTTCTGTTTCTCTGGGAATATGGCCCACAGCTTTCCTCAGGTTCTAAAAGCAATCTAGGTCCAGGTGCAGTGGCTCACGCCTCTAATCCCAGCACTTTGGGAGGCCAAGGCTGGAGGACTGCAGGTGTCCAGGAGTTGGATCGAGACCAGCTTGGGCAACGTGGCGAGACCGGATCTCTACAAAAAATGAGAAATAAAAAATAAGAACTGAGCAAAAGACATATACATGCATTTCACAGAAGAAGAAACAGGAATGGCCAATTACCATTTGAAAAGGTGCCCACCCTCATTAATAATCATGGAAATACAGGCTGCTCTGCTCAGGAATAGCCATGCTTTGCTTTCTGTTTCTTTATTCCTTCAATAAACTTGCTTTCTCACACACAAACGACAACAAAAATATACCATGGTAGCACTAGGTTGGCAAAAAAAAAATGTGATAGGATTAGAATCAGAGAGGATATAGACCAACTTACTATACACAAATGGGGAATCTCTTTTGTGTGTGTGTGTGTGTGTGTGTGTGTGTGTACCAGGAAATATACAAAAATATTCATAGCCTCATATTTGTTTATTATGAATCATAGTCACATAGTTAAATATTACATAGCTATGAAAATTAATTCACAGCCGGGTCTGGTGGCTCACGCCTGTAATCCAAGCACTTTGGAGGCCAGGGCAGGCGGATCACCTGAGGTCAGGAGTTCAAGACCAGCCTGACCAACATGGTGAAACCCCGTCTTTATAAAAGAAAATGAATCCACATCCTGCAACAAAAGGGTTCTATCTTAAAAACAAAATGTGCAGGAACAAGACCAAAATGTGTACTGGAGGTCCGGTCAGGACAGCTAGGCAGGAAAAAATACAAAGGGCATCCAGACTGGAAAGGAAACAGAATTATCCGTTTGCACATGTCCTGATCTTATATATGGAAAATACTTAAGGAATCCACAAATAACGGTTAGAGCTAGCAAAATTCACAAGGTTGCAGGACATAAGATCACTATATAAAAGTCAGTTGTAGGCTGGGCACGGTGGCTCACGCCTGTAATCCCAGCACTTTGGGAAGCCAAGGTGGGTAGAGAGCTGAGCTCAGGAGTTCAAGACCAGCCAGGGCAACAGGGTGAAGCCTTGTCTCTACCAAAAATACAAAAAATTAGCCAGGCATTGTGGCGCACACCTGTGGTCCAGGTACTCACGAGGCTGAGGTGGGAGGATCGCTTGGGCCTGGGAGGCAGAGATTGCAGGGAGCCAAGATCCAGCCACTTCACTCCAGCCTGAGTGACAGAGTAACACCCCGTCTCAAGAAAAGAAATTAAAGAAGATCTGTATTCATGGGTTGGAAGACAATATTGTTAAGCTGACAATACTCCCCAAATTGATCTGCAGATTCAACGTGATCCCTATGAAAATCCTGGCTGACTTCATGCACGAGCTGACATGTGAGTCCTAAAATTCACAGAGAAATGCAGGGGACCCATAGTAGCCGAACAGCCTTGAAAAAGAACAAAGTTGGAGGATTCGACTTCTCATTTTTAAAACTACGAGTTTACATTAATCAAGATTGTGTGGTACAGGCATAAAGATAGACAAATGGATCAGTGAAATAGAATTCAGAGTCCAGAAATGACCCTTAAATTTATCATCCATCAGCTGGTTTTCAACAAGAGTGCTGAGACCATTCAATGGGGGAAAAAGTAGTCTTTTCAACAAATGGTACTAGAACAACTGGATATTTGCATGTGAAAGAAGGAAGTTGGATCCCAACCTCGTATACCAAAAAATCAACTCAAAGTGATCAAGGGCCGAAATGTAACAGCTGAAACTATTAAATGCTTAGAAAAAGACAGGTAAATAAATCCTTGTGATCTTGAATTAGGCAGTGGCTTCTTAAATGTAACACAGAATTATAAGCCACCAAAGAAGAAAATACATAAATTGAACTTCACCAAAACTGAAAACTTGTACTTCAAAGGACACTGTAAAGAAAGTGAAAAGATAACTCACAGAATGGGGCAGGGGGAGAAAAACCTTGACAAATCTTATATCTGATAAGACTCCAGTATCCAGAATATATTAAGAACTCTTACAATTCAACAGTAAGACAAATAACCTAATTTTAAAATGAACAGGCCGGGCACCGTGGCTCACACCTGTAATCCCAGCACTTTGGGAGGCCAAGGCAGGTGGATCACCTGAGGTCAGGAGTTTTGAGACCAGCCTGGACAACATGATGAAACCCCCATATCTACTAAAAATAGAACAAAAAATTACCAAGGTGTGGTGGTGCACACCTGTAAACCCAGCTACCAACCAGGAAGGCTGAGGCAGGAGAACTGCTTGAACCCGGGAGGAGGAAGTTGCAGTGAGGCGGGCTAGCACCATTGCACTCCAACCTGGGCGACAAAAGCAAAACTCCATCTCAAAAAAAACAAAAAAATGAACAAAGAAGGCCAGACACAGAGGTTCATGCTGTAATCCCAGAACTTCGGGAGGCCAAGGTAAGAGGATCACTTGATGCCAGGAGTTCAAGACCAGCCTGGGCAACAAAGCAAGACCCTGTCTCTATGTCAACAACAAAGAACGGACAAAGGGGGGTGATTGAGGTTGGTTTTTAAAAACTTTTTTTTTAAAGTGACTTTTCTTCAGCCAGAAAGGTGATTTATTTTAATGCTGAGTACACAAAGGCCAGAGAAACACAGACAGAAAATACAGGTATGTACTTACCAGGAAGAATATAGCCATCTTCAACTGAGGGGAAAAAATCCCGTCTATCCAAACCTCAAGATTCAGACCTCACAGCTGAGATCAACAGCTGAGATATCCCAACCAGGATGGGGAAAGCCCTCCCCAGCCATTTCCCAAATAAAGCAGAACTCAAACCAAATTCAGGACTTCTGTCCAAGAGAGACTTAGCAGGTGGGAGAAGTGACTCGTGTCAGAGGGCCCCAGTGTGTGGTTCTCCCCAGGGGGAGTCAGCTCTGGGTCCCACTTCTGACACCATGTGTGTTAAAATCAAACATGCAGAGACAAATCTCTAAACTTAATGTGTGTGTAGTTTTTCTTTTGGTTTTTTGTTTTTCGTTTCTCTTTGTTATTTGTTTGTGTTTGGAGACAGGGCTTCACCCTGTTGCCCAGGCTGGAGTGCAGGGGCACAGTCATGACTCACTGCAGCCTCAGCCTGCAGGTTGCAGCAATCCTCTCGCCTCAGTCTCCCAAGTAGCTGGGACTACAGCCACACACCACCACACCTGGCTAATTTTTGTATCTTTTGTACAGACAGGCTTTCATTATGCTGCTCGAATTCCTGGTCTCAAATTCCTGGGCAAAGCAATCTGCCCACCTTGACCTCCCAAAGTGTTGGGATTACAAGCATAAACTACCATGCCTGGCTGAAATGTTATTTTATTTGGGAAGAAAGAACTGCAATTTACGGCATATGTAGTTTGTCCAAAGAACAAAGAGAAGGTTAGAGGTTTTATTTTAAATAAAACAGAGAAATGGGCCAGACACAGTTGCTCATGCCTATAATCCCAGTGCTCTGGGCTAAGGCAGGAGGATCGCTTGAGGCCAGGAGTTTGAGACCAGCCTAAGCATGACAGTGAGACCCCGTCTCCACAAAAAAAAAAAATTAAAAATTGGCTAAGTGTAGTGGCACATGTCTGTAGTCCTAGCTACTCAGGAGGCTGAGGTGGGAGGATTGCTTGAGCTCAGGAGTTCAAGGCTGCAGTGAGCTATGATGGCGCCGCTGGCCACCACACTGCAGCCTGGGCAACAAAGTCAGATCCTTCTTCAAAAAGAAAAAAAATAAGAAATGTTACTTATTGCTCTTCGAGGAAGTTCACTGGCACTCCTAAGGGTTTGGGGAATTAGCAAGCTCAGACTGGTGAGCAAAATTAGTCCTAGAGTTGCAGTCCATTATCTCAGAAGCGATCGGTAAAACTGGTTTTAGGTTACAACAAGCAGTTTCAGCAGTTGGACTTACAGAGAATTACATTTTGAGAACAGTGCACTCCAAGTGCTTTTCCCTCTTGGCTTCTCAGCTCTGTTTCAGTTGGGTATGACAAGAATGACCCAATTCTTTTTTTTTTTTTTTTTTTTTTTTTTGAGACAGAGTCTAACTTACGCCTCCCGGGTGAAAGCGATTCTCCTGCCTCGGCCTCCTGGGATTACAGGCATGCGCCACCACGCCTAGCTAATTTTTGTATTTTTAGAAGAGACAGAGTTTCACCACGTTGGTCAGGCTGGTCTTGAACTTCTGACCTCGTGATCCGCCCACCTCGGACTCCCAAAGTGCTAGGATTACAGGCATGAGCCACCACGCCCAGCAGAATGACCCGATTTTTAGGATCAACTTTGACAAAGTCATTGTCTTGGGTTCAGGCTCCATGTATGAAAAACATTTTTTTCCCTTTTTTTATTTTTTATTTTTTGAGACAAAGTTTCTCTCTTGTTGTCCAGGCTGGAGTGCAGTGGCACCATCTTGGCTCACCGCAACCTGCATCTCCTGGGTTCAAGCAATTCTCCCACCTCGGCCTCCGGAGTGGCTGAGATTATAGGCATGTGCCACCACATCCGGCCAATTTTTCTGTATTTTCAGTAGAGATGGGGTTTCTCCATGTTGGTCAGGCTGGTCTCGAACTCTCGACCTCAGGTGATCCACCTGCCTTGGCCTCCCAAAGGGCTGGGATTACAGGCACAAGCCACCTTGCCCGGCAGAAAAACCCACTTTCCATGAGTAGCCTTGGCACAGCTCTCAGCAAAAGAAGCTTTCAGAGACCAAAGGGTCAACCTGGGCTTTTGATTTTCAGGATGGGAGGGCCTTTTTTTTTTTTTTTTTTTTTTTTTTGAGACGGTGTTTGGCTGTTTCACCAAGGCTGGAGTGAACTGGCGCAATCTCAGCTCACTACAACCTCTGCCCCCACCCCAGGTTCAAGCAATTTTCCTGCCTCAGCCTCCCAAGTAGCTGGGATTATAAGCACCTGCCAACACACTCAGCTAAATTTTGTATTTTTAGTAGAGACGGGGTTTCACCATGTTGACCGGGCTGGTCTCAAACTCCTGACCTCAGGTGATCCACCCGCCTCGGCCTCCCAAAGTGCTGGGATTACAGGCGTGAGCCACCGCGCCCTGCTATGGAAGGACATTTTCAACTTTTTTCCCCCTCTTTCTCTCTCTTCTTTTCCATGGGGAGGGGGATGGCGATAATGAGAGGAAAGAGGTCATTTTAATGTTGAATAAATGCACGTTGAGCGCCTCTTTAGAAGATAACATTTCAGCTGAGAAGAATGAGTCAGAATTAACAAAGTGAGCATGGAGACAGAGGGCTTTCTGGCAGAAGACGAAGCCCACTGCGTTCCAGGAGCTGAAGACAGCTAGAGAGGTAGGGACTCAGTGTCGGGGAAGAGGGTGACGAAAAGAGGCTGGGAACGTCGGCAAGGCACAGAGCCCTGGAGCTCACAGGAAGGGATGAGCCACGAACGGTTTCAAGTGGAGATCGGATACAACTGGGTTTCCATTTGGGGAGAAGCATGTGAGACAGGCCTGCCCTGCGAGCGCCTCACGTTCTCCTGGTCAAAGAGACTGGGACGGAGTGCTCACATGGGAGCACGAGGAGTGCTCACAGTACCTTGTCTTCCCCAGCACGACGGGACACCTAGGAGAATGTGGGCTGGCCGGGAGCCACTACGGCCGTCTTACTATCACGAGAGGACAGTCTATTGGAGAGAGGCTGAAAGAAGATGATGACAGTGAAGGACACCTGGCCTGAGCTACTCCATCTTGCCTTTAACTTCTGCTGCCTGTATTAGTCCATTTTCACTGCTGATAAAGACGGGGCAATTTACAAAAGAAGGAGGTCTGACGGACTTACAGTCCCGTATGGCTGAGGGGCCCGCACAATCATGGCAGAAGCCGAGAAGGAGCAAGTCATGTCTTACACGCATGGCAGCAGGCAAAGACGGGGCGCTTGTGCAGGGAAACTCCCATTTGTATGTATTCATGTTTCTGAGACAGAGCCTCACTCTGTTGTCCAGGCTGGAGTGCAATGGCGCAATCTCAGCTCATGGCAACCTCCGCCTCCTGGGTTCAAGCGATTCTCCTGCCTCAGCCTCCTGAGTAGCTGAGATTACAGGCACGCGCCACCACGCCCAGCTAATGTTTTGTATTTTTAGTAGAGACGGGGTTTCACCATGTTGACCAGGATGGTCTCGATCTCTCGACCTCGTGATCCACCCGCCTCGGCCTCCCAAAGTGCTGGGATTACAGGCGTGAGCCACCGTGCCCAGCCAAAAAGAAATGTTTAATTAGCTGGGTGTAGTGGTACACACGTAGTGCACCTCCCAGCTTCTTGAGAGGCTGAGGCAGGAGGATCACTTGAACCTAGGCATTCAAGGCTGCAGTGAGCTGTGATTGCACCACTGCACTCTAGCCTGGGTTACAGAGGGAAACTCTGATTCAATATATATATTTATATTTTTAGTAGAGACGAGGATTCGCCATGTTGGTCAGGCTGGTCTCAAACCCCTGGTCTTGTGACCCACCCACCTCGGCCTCCCAAAGAGCTGGGATCACAGGCATGAGCCACGGCGCCTGGCCGAATGACCCGATTCTTAGGATCAACTTTCACCATGATCCAGGGATTTTTGCAATGATCCAGTCTATGAAGAAGCTATTTCTTACCTAATTGCAGTATAATATTGTTGTTTGCTTAATATTCACGGTGCGATCCTGCTGCCCCTGCCCACCTACGACCTGAGTTGTGCCTGTTCTTTGTCCTGCAGGACACGTGCAACCTTAGGGAAATTACAGTTCAGGTGTTAATGGAAGTGTGTGGGAAACGGAGGCAGCGGTTCTGCTCTACCTTGTGTGGAGGAGGCTGAACACTTGCTGGAGTGGTTTTGTGCTCTTCTATGTGGTCTAAGTCTAGTTTACATATTAACGTTTAGTCTTTTATTCGTACTGTGCAATAAACCTTTTCGGGAGCACTAAACCAAAACAAAAACATCCCAGAAAGCCATACTTAACTATAAATTAAGTTCTGAATTTCAACGTCTCTAAGTTGATTATGAACGTGAAACTTCCACAAAATGTCAACCTTCGCCTTCCATCATGGAGGTCAAAGATCAATCGCCAGCCTCAAACAAGATGACGCAATGCCGATTCAGAAGCATCACGTCTATCAAAACGCAGGAATTATTTTAAGACGACACCTGAAATCAGAACGTGGCTCTGCAGAAGCGGGTTTACGTATCACCCTGCGAATCGTGACTCTTCGCTTAGACCAAGTGACTTTCTTCAGAGAAGGACTCAGGGTGACAGTATTAATCACGCGTTTTCCCGGCCGGGCGCGGGGGTCACGCCTGTCATCCCAGCCCTTCGGGAGGCCGAGGTGGGCGGATCGCTCGAGCCTGGACAACACGGGGCGACGCCGTCTCTACCACAAACGCAAAAATCAGCCGGGTGTGGCGGTGCACGCCTGTGACCGCGGCTGCTGGGGGAGGCTGAGGCCGGAGGACCCCGTGCACCCCGGAGGGGGAGGCCGCTGTGCACTGAGACGGTGCCGCCGCCTTCCAGCGCGGGCCGCGGAGCGAGACGGGGCTCCATCTCAGAAAACGGGCCAGCGCCTGTAATCCCAGCACCCTGGGAGGCCCAAGAGGGTGGATCCGCTGAGATCAGGGGTTCGAGACCAGCCTGGCCAACATGGTGAGACCCCAGCTCCACCAAAAACACGGAAGTTAGCTCGGCGTGGTGGCGCCCATTCCAAATCCAAAATGAAGGAACGGAGAAGGGCGCCGACCCCGCAGCGTCCAAATCCGGAGACGCGCTCCCAGGAACCGAGTCCGTCCTCCCCGGGGCGCGCCTGCGGACGTCCGCGCTACCGCCCCGCCGGCTTCCGGCCCCGGGGCCCCTTCCGGGCGGGCGGTGGCGCCTCTTTCCGGTCAGCCGGACGCAGGTGCCCCGCCCTCCCGGCATTCCCCGGGGTGGCCGCGGGCTGAGTGAGAAAAGCTCCGCCCCCACCACCCGCGCGTGCGTACAAGGTGGCAGCTCGAAACCACGGGCGCAGCCATAGGCGCGCGCCCCGCCCCTCAAGCCCGCGCTCACGCACTCGCCTCGCGGACGCACAGTGCGTGCTCTGGGGCCGCCAGTAGCCGGCTCGGGGCGGGCGGGAGGCCAGGAGGGGGGGCGGGGCGAGGCGGGAGGGGGCGGGGCGAGGCGGGAGGGGGCGGGGCGAGGCGGGAGGGGCGGGGAGGGCGGGAGGGGGCGAGCGGGAGGGCGGGGAGTGCGGGGCGGGCCGAGGCGGGACGGCGGGGAGGGCGGGGACGGCGGGGAGGGCGGGGACGGCGGGGCGGGGCGGGCCGAGGGGGGAGGGCGGGGAGGGCGGGGCGAGCGGGGCGGGCCGAGGCGGGAGGGCGGGGCGAGCGGGACGGCGGGGCGGGGCGGGCCGAGGCGGGGCGGGGCGGGCCGAGGCGGGAGGGCGGGGCGGGCGGGGCGAGCGGGACGGCGGGGCGGGGCGGGCCGAGGCGGGGCGGGGCGGGCCCAGGCGGGAGGGCGGGGCGAGCGGGGCGGGCCGAGGCGGCGGCGCCGGAGTCGGCGCGGGTGCGGCGCCATGGAGGCCGAGCGGGGCCCCGAGCGCCCGCCGGCGGAGCGCAGCAGCCCGGGCCCGACGCCGGAGGAGGCTGCGCGGGCCCTGGCCGAGTTCGCGGCGCTGCACGGCCCGGCGCTGCGCGCCTCGGGGGTCCCCGAGCGTTACTGGGGCCGCCTCCTGCACAAGCTGGAGCACGAGGTGCGGGGCAGGGCGGCGGGCGCGTGCGGCGGCCGGGGCGGGAGCGCGGCGGGAGCCCGCGGCGCGGGGCGAGAACGGGCGCTCCCCGGGCCGTCCCGGAGCGGCGCGGAGTTGGGGGCCGAGGAGCGACGCGGGAGACGGGGACACCTGCGGCCCCGACCTGCCCGGCCCGAGGCCGGCCCGAGGCTGCGGGGGAGACTTGAGCTCCTCCCACGCCCGAGCCTCCCGAAGCCCTGCCGGGAGTCGGAGGCGTCACCCCCAGTTTACAGATGAGAACCTGCGGCTCCCGGGTCCCTTCAGAGGGGTCTTTCAGCCGCTGCCCCGGAGGGACAGCGGGAGCCCCGTGGATGTGTGTAGCTGTAGCTGTTGGGCTCACGGAGTTCCGTGAGTTTTCGTTGGATTCGAGCCTCGGGTTCCCCTCATCTTGCAGATTAAAGAAAACAGACGGGGACGTGGAGAGCTCTAAAGAAACATGGAAAAGGTTTGGGAGCCTCTGGGTTCTCTCCTGTTCCGTGAGCATGGCCCGTCCCGCTCCACTCCGGAGCGTTTCGTGCTGTCCTGGCTGGGGGTGAGCCCTGGGTTCTGGCTGCGTGCCCGGGGGCTGACCCCGCAGCACCTTCCCGGGCCGGCTGGGGGGGGCATCGCCTCCAGGTGCCACCTCCCTGACTGACAGGAGCCGAGTGGCGCAGGTGATGAAGTGGAACCCCAGAGCCAAAAACAGGGTCCCGGGCCGGGTACTGGAGGTCCCTGAGCCTGGCTGCTGGCCAGACCCCACGGTCTCTGAGCCGGTGTCTCCGTGTGACCCTGGTTGGACCAGGAACCTTCCTGCTGGAAACGTGCAGTGACAGCTCCTCACACTACAGTGTGACAGTTTCCTCCGCCCTTCGCTTCTGCCATGCTTTCTGAGGCCCGCTCTGGTCCGACGCCCGCGCTGGGTGGAAGGGACCCGGGTTTGCTCATGAGGACAAGAGGGGTCCCATGTGCTGCGTGGAAGCAGCACAGCGGGCATGGCCGGCCCCTGCCCGGCCAGCCTGCGCGGCAGCACACCCTCCCTTGGCCAGTCATGCCCGTCTGAGAGTCCTGTTCTCCAGGAAGGGGACGGTGAGACAGCACCTGACTCGCTCAGTATTGGAGGGATGGGAGGGGGCATGAGAAATACGCCCGGCACACAGGGTGGTCGCCACCTCGTCACGTTCCCCTGCCCAGGCCGCCCTGCCTGCTGTTGCCCTACTAAGGGGCAGCCAGTGTTTTTCCGTGACCCTCCCTAGCCATTAAGGGCAGAGCTGAGTCACTGCTTTACCAGACACGGACTTGGAGCTCTTCCTGCTGCCGTTGGCCCAGGTGTGGGGGAGACCGGGCGGCAGCAGGACCGCCCGCCAGCGTCGTGGGCCCTTCCACCCCTCGCCGCCAGCCGGAGGTCAGCTGCCCTGTAAAGGGTGGGGAAACTAAAAGAGGAGTTTTCAAAGTGTCCACTCTTCTGTCTGCACAAGCTTCCCAGGTGCAGAACCACCCCCTTCTCCCCTCGGGAGCTCTTCCAGTCCTGCCATGGAGGTGTTGTGGTTACCCCCATTTCACAGGGGGGTGAAGGCAAGTCAGGCTTCAGGCAGGCTCTCTGTCCTCAGCCTCACTCCGTCCCCTGGGGATTTGGAGTACTGGGGTGGAAGCCTGAGGTCTTAGCCTCCTTCCGGTCCTAAACTGGACAAAGCAGTAGCCTCCCCAGACCCATCTTGAGGACAAAGGAGAACCCAATGCCCCTTGTCACGGGTGCCTTGTCCTCCATGTGACCCCTGGTTTGCTCCACCCTGGGCTGTCTGCCTCCAGCCTTCGCTCTTGCTCTTCCCTCTGCCTGGAGTCCCTTTCCATCTTCACCACACAGCCTCATGTTTAAATCTTCCGCTTCTTCAAAGCTGGCCTCTGATGACGGTTCCTCATCCATGAGTCTTCCCGGGCCCTCCAGGCCCCAGAGCAATTTACCTGATATTCTTCAGGTGGCCCAGACCTTACTCGGCCATCAGCTCCCTGGGCAAGGCCACGAGTGTCATCCTCATGCCGCCACGGGGCAGGTCCTGCCCAGTGCACAAAAGCTGCCTGCGCCTACGGAAAGTGAGTTTCCAACTGCCGGTTTTGTTTTTGAGTGCAGCGGCACGACCTCAGCTCAAGGCAACCTCCACCTCCCACGTTCGAGCAGTTCTGCCTCAGCCTCCCGAGTAGCTGGGATTGCAGGTGCCCACCATCACGCCCAGCTAGTTTTTGTATTTTTAGTAGAGACGGGGTTTCACCATGTTGATCAGGCTGGCCTCAAACTCTTGACATCATGATCCTCCCGCCTCAGCCTCCCAAAGTGTTGGGATTACCACGCCCAGCCTTTTCAACTGCCGTTTTTAATCCAGTACTGGGAACTAGGTTTTAGGAAGAAACTGGTCTCTGTTGAGCCCCCGCTGTGTGCCAGGACTTCATGTACCCTGTTGATTTCAGTCCATCTGTCCTGAAGGGTGGATGACACCCCCTCTTGCAAGTGAGGAAACTGAGTCTCAGAAGCGTAACAATGGCACCGTGTGCTTACAGAGCATTTGTTCTGGCCGAGCCCCACTCTGAGCTCTGGGTATGAGTCATCTGATTCTCTCAGGAGCCCTCAGAGGGAGGTTCTGTTATTCCCATTGTGTGGAAGAGGAAACACGCAGTGGATAGTTAAGTAACTTATTCAAGGTCACTTGTCTAGGAAGTGGTGAAACCAAGGTTTGAACCCACACTGCCCGGCTCCAGACTGCCCAGAAGCCCCCCTTGCCGGCTCGTGGCAGACAATACGAAAGCGTGGCTGGGCCAGGGACCCCTGTGGTCCACATACACCGGAAGAGGTCACTTGCCTGCCTGACTAGCCACACAGGCAGGACCAAGGCCCTTCCTGTCCTGCCCTGACCTGGACCTTTGCTTCCTGTTGGCCTTGATTGGGGCCAGGTTGAAGGAGGCTTCTCTGTGAGTTGCCTCAGCTATCCTAGTGTTGAAGGGTTCTTGTGGGGAGAGGGAAAACTGGGTGTCCCCCTGGCCACCAAGATCCTGACTCCCATTGATCTCCACTGTGACTGGAGCCACCCTCTTACCTTTGGGGCCTCTCTTTCCCTGTAATTCGAGGGGGATGGACACCTCCAGAGGGTCCTCGCAGTCCCATCTTTGTGCACAGTGTCCCGTGGGACAAAGGGCTCTGGATGACAGCCCAGCCCGTGGTAGGTGCATTAGGTCCCTGTTCGGACCCTGACGTCTCTAGGAGCTTCAGTCTCCCAGCCCACGAGACTGTGCAGTTGCATTAAACAGGTCCCACTCCTCTGAAGGAGGCACGTTCGTCCTTGAGGCCTGGGTGTGGCACGTTGGGTGGCTTTCTGGAGCGGAAGTCCCAGCCAGTGGTGAAGGCAGTACCCTGCTGACCCGAGCTCTGGCCCCCAGGTTTTCGATGCTGGGGAAGTGTTTGGGATCATGCAAGTGGAAGAAGTGGAGGAGGAGGAGGAGGAGGAGGAGGCAGCCCAGGAGGCGCGGAAGAGGCAGCCCAACCCCGGGAGTGAGCTGTGCTACAAGGTCATCGTGACCAGGGAGAGCGGGCTCCAGGAGGCTGACCCCAACAGGTAGGAGGCTGGCCGGGGCTGTCACCACGACCTTCACTTGGTGAAAGGTGGCAGACGCAGTGACTGCAGACCCTCCTGGGCCCTTCACCACCACTGGACGTCTTCCTCAGAACAGCTCTGTGGTCAGCACACATGGCCAGGGGTGTGTCCATCAGAGCTTCAGAGTAGGGTCCATGGCAACCCAGGGCTTTGCTGTGGAGTCTGGGTGGACTGCGGCCTGGGAGCACCTCCCAGCCACCTCACTGCTGCAGCGGTCTACTACAGGGGATTAGGAGTTCCGGTTTTGCTCGAGGTTACCCTCCAGGTTAAGGGTACAGGTCAGCCTTACTCCTCCCCGGTCCTGCTGAACTGGAATCTAGGATGGGCCCCAGAACACCTGAGGACCTGAGACTCGGAGCAGGCCTAGCCTTGCCGAGGCCACAGGCTAGTTAGGACAGAGCTGAGACTGTACCCCAGGCTTCCTGCCCGCAGGGACCAAGAGTGGCTATCCCAAGAATGGGCCCGCAGGCCCCTCTGCCAAAGGTTTTGTGGAACCTTCGAGAAACTTGCTGGGCCCCTGTGTCCATGCACAGCTCTTTGGGCAGGGGTCTGGTCTCTTCTGCAGAGCTTCTGCCGCGTCCTCCTCCAGCTGTGAGTGGGCAGTAGCAAGCCGCCCCGAATGTGGGCAGCCCAGTACCCCCACCCGTGCGTGCTCGGGTTCACCTTCCCCTTCAAGTTCAGGGACATGAGTTCTTTGGCACTCAGGCCCAGAAGCAGGTGCGTTAGATGCAGTGGCCGCCCTGGGAGCTCCCGGCCTCTCTCGGGCCTGCAGCCACTACCCCACTGCCAGCCATGTTTAGTAGGGGCCAGGGATCCAGTGTCTTGGATTTGGAGGCCGAGTGTTCGTTTCAGCCCCACCTGCTTCTGAGCCTTTCTGCCTCCAGGCCCTCTGCCCCTGAATCTCCCCGATCGCCAGGCCCCGACACGCTCTCCGTCCTCACCCCCATCCCTCTCTGTGTACAGCGCCCAGGGTCCCCCGAAGGCCTGGCTCTGCCCCGCATCACACGCTTACGCACTCGAGCACAAGGGCGGGAGTGCACGCACTTAGGACGGGCCCGCCAGCAAGTCTAACCCACGCACAGTAAGGCACGCGCTCCTGAACTTGCTCGCAGCCTGAGAACCGGAACACTGGCTGCCCCTTTCATCTTAAAAGGGGAACAGAGCCGGGGGTCTGCTTTGCCATCAGACACCTGTGTGTTGTGTGTTCAGCGCCTCCTGACCCAGCAGGGCTCTGGGAGGGGTATGGTCAGCCCCGTGTCCTAGAGGGTGGGGACAGCTCCTCCTGTGCCACAGCCCCGGCATGCTTCCCTCGGGAGCTGGGCTGCAGGGCTCCTGTGTGCGGGGACTGGAAGCCTCTCCCACGAAAAGTCCCTGGTGCTTGCAGAAGAGCTGGCTGCACGGGTGAGCCCTGTGTGGCAGCCTCCGTGCCGTCGGCCTGTGCTGGCCGCCGGCGCGTGTGGCCTTTGCTTTTGTTGGGCAGCTGCGCTGTGTGAGCCCTGCAGGCAGCAGGATGGGCAGCATGGTCAGGCGTGGTGGCTCACGCCAGTAATCCCAGCACTTTGGGAGGCCGAGGCGGGTGGATTACCTGAGGTCAGGAGTTCAAGACCAGCCCAGGCAACATGAAGAAACCCCATCTCTACTAAAATACAGAATAAGCCAGGCATGGTGGTGGGTGCCTGTAGTCCCAGCTACTCGGGAGGCTGAGGCAGGAGAATCACTTGAACCTGGAAGGCAGAGGTTGCGGTGAGCCGAGATCGCGCCATCGCACTCCAGCCTGGGTAACGAGCGAAACTCCGTCTCAAAAAAAAAAAAAAAAAAAGGAAGAAGATGGGCAGCACGGGCCTGATCCACAGTGGTCCAGGTCCAGTTGAGGACGTCACGCTAGTGACCACTGGTGTGTTTGTTACAAGTGCTTAGTGGACGGTAGGTGTACCAGATATTTGGTCTCTGCTGCTGCTGTGACAGCCTGGTGACAGGCGGTAGAGGCCCCTGCTGCCCTGTTTGAGAAGCTTGAAGAGGCGGAGGTGCTTGCTCAGGATCACCCAGGGAGTGAGCAGCAGCACCAGCCCCCGACCCAGGCCCCCTGGAGTCCAAAACTGTGCATAACTGTAGCACCTGGTAGACCAGATCTCAGGAAGCTCCAGTCCTGGTCCCAGCACAGCCCTGGGCCTCTTCCTCTCCCGCCTCCCTTTGCACCGTGCACGCCCGGCAGGCAGCCTCACGGGTGGCCTGTGCCCGCAGCATCTTCCTCATCGACCACGCCTGGACGTGTCGCGTGGAGCACGCACGCCAGCAGCTGCTGCAGGTGCCCGGGCTGCTGCACCGCATGGCCAACCTGATGGGCGTCGAGTTCCACGGCGAGCTGCCCAGTGCGGAGGCTGTGAGCCTGGTGCTGGAGGAGATGTGGAAGTTCAACCAGACCTACCAGCTGGCCCAGGGGGTGAGTAGGTATCTGGGCCCCAGCACAGGGAGGATGGGCATGGATGCAGACCTCTGCTGCCCTGTGCCATCAGGGCGGGCGGAGGGCCGGCCAGAACGAGCCACTCACTTTCTCCTGTGGCTTCCTAAGGAGCACACTGTGCTGGGGACTCGGGGCCAGCTGACATCCAGGCTCACAGGACGCAGCCCCCTGACTCCTAAACTAAAAGGGCCCAGGTGACTCGGCCACCTCTTTCCTGGCTGCTCTGACCCTGTCACTCTCTTAAAAGCCCTGGACTGTTCCTCACCCACCGCTGCTGGCCTCTCCCGACTCACCCCATGCTCCAGCCCCTTACCACTCTGAGTTTGGGAAAAGATGCTTGCTTGTTTCTCATGATTTTAGCTTAGATGTCACCTCCTCCAGGGAGCCTTCCCTGAGCTCAAAGAGTACGCCCCCTCCCTCCATGCCCACACACCCAGACACACCCCTACGGGTACTGAGCTGCGTGCCTTGTTTCCAAATGCCCTTTTACCGTGAGTTGGCACCCCGCATTCTCCAGGCCTGGGTCTGGTCTGCAAAGGCAGGGCTGCCGTCCCGGAGCCCCTAGCTTAGCTAAAGGGCCCGGGGCACATGTGAGAGGGCCTTTCTGAAGATCAGAGAGATGGCTGTGGGCTGATGGGTGGTTCCCGTGGTGGGCGGGTGGGTGAGGAGTGCTGCGTGTGCTCTGTCTGCAGACAGCCGAGGACAGGGTGCCGGTGTGGTACATCATGGACGAGTTCGGCTCGCGGATCCAGCACGCGGACGTGCCCAGCTTTGCCACGGCCCCCTTCTTCTACATGCCCCAGCAGGTGGCCTACACGCTGCTGTGGCCCCTGAGGGACGTAGACACGGGCGGTAAGTCCGGCGCCCGCCCGCCCTGGAGGACGGGCCCCGGCCCGGTGTCCCGTCGTCCCGCTCTGATGGGCACACGTGTCTTGGCACAGAGGAGGTGACCCGGGACTTTGCCTACGGAGAGACAGACCCCCTGATGCGGAGGTGCATGCTGCTGCCCTGGGCCCCCACCGCCATGCTGGACATCAGCTCCTGCACGCCGGAGCCGCCCGCTGAGCACTACCAGGTCAGCCCTCCTCCATCCCCGGCGTGTCTGCCTGGGGGCAGCTTCCAGAATGTTCTCTGTCCAGACACCAAATGTTACCAAGCACCAGCCAGGTGCTGGGCCCTGAGCCAGTTACTCTGGGAGGCGTAGAGAGTTTTGGGAGCCTCTGAGAGACGAAGGGCTCAGAGAGGGAGCAGAGGCCGCCGGTGGCTGCACAGCTGGGGCTCCAGATCGCACGATGCCTGGGGAGGATGGTGCTGGTCCAAGTCGCTGGTGATTGACCAACTATGCCCAGAACAAGGAGCTCAGTCTTACTGGTCCAAAGAGTACTTACAAGCCTCTGTCCCCAGAGGGCCCATGCCGCTCCCTCGGGAAGGAGCGGGGCTGTGCAGTTGGTCTTGGCTGTGAACCCTGCTCGGCCCCTTCATCTCACAAAGGCACAGGAACGCCCAGGGTTCATACATCTCAGCCCTTTTTCACTCAGCAGGCCTGCAAGTCACTGTCTTGGTCACTGTTATTGATAACAAAGGTGCTTTTAGTCTCGGTCAGGGCCCCGTGGGACCCATCTGGCCCACTCAGAAGTGCCTGGAGGGCAGGTTAGGGAGCCAGGGTTGGCAAGCCCCCAGTGCTGGGGGAGGAAGAGGAACGTAGCCACCTCCAGAACCAGGCAGGGTTGGATAGGGGGTTCCTGACCCTGACCCCTCTCTCCTTCCCCTGCCCTCTGATCTGCTGCTGCTTCCATAGGCTTGGACCAGCCCACAGGGGAGCCCGTTTTTAGTACTTTGTGGGCGTGTACTACTGTTCCTTACAAGTTGACAAGTTCTGTTTTTTTTTTTTTTTTTTTTTTTTTTTTGAGACGGAGTTTTCGCTCTTGTTGCCCAGGCTGGAGTGCAATGGCGCGATCTCGGCTCACCGCAACCTCCGCCTCCTGGGTTCAGGCGATTCTCCTGCCTCAGCCTCCTGAGTAGCTGGGATTACAGGCACGCGCCACCATGCCCAGCTAATGTTTTGTATTTTTAGTAGAGACAGGGTTTCACCATGTTGACCAGGATGGTCTCGATCTCTTGACCTTGTGATCCACCCGCCGCGGCCTCCCAAAGTGCTGGGATTACAGGCTTGAGCCACCGCGCCTGGCCAAGTTCTGTTTTTATCTTCATCTTATGGAGGATGAGGAAATGGAGACACAGAGAGGTTAAGTCACTTGCCGAGGGTGGAAGAGCTAGAGTCCGGAACCAAGGGGACCTGGTGGCTTGTGGGCTGAGGCTGAGGCTTGCCCCATGGGGACTGAAGTTGCCTTTCTTGCACACCAGGCGCTAAGGGCCTCAGAGGGTTGTGGGAAGGGTTAGACGAGTTGGCTCACATGAGAGTGGGTGTGCAGAGTGGCAGTGTGTTTGCGGGCACTGCCAACTGCGGTGGGGGGGGCTGTTGGGGGCCTGCTGGCACTTTCAGTCTCCGTCAGTGGCGATTGAACCAACCTTGCGAAAAACAAGGAGGTCAGTCTAGTGAGACTAGAGGCCGTTTATGAGCCCCCTGGAGCCCCTGCACCAGGAAGGTGCTTAGGACACATTTACCTGAAAAAGCAAATGCCTTTGTGAACGCAGCTGGAGGGAGAAACACTTCCTGGTCTCGGGGTTCTTTGTGAATGGGACATGAACCAGAGTTCATGTTTTTCCTTGGGAACCTCTGTGTTGACCAGGAAGAGGAGGAGGTAAAAGGCCAGGCGTCCCTGCGTTTTCCCATTGGACCCTTCACAGTCGGGTCTGTGCTCTGGGCCTGGGGTTGCCAACGTCCATTAGCTGTAGCTGGGTAACAAGTAACTCCAAAACTTAGCCCCTTAAAACAGCGAACATTTATTATCTCACATGAGTTCTGTGGGGAGTTGAGGACTGGCTCAGCGGGGTGCCTCTGCCAGGTCTCCCTGGAGACACAGGCTGCCTGTCGGGCTGCAGACCTGCTTCCACATGGCGTGCGTGCGTGCCTGCTGTGTGGGTGCTGGCTGTTGGCAGGAGGCTGGGCTCCCCGCCTTGTGGGCCTCTCCGTAGGGGTGCTCAGGTCTCCCCAGGACGTGGCACCTGATTTCTCTCAGAGCAGCTGATCCCAGGGAAAGAGCAAAGAGGAAGCCTCGGGTTCATGGCCTCGCCACAGAAGCAGCCCTGTTTCTTCCAGCTTTTTCCTGCTGATTGGAAGTGATTCCTTAGGTCCATCGCACCCTCAGAGATGGATGCAGCTCCGCCTTTGGAGGACAGTGTCAAAGTTTGAGGGCATGTCTGAATCGTTTTTTTTTTTTTTTTTTCTTTTTGAGGCGGAGTTTCGCTCTTGTTACCCAGGCTGGAGTGCAATGGCGCGATCGCGGCTCACCGCAACCTCCGCCTCCTGGGTTCAGGCAATTCTCCTGCCTCAGCCTCCTGAGTAGCTGGGATTACAGGCACGCACCACCATACCCAGCTAATTTTTTTGTATTTTTAGTAGAGACGGGGTTTCACCATGTTGACCGGGATGGTCTCGATCTCTTGACCTCGTGATCCACCCGCCTTGGCCTCCCAAAGTGCAGGGATTACAGGCTTGAGCCACCGCGCCCGGCCCTAAATTGTTTTTAAAGAGATGTGGTCTTGCTTTTTCCCAGGCTAGAGTACAGTGGCACGATCATAGCTAACTGCTGCCTGTAATTCCTGGCCTCAGGCAATCCTCCTGCCTCAGCCTCCTGAGTACCTGGGATTCTAGGCAACTGCCACCAAGCCCTGCTGATTATTTAATTTTTCTGTAGGGACAGGATCTCACTATGTTGCCCAGGCTGGTCCTACGTTCCTTGGCTCAGGCAGTCTTCCACCTCAGCTTCCCAAAGTGCAGGGATTACTGGCTTCAGCCACCATGTGCAGACACATGGGCATGTGTTAAATTACCACACTGGTGAAGCTCAGGACAGGTCTCAGGGCTCCTAGAACCACGCGGCTCCTCCCAGGAGGGTTTTGGCACCCACTCACCCCCAGTGATTTCCAGGTAGCACTGAGAAGATGTGCAGCAATGTTTACCTTGTTCTTTTGACACCAAACTAGGACTGCTCAGCACCGGAGGGCCCCGGAGCCCCAGAATCCCTGGGTGAAGGGGTGGTTAGAGGCTTTGGGGTGTTAGAAGTGAGGCCATAGAACCTGGCGCCGGGCAGGGAGACTGGTGTCCCCTCCCTCTCTTCCTTTTTTCTTAGAGATGGAGTCTCACTCTGTCACCCAGGTTAGAGTCCAGTGGTGTGATCTCAGCTCACTGCAACCTCCGCATCCCGGGTTCAAGCGATTCTCCTGCCTCGGCCTCCCAAGTAGCTGGGATTATGGGCATATGCCACCACACCTGGCTAATTTTTGTATTCTTAGTAGAGACAGGGTTTCACCACGTCGGCCAGGCTGGTCTTGAACTCCTGATATCATGTAATCCACCTGCCTTAGCCTCCCAAAGTACTGGGATTACAGGCATGAGCCGCAGCGCCGGCCTGTCCCCCCCTTCCTTAAGCTCATCTCTACCTCTGATGTGTTTCCTTCTAGGCCATTCTGAAGGAAAACAAGGAGAAGCTGCCCCTTGCCGTCAGCCCAGCGGTGTACCCCGACAACCACGTCTTCAAGTACGTAGCCCCCTTTGCTTGGGCTGGGGCTTGTCCTCAGTCACCACCTCGCGGGCTTCGTGGTTCCCACAGCCCCAGAACATGGGCGCCCAGCAAGTCAGCTGCGTGTCTGGGCACAGCAGGGGTGAGTGCAGGGAGTGGAGCCCTTAGGATCCAGAGAAAATGCTGCAGGAAGTGCAGGAGTGGCCGGGCGCCGTGGCTCACGCCTGTTATCCAAGCACTTTGGAGGCCAAGGCGGGTGGATCACCTGAGGTCGGGACTTTGAGACCAGCCTGACCAACATGGTGAAACCTCGTCTTAAAAAAAAAAAAAGGAAGTGCAAGAGTGAGCAGGGCGTTCCGGAGACTTTTTTTTTTTTTTTGAGACAGAGTCTCCCTCTGTCACCCAGGCTGGAGTGCAGTGGCGTGTTCTTGGCTCACTGCAACCTCTGCCTCCTGGGTTCCAAGCCATTCTCCTGCCTCACCCTTGAGGCCAGGCGCTGTGCCTCATGCCCATAATCCCAGCACTTTAGGAGGCCAAGGTGGGTGGTTCACTTGAGGTCAGAGGTCAGCATCAGCTTGGCCAACATGGTGAAACCCTATCTCTACTAAAAATACAAAAAGATTATAGTGGTGGGTACCTGTACTCCCAGCTACTCAGGAGGCTGAGGCGGAAGAATCGCTTGAAATCTGGGAGGCAGAGGCTGCAGTGAGGGGAAATCAGGCCACTGCACCCCAGCCTGGGCGACAGAGCGAGACTCCTTTTAAAAAAAATAATAAAATCACCCTTGAAAGTTAAAAATAGAAAATGATAGACCGGGCGCAGTGGCTCAAGCCTGTAATCCCAGCACTTTGGGAGGCTGAGGCGGGTGGATCACGAGGTCAAGAGATCGAGACCATCCTGGTCAACATGGTGAAACCCCGTCTCTACTAAAAATACAAAAAATTAGCCAGGCATGGTGGCGCGTGCCTGTAATCCCAGCTACTCAGGAGGCTGAGGCAGGAGAATTGCCTGAACCCGGGAGGCGGAGGTTGCGGTGAGCCGAGATCGCGCCATTGCACTCCAGCCTGGGTAACGAGAGCGAAACTCCATTAAAAAAAAAAAAAAAAAAAAAATAGAAAATGATGGCAGTGGGTGAAAGGCCCCCTGGGGAGGAGCATTGGCCACCACTGGTCCCATCCCTCCCCTGTCCTCTGGGTACCCTGGGGTCACGTTACCAACTCTGCATGTCATGGAGCTGCTCCAGTTACCCAGATGTGCTCATTCAGTCCTGGAAACCAACACACAGCCAGGCCCATGCATGCCAGGAGGGAGGCTTTGCTGGCCGTGACCATGCTGGGCACCTAGAACAGGCACCTGGGCTGCCAGGAGGGCCCCTCCCAGGAGGCTGCAGGTGTGGCTGCTGAGTTAAGGAAGGCCAGGCCCCCAGGTTCAGGCTGGACCCCTCTCGGAAGCAGTCACAGATGAGGCGCAGCCCTCCCAGGAGCCCCTCCCCAAAGCTCCCAGACACTGCCCTTGGCTGCCCAAACCTGGCCCAGATGGAAACAGGTGGGCTGTTCCACTCTGCCCCCTCCACCAGGCCCAGGGGCTTTCCCCTCTGCTGGCCTCTGCCCCAGCCGGGCAGCCCAGGGGCTCTTGCTGAGAGGTGCATCTGGTGGAGACCTGACAGGGGCCTGAGTCCCCCCACCTACTCCGGGGCGGAGGCCTCACCGAGGCCCTTGGTGTGTCTGTGTGAGGTTGGTGGCCGCAGCCTCATCCTCTTTTTATCCATGTAAGGCGAAAGGGCGAGCACATCATAAACACCCGAGTTATGCCGTCTAATTTTAACAACACGTAATGAGGTTGTCTGCGTGGTCCGGCCCTGCGGATGGGGAGCCAGGTGTCAAAAGGGTATGGATTGCCCCCTCCCTCGGCACGTTGGAGCGAGTGGGGTCTGAACCCAGCTGTCCAACATTGTGACTCGAGCCCAGGACTCGCCTCGGTCTCGTTAGCTTCAGAACAGGGCGGGAGTGCTCGAGCCAGGGCTGGCGCTCTATCCAGTCCCGCTTGGACGCGTGAGGGCCGCGGTCAGCCAGCTCAGGCTCTCCCCGCAGGGTCTACACGGACATGCAGCAGGTGGCCAGCAGCCTCACCCACCCGCGCTTCACCCTCACCCAGAGCGAGGCAGACGCCGACATCCTCTTCAGCTTCTCGCACTTCAAGGACTTCAGGTGAGGGCACTGTCGCCCGCAGGGGCTCCCCCAGTCGGCGCCTCCGGGTCTGGGCCTCCCCTGAAGCTGGTGCACCTGCCTCCGCCCTGCAGGAAACTCAGCCAGGAGAGGCCGGGCGTGCTGCTGAACCAGTTCCCCTGCGAGAACCTGCTGACCGTCAAGGACTGCCTGGCCTCCGTCGCGCGCCGGGCGGGCGGCCCCGAGGGCCCACCCTGGCTGCCCCGGACCTTCAACCTGCGCACTGAGCTGCCCCAGTTTGTCAGCTACTTCCAGCAGCGGGAAAGGGGGTAAGCCTCAAACACGGCATGGGCGCGCTCCCTGGCCCATCCTCTGTGTCCGCCTGCTCCTCCACGCGCAGCCACTGTGGAAGCTGGTGCAGGGGCCAAGCCGTGGGCCTGGAACATCGCGCCGGCCTCATGGCCTGCAGGAGCTCTCCACTGCAGCACGGCCCCCTGGGCTCCGGCAGACCTCGCCTCGTTTCCCGAGCCCTGGCCTCTGGCCCCTCCTCTCTGGCATGCCCTCAGCTCCCGAAGAGATGTGGGCTGCCCTCTTCTGCCACTGGGTCCTGGGGAGGCACCATCCGAACACAGGCCCAGCCACCACCCAGACGGTCCTTCTGCTCCCCAGGGGCGAGGACAACCACTGGATCTGCAAGCCCTGGAACCTGGCACGCAGCCTGGACACCCACGTCACCAAGAACCTGCACAGCATCATCCGGCACCGAGAGAGCACCCCCAAGGTGGGTCCCGCAGCCCAGGGCCTGGCTGGACAGCGAGGGATGGGACGAAGGGGACCGAGTGCCATGGCCCTCACAGATAGGTCCAGGCTGGGCAGGGTGGCTCACGCCTGTGGTCCCGGCACTTTGAAGCGCTGAGGAGGATCACCTGAGTCCAGAGGTTTGAAACCAACCTGGGAGATCTTGTTTCTGCAAGGAAATAAAATAATTAGCCAGGAGTGTTGGCACACCCCTGTGGTCCCAGCTACTCGGGAGGCTAAGACAGGAAGATCACTTGAGCCCGGGAAGTTGAGGCTGCAGTGAGCTGTGATCGTGCCACCGTACTCCACCCTGGGCAACAGAGTTTTGTTTTTAAAAAAAGAACTGTCCTGGGTGCTTCTGATCTCAAAGATCCTAGCAACTAGAGTGCCAGGTATGGCTGCCCAGCAGGGTGAAGTGGTCAAGCCTGGACAGGGAGCCTCTCAAACCGTGGTAAAGACTCGTAGTAAGGGGACATCCAGAGGCCGCATTGGGGTTGCAGAACACGGGATCCACTTGGGGTGTGTACGTGGTCAGAGGCTGGTGGGAAACGCGTCACAGAGACAATTGTCATGCAGAGTTCGGGCCGTGGGATGAAGGTGGACAGGTGAGAATTTCTATTCCATTTCCGTTGAAAATGAATGTAAAGACTTTGCTGGTGGTATGGCGGCTCATGCCTGTAATCCCAGCACTTTGGGAGGCCGAGGCAGGCAGATAAAGCGGCCTGGCCAACATGGAGAAACCCTGTCTGTACTAAAATACAGAAATTAGCTAGGTGGGGGTGGTGGGCTCCCATGATGCCAGCTACTCAGGAGCCTGAGGCAAGAGAATCGCTTGAACCCAAGAGGTGGAGTTTGCCGTGAGCAGAGATCGTGCCACTGCACTCCAGCCTGGACAGCAGAGCCAAACTCTGTCTCAAAAACAAACAACAAAAAAAACCAGACTTTGCGGCAACCTGGGCAGGTTTGAAAGGCAAAAGGAGGAGCATCGTGCGCCAGGTGTGTGCGCGCCACGGCTCTGTGCGCTCGGGAGCCCCCGGGGCTCTGTCCTGGCCCCGGGGGGGGGGGAGGCGAGGGCCGAGCTTGCGCCTGTGGCCTGCAGGTCGTGTCCAAGTACATCGAGAGCCCCGTGCTGTTCCTCCGGGAAGACGTGGGAAAGGTCAAGTTCGACGTCCGCTACGTGGTGCTGCTGCGCTCCGTGAAGCCCCTGCGGCTGTTCGTCTACGATGTCTTCTGGCTGCGGTTCTCCAACCGGTAAGCGGGGGCCGGCTGGGTCCGGGGGCGGGGAGCTGGGGCACCGGGTGGAGGTGCTGGGGGGGCCACGGGCCCTTTTTGGAATCAGAAGGCGTTGATGGCACTCGCCCTCCGTCACCTACCCAGTGAGTGGCCCTGGGAACCCGTCTCCCTTGGTGGTCGTTGGTGGTGACTTGCCCTACCCCCGTCAGAGTCCTGGCATCGCCCACAACGATGGATGTGAACATTCTTTGTGAAATGGGCACCAGTGTGAGAACCAGGTGCCGTGTTTGTGGACCTGCGGAGACTTCACGGCGTCTCGCTCACCTCCACCCCAGCTCGGTGGGGCCGGGGGGCTCCCCCACCCGCACGGACGAGGGAACGGGCTCCTGCCCCAGGCCCTGAGCCCCTGGGAAGGCTGAGCGGGTGGTGCCTCCCTCGGGGGACAAGGCCAGCTCAGGAACCCATGCCTGTGTCCTCCCGCTTGCCCTCCAGGGCCTTTGCACTCAACGACCTGGACGACTACGAGAAGCACTTCACGGTCATGAACTACGACCCGGATGTGGTGCTGAAGCAGGTAGGGCCTGAGGAAGCCGGAGAGCAGATTCACGTGGAGGCCAGTGCAGACCCAGCCCCCGCCCCGCCCACACTGCCTCCTGGGAGGACTGGCCCCCGGGGCCTGTCGCCGGAGCTGCCTCCTGAGCTCCTGCCGTGGAAGGCGATTGTTAGCACTGCCCTGGCGAGCCGGGCTGGGTTCTGTGTTGTCTCAGGCAGGGGCAGGCCTCCCCACGGCGCAGAGGGCCACTCTGTGTTTGCCATGACACAGATGCAGGTGGGGAGGGGTCCAGCAGCAGGCTGAGACGGCGGGTTCCCAGCCGGGCTGACTCCTCACCGCCACTTCAACCGGAAAAGCGGCCAGGGCAGGCGGAGAAGCACAGAGATTCGTGCCGAGAGGCCCCACCTGGTCCGGCCGCCTGCTGGCCGGTCACCCTGCCTGGGTCCGGGGCCTCCCGTCTTCCCGGATGCACAGTGCTGAGCACTGCCCCGTGCCGCCGGCACTCACTGAATGGCAGCTGCAACATCCGAGTGCCTGGAGCTCAGGGGCATCTGGACAGAGGCCCTTCCAAGGTGGCGGTGAGAACCTGGAGCTGCCCAGCCAGAGCACCTGGGCCAGGTAGACACAGCCTGCACAGAAGCGAGAGGCCGGCTCTGGGTACAGGAAGGAAGGAAGTCCCGAAGTCCTCTCTGAGCTGGCAGGTTATGAGTGTTTCAGATGCATAAAACACCTGCCCCACCCTGCCTGTCGCCAGCCCGCCAGCGTGGACGCCCCCTGCACCCAGCCCCAGCCTTCCCTTGCTCCTGAAGGTGTGGCTGTCATTCCCAGCCCCGTGTTGATTCTCTTCAGCATGAGCATGCCCCTGACCATTCAAGCGGCTGTTTTGCTTATTTAGGTTTTGGTTTGAGAGGCAGGATCTCACTCTGTCACCCAGGCTGGAATGCAGAGGTGTGATCTCAGTTCATTGCCATCTCAGCCTCCTGGGCTCAAGCGATCCTCCTGCCTCAGCCCCCCGAGTGGCTGGAACTACAGCCACACACCTCCACGCCCAGCTAATTTTTTTGTATTTTTAGTAGAGACAGGGTTTCGCCATGTTGCCCAGGCTTGTCTCAAACTCCTGGACACAAGTGATCTGCCTGCCTCAGCCTCCCAAAGTTCTGGGATCACAGGCGTGAACCACGGGCCCGGCCCTACACCATCTAATGGAGTGGATCCTTCTGCAGCTTTGCTGGCTGAGTGGCGTGTTTGAGGTTCAGGGTTGTTGCTGAGCACGGCTGCAGTCTGTTATCCGAGGTCTTCACTAATGACAAACCGTGACACGGGAACATGCGTGGAGGCACCACCGGGCTGTGCCCGTGTCGAGGAGTCCTCTGGGAGGGCTTGGAGAAAGGGCCCTGCCATGCCATGGTGGCTGCAGTACCAGCGCACGCTCCGCACGGGGGTCGAGTGGCCCTGTCACTTCTGTCCCCCTTCTCCTTACCTGTGTTGACACCGTCTCACTGGGACCCAGAGCCCCCAGCAGGGCCCCAAGACGTGCTTGGAAGTCACCCTCAGGGTCTCGAGTCCCTCCCTTCTGTACTGTGGGGGTCATCCCGAGAGTCCTGTCCTGGAGCCCTGTGCCTGGGGACGTGTGTCCAGCACAGCGTGGATGGTAGCTTCCCTAGGGGCCTGTCCTGGCTTGTCCTTGTCTGGGAGAACCCTGAGCCAACTGCCACCTTCCTAGGGTGTGTTTCGGGTAAAGTCATGCATACCTTGAGCACTCGGAGCCGGCGCCGAGCCAGGGAACGGGCGGGCCCTGCATCGGGTCTGAGCTCTGCGCCCTCTGTGCCATACCAAGCTGAGTGTGAGGGCGGGTGCCACCGCAGGGCCTGCAGTTTCTGGAGCCCTGGACATTGTGTGTCTTGTGTGAGCCTCGAAGCAGCGTGGCAGTCAGTTTACTGGGCAGGGCACATTCTTCCATTGCACAGAGGAGGAAACAGGCTCAGAGAAGTTAATCCCTTTGTCCAGAGTCACACAGGAAGACCCAGAGCTGGACTCCCATCTCCTGCCTCCTGTTAGTATGCTGAGGGGCTGGGGCAGGCTGCTTGCTCCTGGAACCCCCACCCAGTGTCAGAAGCTCCTGGTCCAGGCAGTGGCAGGCTCCCCCGCTCCCAGCCCAGCAGAGGCCTGGGCAGAGCGTGATGGGCCCCGTGTCTGCTGCAGGTGCACTGTGAAGACTTCATCCCCGAGTTTCAGAAGCAATACCCAGAATTTCCCTGGACGGACGTCCAGGTAAGTGCTGTCGTACACACCACCTCAGACTGGTGGGGCAGGTCCCAGGCTGGGGGCCTGCAGGAGCTGCTCCCTCCTCCTTGGCTGGCATGGGCTGGGAGAGGGGCCGTTGTCCCCTGCAGTTGATCCTTCTCCAGAGGCTGGCGAGACAGCGTGGGTTCCCTTCCTGTCCACCCTGGGCCTTTGTGGGTGCTCCTGAGAGGGCGGGAGTGACCTGGAGAGGCATGTGGGGCACCGCTGGGACAGCCAGAGGGTGGTAGCACTGCCTGGCCCCGCGTCCCAGGTGTTTGGAGTGTGGGCTGGGCCCCCACTTCCGACAGCGGCATTCTGGGTGCTGTGTTGAGCTACTCGGGGTAGTGGGGAGCAATGGGGGTCTGAGGCAGGAGACGGGCAGATTTTCGGAAGGTGGGCGCCAGAAGTAAGAGGGCAGGTGTTGGGTGGAGGTGGCCTTGGTGAGGGCTACAGACGTGAAGATACGGGAGGGGGCGACTTGGGGCCCAGGGCTCAGGCAGGGGCAGCAAACTCCCTCTACTGAGAGGCTGCTCTGAGCAGGCCTCGTAACTCAGCCGCCTCCATCCCCAGGCTGAGATTTTTCGGGCCTTCACGGAGCTGTTCCAGGTGGCCTGTGCCAAGCCACCACCCCTGGGCCTCTGCGACTACCCCTCCTCCCGGGCCATGTATGCCATCGACCTCATGCTGAAGTGGGACAGCCTTCCAGATGGTAAGAGGGGCTCCCCATCTGCTGATCCAAACCACCAGGCACCCCCTCCGCCAGCCAGCCGTGTGCCTGGAGAAGGCAGGGGCCGGCCCCAGGCTGTCTTCTGGCTTGAACAGGCCAGATATCAGGGTTGGGGAAAGCCGTGGCTCGGCCCACAGGGAAGGGCCGTACCTGCTGCGCAGTGGGGAGGGCAGGGCCGCGGGTGGGGCCTCTGGCAGGGTGAGCTCACAGGACAGGAGGCCCGTGGGAAAGGCACCCTGATCGTCCGGACCCACACCCCCTGGCCGGCCCCCCTCCTCTTTTTTTTAATTAAACTGAACATCCAAGCTTAAAGGGACAGATTCTCATCTTAGGGCTGGAGGCAGCCCTGGCCTTTCCTGGAGAAGCAGAAATCTCCTAGAGACCCCAGTTGCCCAGTTCCAGGCCCGGCTCTGCCCTGCCCGTCCTGGGAATCAGAGCTCAGGTCCGTGGCCTCCCCGGCCTTTGCTGGGTCCCAGGACACTGCCCTTGCAGGAGCGGAGGCCGATGAGCCTTCACCCGCTGCCACGCTGTTTGTCGTCAGGAAAGCCGGTGATGCAGCCGCAGATCCTGGAGGTGAACTTCAACCCTGACTGCGAACGAGCCTGCAGGTACCACCCCACCTTCTTCAACGACGTCTTCAGCACCTTGTTTCTGGACCAGCCCGGGGGCTGCCATGTCACCCGCCTCGTCTAGACACTCAGCGTCCTGTGCTTGGGGCAGGACTCCAACCTCAGTTCTCGGAGCTGCTTCTGCAAAGGCCCCCACCTCCCTCCCCACACCGGCCCCGGGCACAGCCTCAGCCCCAGGCCTCTGTCCCGCTGAGCCTGGCTCCCGGCCTCAGAGTCCGGGAGCACAGCGTCCTCCTCCCCCCACGGGTCAAAGCAGGACAGGATGGTGTCCCCGGGCTGCGCACTGCCCCAGGCCCCGTCCTCACCCCTCAGCACCATCCGTGCGCTGATGAGTCTCTGCGTGCCTGACGTGGAGCGTTTGTTCCCAGCTGCGTTTCCGGGGCTGCTGGGGGCAGGGTTCCACAGGGAAGGGTTTGGGAACCCTGTGTCACACGGGGCAGGCGGATTTCACTTCCAGGGTCTCTGCTCTTGTGCATCAGGATGCTCCTGGGACGGGTGTGGGCCCCGCACGGCACCCACAGGGCTCTATGTGACAAGTGCCCAGGAACAGCCTGAGGCCACCGCCCAGCAGGCTCGCCATCCAGCTCCCCTGGACCCTTCACCAGCAAACCTCCCACTGAGGTCCCAGCAGGAGCCGCCATCTTCTGCTACCGTTTCCTTTTCCGTTTACTGAGGGTCACAGACCCCGACAGGGAAGTCAGTCCCTGTCTTCCCAGGGGCTGCCCTGCTCGCCGGGCAGTCCTCAGGGTCCCCCGCCCTCGTCTGAGATGCGCCAGGACCTTCCGGCGATGGGGACCCGGGGCTGGGGCGGATGGCGGACGGCAGAGCGCGAGGCTGAAAAGGATTCCGAGGAGACCTTCGGATTCAAGTCAGGTGCACCTCCCAGGAGCTACAGTCAACCTTGGCTTTTTCTTATTTTTTAATCTATGGGAGAAAAATGTAAAATTCCAGTTCTTTTCTAATTGTGCTTCTGAAAGTGGGAGTCAGCTGCCAGCGTTTTTGTTTGGCTACAGTGTGCCTGGGCCCAGCTCACGGGCAGTGGGTGGGCCTAACTCCCCAGGCAGGTGGGAGCTGCTTCCAGAACCTTCCAGCGCACAGGAGGGCGGGGCTAGGCATGGCGGTGTCTCCTCTTTGAAATTGAGAACAACCTTTCTTGCAGCAAAGCTGCACCCAACGATGGTGCCCTCCCGGTGTTGTCTGGGCCCTTCGGGTGGGAGCCACGCTCTAGCCTCTGGGGGCCTGTTGCAGGGGCGGGGTGGGCCCATCGCCCTTGGTGGCTCCTGGAGAGCTGCTGACATGCGGTCCCCTCACTTGCTTCATGCTGCAATAAAGGCCGTCTTCTCTCTCTCCTGCCCTCCTTGCTCTTTGGATCCTGGAGCCACAGGCTCAGCGTGGCCTGTCGCCCTTATTGTCGCTGAAAAGCCCCAAAGACCAAGAAGTCACCTTGAGAAAGTGGGAGAAGAAAGAAGATGGCCCTCAGACCGCAGGCCTCCACCCCAGCGAGCTTGCCTGCACTGGTTCCTGTTCCGAGCTGGCCGGGAGCCTGGATCCTCCTGTGGCCCCGGAGCCCTGGCGGCCCTGAAGACGGCGGCCTCCCAGCACCTGCCTCCTCGTCCTGTCAGGGGACGGTAAGAAACCCTGGCTGCTGGGGCGTCTGGCGGGCTCTGTGGGCCGCCGCTGGGCAGACGCATGGGTGCCATCGGGGTGGCCGCAGCGCCGCATGGTGACCAGGGAGATTTAAGATGCAGAAGGCGGAGCGGCCCCGAGGCGGGCTACGTGGAGCGCGCTGCTGCCCGCCTCGGGACTGATGCCCACACAGACTCTTGTCTTGAAGCCCAGCGGCCGGTGCTCAACTGGTTCTCAGCTCACTTAAAACCCGCTGCCCAGGAGACAGGCCGGCCCAGGGAGGCACTGGGACAGCCCCCAGCATCAGGACCGCGTGGTCCGGGCTTTCCAGGATTGCAGATGCCTGTTCTCTGTCCCCACATGCCCTTGTACCTCTGCTCACTGCACAAGCACACCCTCAAGGCAGGCCGACAGCCAGGGTCTCCAGGAGCCGGGATACCAGCCGGCTTCACGTGCGGAGGGGTCGCCATGGCGATGCACATCCCACTAAGTGCTTCTGCCTGGTACTCACCGCACCCTCGTCACTCTGCGCTAGGAATCCATCCAAAGCGCGGTGGCTCGTGCCTGTAATCCCAGCAGTATGGGAGGCTGAGGCGGTTGGATCCCTTGAGGTCAGGAGTTCAAGACCAGGCTGGCCAACATGTTGAAATCCCATTACTAAAAATGCAAAAATTAGCCAGGCAAGGGAGTGTGTACCTGTGGTCCCAGCTACTCAGGGGGCTGAGGCAGGAGAATCACTTGAACCCAGGAGGCAGAGGTTGCAGTGAGCTGAGCATGCCATTGCACCCCAGCCTGGGCAACAGAGCAAGACTCTGTCTCAAAAAATAATAAACCCACGCAGAAACATCAAAGCCTTAAGTCCCTAGTGGATGGCAGCATCCTAGAAAAGAGGGGAGTAGGCTGGGCAGGGTGGCTCACACCTGTAATCCCAGCACTTTGGGAGGACAAGGCTGGCAGATCACAAGTTCAGGAGTTTAAGACTAGCCTGGCCAATATGACGAAAATATGATGAAACCCCATCTCTCTTCTATGCAAAAATTAGTCAGGCACGGTGGCAGGCACCTGTAGTCCCAGCTACTGGGAGGCTGAGGTAGGGGAATTGCTTGAACCCGGGAGATTGCAGTGAGCAGAGATCGTGCCACTGCACTCCAGCCTGGGCAAGAGACTGAGGCTCCCTATCAAAAAAAAAAAAAGGGGGGGTGGGGGATGCTGTTATGAGCAGGAGAAACGTGGCCAGGCGGTTAACAGGAAGCCGGCAGACAGCAGGCTCAATGAGTTCTCCTCGCCCGTCTCTCCAGGGCGTTTTTGTGGCAGCAGGAGCTATGTGGGACATTTGCTGCAGATGAATAACCCCACAAGTCGTGGAGATGAGAAATGGGCACACGCGTGCCTCACTGGAAAGACCCCGGAAGTCTGGGGCTGGGGTCCACTTTCTTCCATCCCTAAGTGTCTGGCATGCACTCAGGTGTCCCTTGACACTGAAGGACACCCCTGTGCCCTGAGGGGATGGTGCATGCTCACCAGCGTGCTGGCACAGGAGACAGCCTGGCCTGTAAAGTTCTTGATAACAGGGACCTCTCTGTCATCCGCTGCTTGCGGTAATGTCTGCACGTAGCTTGGAGGAATTCAACCTGGGTATTTTGGAGAACCTCAGAAGTGAGTTAATGAAAGGGACACATAGCAGCTCTCCAGCTGGCTCCTCCACATCAGTGGGCATCGGGAAAGCCGGGTGGGCTGTGGGCTCAGCCGAGTGCCCATGGTTAAGAAGCTGCTGGGTCCTGCAGAGGGTGACCTGTCTGGCAGTAAACTATCAGAGTCAAGGGAGTGGGAGGCTGGGGCTCAGGGTGGAACCGCTCAGCCCCGGGCGGGAGCCATCCCTTCCAGAAGAATGCCGTGGACTGTCTGCTCATCTTTTTCCCCAAGCTGTTTTCTTGCGCACGTGTGGTGTGTCTGTCAGAGTGGACGGTATAGACAGTGTGTGTGCGTGTGTGTGTGTCTGTGTGTGTTATGTCAGAGTGGACGTATAGACTGTGCGTCTGTGTGTCTGCGTGTGTGTGTGTGTGTGTGTGTGTGTCAGAGCGGACGGTATAGACAGTGCGTGTGTGCGTCTGTGTGTGTGTGTGTGCCTGTGTGTGTCTGCGTATCTCTGTGCGTGCGCGTGTGTGTGTGTGTGTGTGTGTGTGTCAGAGTGGACGGTATAGACAGTGTGTGTGTGCATCTGTGTGTGTGAGTCTGTGCCTGTGTGTGTCTGCTTATCTCTGCGCACGTGTGTGTGTGTGTGTCAGAGTGGACGGTATAGACAGTGTGTGTGTGCATCTGTGTGTGTGTGAGTCTGTGCCTGTGTGTGTCTGCGTATCTCTGCGCACGTGTGTGTGTGTGTGTGTCAGAGTGGACGTATAGACTGTGTGTGCATCTGTGTGTGTGTGTGAGTCTGTGCCTGTGTGTGTCTGCGTATCTCTGTGCGCACGTGTGTGTGTGTGTGTGTGTGTGTCAGAGTGGACGTATAGACTGTGTGTGTGTCTGTGTGTGTCCAAGTGGATGGTATAGACAAAATCCCCCTGTGTCTCTGTGTTGCCCAGGCTTGTCTCAAATACCTGGCCTCAAGCAGTCCTCCCTCCTCAGCCTCCCAAAGTGCTGGTATTACAGGTGATGTGAGCCTCTGCCCCCGAGCTTTCGTGAACATCAGGTTGCATCTGAGCGTACGCATCAGGCGAGGACATAAGAGTAGGAGCAGGAAGGAGCAGCCTCGGGCTGCTGAGTGATGATGAGCTGTCTATGAACATTTTGCCAATTTGAATGAACTTAGCCACCAAAAACAAAGAAAAAGCCCAGCGGGTCAGGCCTGGTGGAGGGGAGGGAGCCTCAGGCTGTGCTGCTGAGTGCTGCAGGCGTGGTGACCAGTAGCAGGACAGGAGCGCCATGTGTGGGACTCATTTACCCCAAACAGCTGCCTAGAGAGGCCATGGGTCTCCTAGTTGGAAGCCGGGGTGAGGGAGAGACTGGCCCCCCCAATCCTGGCCACTCTGGGCCAGCAAGGAGGCCCTGTCTGCTCGAGTTGGGACCTAATTTTTCCTGCCTCTGACACCACCTTGAGCCAACTGGGTACCTGGGGGATGGGGCAGTCAGCACCCCCAGCTCTGTCCTGGACAAAACCAGCTGAGGGCCACGTACTGGGCAGGACCAGGCATCGGACGCTGGTTATGGGCCTGGCCGTTCAAGGGCCCGGGCTGAGCATCCCAGAAGCCACGGGAAGCAGACGGGACCCCTCTCTCTGCCGACGCCCACAGCCCCAGCTGGGTCTGAGCCAGCATGACACCCAGGACTGCTCCATTCATCTGCAGGGCTCCCGGAGCGTCCGGGGAAGCCGGGGCAGCCCCCGCTGGAACCAGCCCTGTCTGGAGAAGCCAGCGCAGGCAGGTCCTGCTGAGACCCGGCAGCTCCTCTTCCCCGTGGCCAGGGTCCCACCCAAGCAAAGACGCCATGGCAGAGGAGGTTAAAACTTTATTTGGCTTATAAAATTCCATGTTCTGAGAACACAGTCCGAGCACGCAGAAAGCGCAGGACGCTGCTCCCGGGTGAGGGCTGAGGCCAGGCCGCCCCTGAAGCCACTGCTGACCCCGCGCACCCAGACCGGGACAGAGTACCAGGCCCAGTGGTCGTGAGAGCGTGACGGCCGCCACCTCTGATGGGACCTGCTGGTGCTGCTGCAGGCCCTGGCGGGCGGGACGCTCACTCGGGCAGCCGCCGGCCCCCACGCCGGCCGCGGTTGTCCTGCCATATGCGGTAGTTGAGTGTGGTCGCAAAGGCCAGCCAGGCCAGGTAGGGGTAGAGCAGGCGGGCAGCCAGTGGGCTCACCCGGTGCCAGGACACGGTGGTGGCTGCGGCCACGCCACTCACCAGCAGGAGGTCCACCAGGGCCTGCAGAGATTGGGGGAGGAAGGACAGGGAGGCCTGAGGCACCACGTCCAGCCAAGTGCGTGGGAGTCGGGAGCCTCACTCACCCCCACTCCACCCTTGAGAGACCCAGCCAAGCCCCTCTCTCGTCTCAGCCTCAGTTTCCTCATCTGTAAAATGGGAACATTCATCCCGCCTGACTCGGGCCATGTGTGGGGTGCACATGACTTGTCTGAAGTGAACTCGGCTCCTTCAGGGGTGCGCTGGTGGCTTGGGAGGCCTTGCACGTTCCCTCCCCTCTCTGAGCTCAGAGTCTTCACTGAGGGCAGCCTTGACCTCCCAGTGTCACTACTACAGGGCCCAGACAAAAACTGGCTACTGGCCGGGCGCAGTGGCTCACGCCTGTAACCCCAACAGTCTGGGAGGCTGAGGCAGGAGGATCCTTTGAGGCCAGGAGTTCAAGAGTAGCCTGGACAACAAAGCAAGACCCCTGTCTCTACAGAAAGTTTAAAAATTAGTCCAGCACCATGGTGCACGCCTATAGTCCCAGCTACTTGGGAGGCTGAGGCGGGAGGATTGCTTGAGCCCAGGAGGTGGAGGCTGCAGTGAACTGGGATCACACCACTGCACTCCAGCCTGGGTGACAGAGAGAGACTCGGTCTCAAAAAAACAAAGAGCTAGCCGGGCGCGGTGGCTCACGCCTGTCATCCCAGCACTTTGGGAGGCCGAGGCGGGTGGATCACGAGGTCAAGAGATCGAGACCATCCTGGTCAACATGGTGAAACCCCGTCTCTACTAATGGTGCAAAAAATTAGCTGGGCATGGTGGCACGTGCCTGTAATCCCAGCTACTCTGGAGGCTGAGGCAGGAGAATTGCCTGAACCCAGGAGGCGGAGGTTGCGGTGAGCCGAGATCGCGCCATTGCACTCCAGCCTGGGTAACAAGAGCGAAACTCCATCTCAAAAAATAAATAAAAATTAAAAAAAATAAAAAAGAGCTGTCATAGAGAGGAGCCAGTGTCCAGCCTGCTGCCTCTGAGGGTCCCCCACACAGTACTAGGCATCACGTGGGTTTTCCTGCACAGTGGCCCCTAAACCCACGCCTGCAACCCCTTCTGCCTTCGTAGCGCCCCTCACTGGAGGAGAGTCCGTGGAAGGGATGCTCCAGGACACGGGCTCTCGCCTCCCCTGGCTCCGCCTAGAGACACTGACCCTGTGTCATGTGTGATGCCACACGTCCTCCAAGTGTCAGATCCGGGCATCGGGGACACAGGCCGTGGCCACACTTACCCAGCCCATTTGTCGGGCACCAAAGAAGATGGGGGGCCATGCCCAGTTCAGGGCCAGCTGCCCGGTGTAGAGGCCCAGGGGAACCACCGCCTCCTCCGTGAAGCCTCCCAGCTCTTTCCAGACCAGGTAGGAGCCATACCTGAAACGGGCCACAGTTCAGAGCACCATTAGGCAACAAGCCAGGAGCCTTGCCCACCTCCAGGTGACACAGTGATGGCTCCGGCGTGACCTGACACGGACTGCGGTGCGATCTCGGGGAAGTTGCTTGACCTCTCTGGCCCTTCGTTTTTCATAGGGTTGCTCTAGGGATTGTAGTTAGCACATTGGCAGTGCTTCATGGGGTACGCAGCGTATAGGACACTCAGTAAATACCTGCCATTATGATCACTGTCACTGCTGTGAAGGGGAAGCACATGGTGTGAGCAGGTAGAGGGGAGGCTCTTGGCCAGGGCACTGCATGGAAGTCGGGGCATTTGGGCTGGGCTAGAGGATGAATAGGAGTTTTCTAAGGGAGAAAACCGGACATGCAAAGGCTTTGGGGCAGATGTGGGACCCTGAGTCAGTCTGTGTGACTGCAGGGTAAGGTCCAGGGGTGTGGGGGAGTCCTGGTCACGGGAGGTATTAACACAGGGCAACGAAAATCCCAGGAACAGTAGCCGACGCCCTCCAGCAGTCACAGGAGCCAGCCCCAGCACTTCCCAGGCGTTCACTCATTTCATCCTCGTGACAATGCCGTAAGGCAAGCAGTGGCAGCACCCCCTTTACAGGGGAAACTGAGGCACAGGGCGGTGAGGTGACATCTCTTGGCAGGTCCTCAGTGAATAAGTCAGGATGGCCAGGGCCAGAGCCCAGGCGCTCAGCCACTAACAAGGGGTTTACCTTATCCAGAGCCACCGGGAGCCCCAAAACGTTCCCCCGAAGAGAGGCTGGTGGAGTAGGAAGGCCAAGCGGGTGTGGGGAACCTGTCTGGGCAGGGCCTGGGCCGGGAGGGGTAGGGCCCAGGTGACACCCAGGTTCCAGGGCCTTATTCCCATCAGAGCCGGGCACCTGGCCTGGCACCTGCCTCCCCGCCCTGCACTGGGCTGGCACAGAACCGGGATGCAGGGAACATTCCAGAAGGAGGGTGGGGAGCTGACCACACCCCCTGGGTGCAGTTCTCAGCCACAGCCACCAGGGGCGCCCTGCGCCCTCCCAGCGCACCCTTCCCCGATGGAACTCCCCGGTCCAGTCCCGGGGCTCGGGCCGGACCGAGCCTGAAGCCGGCCGTGGGAAGTCCGCACTTGCCAGCCCTGAGTCCTTGGGAGGCCCCTTATCATGGGGGGCGTTGAGTAGCAATGAGACGGGCAGGAGTTCAACAAAGGAGCTGCCCCGGGGGCCGTCCATGCCGCCGCCACGCCCACCCTTCGCACACCACAGGCCTCCGTCTGGAGCTGTGACCACGGCAGGGATGCCCGGGTGGGGTGAGCAGCCGACCCGCCCCTCCCAGGGGCCCAGGAGGAGAGAGTTGAGTTGTGCAATCTACAGGCCCGCAGCTTCCCCACCCTGGCTTGCCAAACGTGGCTGGGGAAACCGTGCTGTGGCCCGGGGCCCGCCTGGAGGAGGCCCTCTGTCCTGGGCAGGCCTCTCTTTGCAAAGGGCCGGGCTCATCCCCAGGCTGGCACGCATGCCCACCTACCCCATGGCCGAGTAAAGCGTGCCCCAGACAGGGCCCAGCATCCAGTGGGGTGGGTGCCACGAGGGTGTCTGCAGGGTGCCATACCAGCGGAGACCCTCGCCATGGACAAAGTGGGAGCCCACAAAGCACCCCAGGCTGGGTGCCAGTGTGAAGCCCACGGCGGGCACCCAGGGAGGGGCCATGGCTGGTGCAGCTGCTGTTCCAGGGAGCTCTGAAAGAGAAGACAGGGCTGGGTGAGCACATTCACGAGGCCACGGGGTCAGGCCTGCGTCTCCTCCAGCATCCCCAAAACGCCTGTCACCCACAGATCAACCAGTCAGCTGATCGGGAGGCACAGAGACGTGCGGGGCAGGCGTGGCTGAGTGAACAGATTTCCGGCCCTGCTCCCTGCCCCAGCTGCCTGGCCTCACCCCTGCCCACCCTACCTCAACCTTGGGTCTCCCGGCATGACCCCTCCTCTCTGCTGCCTCCCTCAAGGCCAGTTTGGGTCCCCTCTGCCAAGAAGCCTTCCCAGCCTACCTCCCTGGGCCAAGTCCCAGCCAACCCAGTGGTTTACATTCCAGCACTTCACATTCATCATTCATTCATTCACTCATTCATTCGGTGACTGGCATCAGAATTTGGCTCAAATCCCTTTCCTCACTGCCTCACTGTGACCTCAGGCAAATCACACCAACTTGGGGCCTCAGTTTCCCCCTCAGGGCAGGATATCAATGCTCACCTACCTTGAGCACAGCTCAGTGCACAGCGGCAAGGAGGGGACCCCACTAAAACCCCTGCCCCTTCCCCATGCAGCAGAGACAGAGCAGCCCGCCTGGGGCCACAACGCACTGCCCCGGTGGTAACGCGGCTCCCACCCTGACCTCGTCAAAAACGAAGGCGAGGCTCCCACTCGCTCCGACTCTAGGTGGAGAATCAGGTGTTGTGTGCTCGTCTGAGACGAGCTACACAACCCAATTCAGTTCAGCCAACTTGCAGCAAGGCCTGCTGGGGCGAGGGCCAGGACCCGGTGGCATGGGGTCGGGGAGGCCCTGAGAGGGCACGGACTGGGGCTGAGGGAGCCTGGATCTCAGAAATGGACCCCTGACCAGGAGAGATGCCACGGGAAGGACAGTAAGTGCTTTCACCCCAGAGGAACGCAGGAGGAGACAGGCGGTCTAGAGGACACGGAGGCAGCCGAGCTGGGGGAGGCGGGGGTCCGCAGAGACTGTGCTGGGGCAAAGGGCAAAGCCAGCCCCAGGGAGAAGGGGCAGCCGCTGGCCTGGAATCCATGGAGCCGTGTGAGCACAGAAGCAGCCTCCGTGCCCAGCAGCCAGGGACCACTAGACTGGCCGCCCCGCAGAACAAGCTTCTGAAGGCTTTTTAGTGATGAGGAAGTTGTTCTCAACATAACATGAAGACAGCAGAATGTAACACTGACAACAGAATGACCCCAATTTGGGCAAAAAGTGGGTACCATAGGTGTGCATTTTTTCTGAGATGGAATCGTGCTCTGTTCCCCAGGCTGGAGTGCAGTGGCGCCATCTCAGCTCGCCGCAACCTCCGCCTCCCAGGTTCAATTGATTCTCCCATCTCAGCCTCCCGAGCAGCTGGGATTACAGGCAGGTGCAACCCCACCCAGCTAATTTTTGTACTTTTAGTAGAGACGGGGTTTCACCCTGTTGGTCAGGCTGGTCTCAAACTCCTGACCTCAAGTGATTCAGCCTCCTCAGCCTCCCAAAGTGCTGGGATGACAGGTGTGAGCCACCGCGCCCGACCTATTTTAAAGGAACAATCCGAGTGTCAGGCATCCAGCAGAGTCTGGTGCTACCACTGACTATGACTCACTCCCTTCCCTGGACCTCAGTTTTCCCACCTGTTGAATGGGGACAGGCACCCCATCCCCCAAGGTCGCTGTACAGATGGGCAGTAAGGATAGACGTTCTTGGGGGCTGAGCATGTGACCTAGGTCCCGCAACAAATGTTCCTGTGTTCTCCCTCCCTCTCCCACCTGCCCCGCCCTCCAGCCTCCAGGGCACACGTGCTCATGAGGTGGGGGTGGGGTCTGATGTCACGACACACAGGAAAGGCCGCCTTCCCGGCAGTGGCCCTGCACCACCACTAAGTGGGTGTGGAGCTCCGGACTGCAGTGCTGGGAGCACCTCCCAGCTCAGCCTCCCACTACGTCCCCTCGGCCAAGCCCGGGCCAGCTCAGCCTGCTGCTCCTCTGGGCAACCGAGACATAACCACGGCTCTGCTGGAGTCTGCGTGAGTCCACAGCTGAGTGACATTGTGCGGGAACCATAAGGAACCACGTGCAGCCTCCGCTGGAAACGAGCCAAGCCTAGGGTGCCCGTAGGTGCCTTTTCCCAGGATGTGCCCCGTGGAGGCCCACCTGCCCCACACTGATGGCCCTGTCCAGGTGAGCAAGGATAATGCCACCAGCATGAGACACGTGGACATCCAGAACCCCTTGATAGGACACAGTACAGACGGGGTCTCGCTCTGTTGTCCAGGCTGGTTTTTCACCCCTGGGCTCGAGATCCTCCCATCAAGGCCTCTCAAAGTGCTGGAATTACAGGTGGGAGCCTCTGCGCCTGGACTAATTTCAGATTTCGAGACAAGTAACAAAAGTAGCACACAGCCCCCATATGCCCTTCACCCAGGCTCCCCTAAGAGCGCGGTTGTCCAAACCAGGAAGTGAGCATTGGCAGGACACGGACCAGGGCCCTTTCCTGAAATCCACCAGGTTCCCACTGGTGAGTTCTGCCTGCCCCGGGATCCCACCCGGGGCCCCACGCGGAGCTCGGCGGTTCTTCGCCTTCCTCTCGTGCAGGCGCCGACGTTTTCCTCATGGTTCCTCGCCTGTCGTGACCTCGGTGCTTTTGGAGAGTGCTCTGAGGGGGGGCATTCGTTGTGGAGAACCGTCCCCTCCAGGTTTTCCTGTGGTTGCACTGGGGCTTTGGACCAGACCTGTCACTGTCCCAAGGGATCTCATCTCCAGGGCCTCCGTGTCCCCACCTGTGAGGTGGTAGTTGAGCCAGTGGGTTTCAAGGTGTCTTTCTGTTCTCAGACACCTCCCTATAGAAGGTGACCCAGAAGACCGGGCACGGCGGCTCCCGCCTGTAATCCCAGCACTTTGGGAGGCTGAGGCGGGTGGATCACCTCAGGTCAGGAGTTTGAGACCAGGCTGGCCAACGTGGTGAAACTCCATCTCTACTAAAAATACAAAAATTAGCCCAGTGTGGTGGCACACGCCTGTAATCCCAGCAACTCAGGAGGCTGAGGCAGAAGAGTTACTTGAACCCAGGAGGCGGAGGCTGCAGTGAGCCGAGATCGCACCACTGCACTCCAGCCTGGGTGACAGAATGAGACTCCATCTCAAAAATAAAAAGAAGGTGACCCAGAAACAGAACAAGGAATGTGCCCCTTCTTTGATCCCCCTACCCTAGCTACACGCAGCTCCCCTGAGCCCTGTCTTTCCAGCGAAGCCACCACTGTCCCAGGGACGTGTTTTCAGGCTTTTTTTCAATGACTCATGTCTAACCGTCCTCATCATAACCTTTGTGCGAATTTTTCATTACGAAAGTAACGAGTGCAACAGCCCACAGGTCTGGAAAACTTCACAGCCAGCCCGGCCATCGGGTGGCCTGGGAGAGGGTGGCGTGAGGGTGGGGCATCCAGGGGGAATTGGTTCTGTTAAAAAAGAGTGCTTCCCTTTCCTTCAAGGTTCAGGGGTTAAAATGATTTTTAGTAAAAAATAAAGAACCAGCCTGGCCAACAGAGTGAAACCCTGTCTCTACTAAAAAGACAAAAATTAGCCGGGCTGAGGGCAGGAGAATCACTTCAACTCAGGAGGCGGAGGTTGCAGTGAGCCCCGATCGCACCACTGCGCTCCAGCCTGGGCAATGGAGCGAGACACTGTCTCAAAAATAGACATGAATAAAAATAAAGAAGAAATTAAGAATGACTTCCTTAGTAGTCTAGTGGTTAAAAATTAAAAAGCCTACTGTTTTAAACAAAGAGAGCGCATCCAGGCATCATTTGCCCAGTTGAAAGTAAAGAAAACATAAGCCAGGAACAGTGGCTCGTGCCCGTAATCCCAGCACTTTGGTGGCCAAGGCGGAGGATCGCTTGAGCCCAGGGGACTGCAGTGAGCTGTGACTGCATCGCCACACTCCAGCCTGCCTACCGGAGTGAGACCCTGTCTCAAAAAAAAAAAAAAAAAAAAAAAAAAAAAAAATGAAACAAAACAAAACAGATTCAAAAATGAAATGGCGAAAAAGCCAAAGTGAGAAGTCGGCTCCCTCCTGTCAGCCCAAGCCCCTCACCCCCCTGGAGAACCCACTGTCAATCGTTTCTGGTAAATCCAGCCAGACATCGTGCCTCATGGCAGGCACAGGTGTGTACACGTGACAGGACACACACACACACACACACACACACCCAGGAAAGAAAGTGGCCCTCAGGGCACAGTGGAGGAGGCAGGCTGGGATCAGACTGCACTGGTCCAGGCCGTGGCTCCACCATGCCAGCTGCGTAACTCTGGACAATACTTCCTTGGTAAACCTCAGTTTCCCCCAGTTTCCAGCTCTCCCCTGGGGGCCCAGGATTCCTGAAGAGCTTCCCTGCGGGGCTGCCAGCAGTCAGGTGGAGACTCGGGGGCCGTCTGCCCCTGCTGGGCTGAGACTGGCTCTCCTGCCCTTGTTACACGACCCCCTTTCACCGCCAGTGGAAACCTGCCTCAGGCTGCCCTGTGCAGGCCCCACTGACTCCACCAACGCCGGGCCTCGCCCATGTGCTGGCAGCAGGCCTTTAGGGGCAGGGCCTGCTGTGTGCCAGGCGAGCTGAGCCGTGGCTTCCTGTACAGCACCACCCCTGATGTCTTCGCCCTGCCTGAGGCCATGCTGGGACAGCCTCAAGTCCTGTCTCTCCTGCCACCCAGCCCAGGGCACATGGCTGGTACCGGGTATGGCCAGGCCATGGCAGGTTGGCCAGAGGGGCTCCAAGCCCGCGCCGGGCATGGCCTCTGGAGGCTGCCCGCAGGAGCAGCGTGTTCACATCAGGAAGTGCCCGCTTCTCCCACCCGGGCTCCCGTTTCTTTGCAAGGGCCAAGGGGAGCAGACAGGTCCCGGAGGCTGCTCGGCTCACAGGAAGCTCCGTCCAGGCTGCAGCGCACGTGGGCCCCGCACCGGGAATCCAGGGACAAGGGGCATGTAACGGCCGTGGGCAAAAACACCCTCCCGATCGGAGCTTCCTCCTCCTCTGTGAAACGGGACGTCTCGGGGATCAGGAGCCCGAGGTCTCCCGGACACTCTGAGACCCTCAAGGGAGCTCCGCCGGGACCGCCCAGCCGCGGAAGGGGCGGGAGAGGGGGCATCTGCCAGTCCTGGGACCGCGCTTCCTGGGAGCAGCCGCGCCTCCGGGAGCGGGACGGGGCGGGGCGGGGGGGCTGCCCCAGTTTCCCCTCCCGAGCCCCCGGCCGGAGGCCGCCCGCGCAGGAGCCCCGGCTGCCCGCCGCTCCCGCCCCTGACCCGGTAGCCGAGCCCCGAGTGCTGCCCCGGGCCGCCCCCTCGGGTATCCGGTCCACGGCTCCGGCCTCAGTTTCCCTCTATCCCGCGGCGCTGTCGGAGTCGCACCCGTGCGGGCCCCATTTCCCGCTGCCCACGCCGGGTCCCGTCCTCACTCACCAGCGGCGAGGGCACGCTCCGGGAAGGGCACTGCCTGGCAGAAGTCAGCGGGGCCGCCACCCGGGGCCCGCCCCGCCCCTCTCCGCCCCGCCCCGCCCCGCCCCGCCCCGCCCCGCCCCCCGCTCCCGCCCCGCCCCCGCTCCCCGCCCCGCCCCTCCCCTCTCCTCCCCGCCGCCAGGCCCCGCCCCTCCCGGCCGCTTCCCAGCAGGCCCCGCCCCGCCCCGCCTGGCCCCGCCCCTCCCGGCCGCCGGGCCCCGCCCTTCACGCCGCCAGGCCCCGCCCCGCCCCGGGCCGCGAGCCCCTTGGCTCCCCCGCGGGACGGGGAGCTCACTCCTCCAAGCCACCTCTCCCCCGGGCCGCGAGCGAGCCTCTCGGCTTCTCCTCGTCCCGACGGTGACCGGGGGCCGCCGCCCGGCCCGAGCCGGCCCCGACGCCGCCGCCGCGTGTCCGCCTCCGGTGGCTCCTCAGCTCTGCCCGCCTCACTCTTCCCGTCTGTCCCCGGGGGAGCGACGGCCTCTCCCGAGGCCGAGACCCCGAGCGCCCCCCTGCCCGGCAGCCCCGGCCCCGTGTCCGGAGCACCCCAGTGCCTAGAGCTGTCGGCCCAGGACGCGGAGGCCGCGCCGCAGCCTCAGTCCGGGCCCGGCCACTTTCCGGCTGGTTCTCTGCGCCTCCATCTCCTCAAATGTAAAATGGGCACCGAGTCGGGGGGCTGATGAGGCCGCTCCGCGGTGATGAAGGCGGGACACCCCTCGGGTGCGCGGTGCCCAGTGAGGGGAGGCGGCCTCCGGCTGCCGGGCCCGCCCCCGCGCAGGGCATGTCCAGCCGCAGGCCCTTGGCACTGCCTCGCCGCAGCCCGGGGCCGCCCCTGCCCCCTCCGGCCACTCACCCTGGCAGCACCCCTCGGCCCCGACCGGCCGCACTGGCCCAAACTGATCACGCGGGGGCCAGGGAGAGATGAGGCTGCTTCTCCCCCGAGGCCAGGAGCCTCCCTGGTGACCAGCCGGGCTGCAGCGTGGCTTTCCCAAGACCCGGTGCTTTTGCCGGGGCCTCTTCCTCCATTACAAAACAGACATACATATTCTGTTTTTAACTCTGTTGGCCTAAACCCAAGGATAACCCAGGATCAGTTCTATTCATCTTTTTCTTCTGGGTTTTTTTCTTTTTTTCTTTCTTTTTTCTTTTTAAAAATTCCTTTTAAGCAGGGTACAGTGGCTCACGCCTGCAATCCCAGCACTTTGGGAGGCGGAGGTGGGTGGATCACCTGAGGCCAGGAGTTCAAGACCAGCCTGGTCAAATTGGTGAAACTCCGTCTGTACTAAAAATACAAAAAGCTTTGGGCAGTGGCAGCATTGTAGCCAGTGAGGTTTATCCAAGCCGCAATTACTGCTCATTGTAAACTTTTCCCAACACCCGCCATGACGACTTGAAATATAGTCGTCGGCACTGGCAATTTTCGACAGTCTCGACGGAGACTGAATTTAAAAATATATATATACAAAAATCAGCTAGGCGTGTTGGTGGGCACCTGCAATCCCAGCTACTAGGGAGACTAAGGCAGGAGAATCACTTGAATCCGGGAGGCAGTGGTTACAGGGGACGGAGATCACGCCACTGCACTCCAGGGCAACAAGAGCGAGACTCTGTCTCAAAAAACAAAAATTCCTTCTTTTTTTTTTTTTTTTTGTGTGTGTGTGCTTCTCATTTTTTATTAAATTTCACAACATTTTAAAATTTTCTTATGCCTTTTCCCATATGTTTAATTTCCTCTGATTTAAAAGAAATGAAAACATTTCGTGCGCCCCTAGATGATTACGGCCCTAGGCTCTGCACCTGCTGCCCCCACAGGAGGGCCTCACCACACCTCCGGCTGGGAGGTGAAAAGCCAGCACTCCCGGCTTCCGGCAAGGCGCTGCCACAGGTGTGGCTGGAGCAGCAAACTCTCCTTCCCTAGAAGCCCCCGGGGGAGCAGGCCCAGCGGCTTCCTCCCAGCCTTGCTCCTCCTGCCTGCAGGACTCTAGGCCCATGGGGGAACCCTGGGGGGCAGGGTTTTCTGTCCCCAAATACCAGCTGCATGCCAAGGCCAAAGGGAGGGGCTGAGACAAACACACAAGGCCTTTGTCCTGAGGAAGTTCACTCCCCACTCACAGACGAGAACACTGCAGGTCAGAGGGAGGTACCTCCGGGGGATTCACGCTGCCGGCCTGGATGCGGGTAAGGGCGCCCTGTCCTGCTGTACCTGGCAGCCTCTCCGTGACTTCTCCATCCCTACGGACCCCATCTGAGCCTGAGGCTTTGTCTCTTTCCTGGGCAGCACCCACAGCCCCTACTTGGTCCTCAGCTGGCCCCCAGTTCCCGCCTTGTCCCTTCCTGCTGCTCCACACCTCTCCTCTGCTCAGGACACGCTGTGGCTCCCATGGCCTTGAAATCCGATCAAAGATTTAGCCTGACACTAGAGGCCCCGCCAAGCTGAAGTCAAGCTGACTGTTCCCAGTCCTACCTCTGTGCCTTTTTTTTGTCTTTTTTTAAAATGTTTAAGATGGAGTCCTGCACTGTCGCCCAGGCTAGAGTGCAGTGGCTTGATCTCTGCTCACTGCAACCTCTGCCTCCCGGGTTCAAGCAGTTCTCCTGCCTCAGCCTCCCAAGTAGCTGGGATTACAGGCACGCGCCACCACTACTGGCTAACTTTTGTACTTTTAGTAGAGATGCAGTTTCACCATGTTGGCCAGACTGGTCTCAAACTCCTGACCTCAGATGATCTGCCTGCCTTGGCCTCCCGAAGTGCTGGGATGACAGGCATAAGCCACCATGTCCAGGCCTTTTTTTTTTTTTTTTTTTTTTTTGAGACAGGGTTTTATTTTGTCTCCCAGGTTGTAGTATAGTGACACAATCATGGCTCAGTGCAGCCTGAGTTCAAGCAATTCTCCTACCTCAGTCCCCCAGCAGCTGGGACTATAGGCATGTGCAGCCATGGCCTATTTTTTTTTTTTTTTTTTTTTTTTTTTTTTTTTAGATAGGGTCTTGCTCTGTCACCCAGACTGGAATGGAGTGGTGCAATGTCAGCTCACTGCAACCTCCGCCTGCCGGGTTTAAGCAATTCTCCTGCCTCAGCCTCCTGAATAGCTGGGATTATAGGTGCACATTACCATGCCTGGCTAATTTTTGTATTTTTTAAAATAAAGACGGGATTTCACCACATTGGCCAGGCTGATCTTGAACTCTTTTTTTTTTTTGAGACGGAGTTTCGCTCTTGTTACCCAGGCTGGAGTGCAATGGCGCGATCTTGGCTCACCGCAACCTCCGCCTCCTGGGTTCAGGCAATTCTCCTGCCTCAGCCTCCCGAGTAGCTGGGATTACAAGCACGAGCCACCATGCTCAGCTGATTTTTTGTATTTTTTTTTTTTTTTTTTTTTGAGGCAGAGTGTCGCTCTTGTTACCCAGGCTGGAGTGCAATGGCATGATCTCGGCTCACCGCAACCTCCGCCTCCTGGGTTCAAGCAATTCTCCTGCCTCAGCCTCCTGAGTAGCTGGGATTACAGGCACGCGCCACCATGCGCAGCTAATTTTTTGTATTTTTAGTAGAGACGGGGTTTCACCACGTTGACCAGGATGGTCTCGATCTCTCGACCTCGTGATCCACCCGCCTCGGCCTCCCAAAGTGCTGCGATTACAGGCTTGAGCCACCGCGCCCTGCGATTTTTTGTATTTTTAGTAGAGACGGGGTTTCACCATGTTGACCAGGATGGTCTCGATCTCTTGACCTCATGATCCACCCGCCTCAGCCTCCCAGAGTGCTGGGATTACAGGCTTGAGCCACTGCCTGTCTCTTTCTACATTAAAAAACATAAGTCTATGTTGTTTTATTGCGAAATGTTCTAAAGAAAAATGTATCTAAAACACATGTGACTGGGTGCAGTGGCTCATGTCTGTCATCCCAGCATTTTGGGAGGCCGAGGCAAGTGGATTACCCAAGGTCAGGAGGTCGAGACCAGCATGACCAACATGGTAAAACAAAAAATACAAAAATTAGCCAGGCGTAGTGGCGGGCACCTGTAATCCCCGCTACTTGGGAGGCTGAGGCACGAGAATCGTGGGAACCCAAGAGGCTTGGAAGCTCCAGTGAGACAAGATCACACCTCTGCTCCAGCCTGGGTGATGGAGCAAGACTCAGTCTAAAAAACAAAACAAAACAAAAACGGCCGGGCGTGGTGGCTCAAGCCTGTAATCCCAGCACTTTGGGAGGCGGAGGCAGGTGGATCACGAGGTCAAGAGATCAAGACCATCCCGGTCAACATGGTGAAACCCCGTCTCTACTAAAAATACAAAAAATTAGCTGGGCATGGTGGCACGTGCCTGTAATCCCAGCTACTCAGGAGGCTGAGGCAGGAGAATTGCCTGAACCCAGGAGGTGGAGGTTGCGGTGAGCCGAGATCGCGCCATTGCACTCCAGCCTGGGTAACAAGAGCGAAACTCCGTCTCAAAAAAAAAAAAACAAAACACAAAAACATGTGTATACACTATAGTAATATTAAGGCCAGGTGTCCCCACTCCCCAGGTTATGACCAGAACACTACCAGCATCCTAGGAGCTCCCTGGTGACCTCCCCAGCGATTCCTCCCTACCCTGGAGGCCACCTCTATCTTAACTTGGGCTGAACAGACCCTTGCTTTCCTTTACAGTTTTATGAATCCTACCCAGGTGGGTTTCCCTGAGTATTATGTGTGCAGAGAGGCAGCACACCCTCGGCTGCGGAAGAAGGGATGCCGTGCCAGACCGGAAGACTCCTGGGAAGGTGAGCTCAGCTGAGTGCCTGGGGCACAGGCTGGGCTCAGCCTCTGTGAGTACTGCCAAGAGCCCCCTCTGGGGCAGGCAGAGGGCATGGTTGTGGGTGGGGCTCCCTTGTTAGGATGCTGGGCAGAGCTGTGGCATGGACATTCAGCAGGAAATGGTCAGGGGCATGAGCTGTTCTGTCTCTGGCTTCTGAGCTCACAGTGCCCTCAGGAGGAGGGTGCTCAGACGTCAGGAGCAGGGTGAGGCCTGTCAGGTGGGTCCTCAGCAGACCCAGGCAGCAGGGCAAGAACAGGGCTTCCTCAGCCTGTGATTGGGACCAGCCACGTGCAGGCAGGAATCTGGGCCAGGCTCGCTGGGCAGTCAGTACTTAAGGGAGCAGCGTGGCAGCAGGAATGTTGGTAATGCCAGCTCTCAACACATCTGGAGTCATGCTGCTCCCGGCTGGACAGGCTGCACAACCTGGCACACACATCATCCCGGGTCTTTCTTCACCACCCCCTGAGGATGCCCTCGCCCCTCCTGCATGGATCCTGGCTTCCTGGATTTCACATCTTCCTCCTTCATGGTCTCCCCGTGCTTGTGCTGAGCCTGCCCTCCAGGAGTCCTTGAGAAAGACCCCAGAAGGTAACGCTAGTCAATTCTTGCATCTGACCCCATGGAGGAGCGATGCTCAGCTGACTATCGTGGTCCTTCAGAATCACAAAAAGATGTTGTCGGCCAGCTGCCACACTGCGGCCAAACAGGCTGAAGCCATTCTGTTTTGGGAGCCTTTGGTGGATTTTGGTTTGCTTTTATTATTTTATTTTTTAAATTTATATTTATTTATTTATTTTTTGAGATGGAGTCTTGCTCTGTCGCCAGGCTGGAGTGCAGTGGCATGATCTCAGCTCACTGCAACCTGTGATTCTTCTGCCTCAGCCTCCCGAGTAGCTGGGACTACAGGCATGCACCACCATGCCCAGCTAATTTTTGTATTTTTTCGTAGAGACAGGGTTTTACCATGTTGGTCGGATGGTCTTGATCTCTTGACCTTGTGATCTGTCCGCCTCGGCCTCCCAAAGGGCTGGGATTACAGGTGTGAGCCACCGCGCCCGGCCTGTGTTTATATGTATATTTTATTTTTTTGTAGACACGGGGTGGCACTGTGTTGCTCAGGCCTGTTTCAACTCCTGGGCTCAAGCAATCCTCCTGCTTCAGCCACACTGTGGATCCTATAAGTGTAATCAGTTTTGTTCTTCCTGGAAGATTTTTAAGATTCTGGGCATCAGAGTTCTGAAATTTCACACTGATATTCCTCTATGTGGCCTAATTTCTCTTTTTTTAAGACAGTCTCACTCTGTAACGCAGGTGGGAGTGCAGTGGCACAATCTTGATTCACTTTGACCTTTGCCTCCCAGGCTCAAGCAATTCTGCCTCAGCCCCCTGAGTAGCTGGGATTACAGGTGAGCTCCAGCACACCCAGCTGATTATGTGAGCCTGATTTCCTCCAGAGTGCCAGCACTCAAGAGGCCCTTTCTGGCTGGGCGAGGTGGCTCACGCCTGTAATTCCAGTACTTTGGGAGGCCGAGGCGGGCGGATCACCTGAGGTCAGGAGTTTGAGACCAGCCTGACCAACATGGAGAAACCCCGTCTCTAGACGGGTGTGATGGCGCATGCCTGTAATCCCAGCTACTCAGGAGGCTGAAGCAAGAATCGCTTGAACCTTGGAGGCAGAGGTTGCACTGAGACACAAGATTGTGGTGCCGTTGCACTCCAGCCTGGGCAACAAGAGGGAAGCTCCATCTCAAAAAAAACAAAAAGAGGCCCTCTCTCTCTGGAAGCTCAGTCTTTACTTTTCAGAAGTTGGATTATTTCTTTGATTTCCTTCCCTCTATTTTCTCACTTCTCTTTCCAAATTTGTATTATGCAGCAATCGCTTCTCTTTCTGGAACGTCTATTACTCAGAATGAAGGGCCTCTAGGGCTGGTTTTCTAACTTCCTTTACTTTCTTTTTTTTTTTTTTTTTTTTTGAGATGGAGTCTCACTCTGTCACCCAGGCTGGAGTGCGCAGTGGTGCAACCTCAGCTCACTACAACCTCTGCCTCCCCTGTTCGAATGATTCTTCTGCCTCAGCCTCCCGAGTAGCTGGGACTACAGGTGTGTGCCACCACATCTGGCTAATTTTTGTATTTTTAAATAGCATTTTTTTTTTCTTTTTGAGAAGGAGTCTTGCTCTGTTGCCCAGGCTGGAGTGCAATGGTGTGATCTCAACTCACTGCAACCTCCGCTTCCCAGGTTCAAGCAATTCTCCTGCCTCAGCCTCCTGAATAGCTGGGATTACAGGTGCCCACCACCAGGCCCAGCTACTTTTTGTATTTTTAGTAGAGACAAGGTTTGTCCATGTTGGTCAGGCTGGTCTTGAACTCCTGACCTCAGGTGATCCGCCCACTGTGGCCTCCCAAAGTGCTGGGATTACAGGTGGCAATCACCTTGCCTGCTGTCTTTTTTTTTTTTTTTCCCATTATCGCCTTTTATTTTAGATTCAGGGTTTGTTAGTTACATGGGTATACTGTGTGATGCTGAGGTTTGGGACACAATTGATTCTTGTCACCCAGAGAGTGAGCACAGCAGCAAGAGGCAGTTTTTCAACCCTCGCCTCCCTCCCTCCGTCCCTCCCACCTCTGGGAGTTCCCAGTGTCCATTGTTTCGTCTTTTTTTTTTTTTTTTTTTTTTGAGATGTAGTTTTGCTCTTGTCACCCAGGCTGGAGTGCAGCGGCTCGATCTGGGCTCACGGCAACCTCCGCCTCCCGGGTTCAAGCAATTCTCCTGCCTCAGCCCCCCGAGTCGCTGCGACCACGGTGGGAGCCAGCGCGCCCAGCCCGTTGTTCTCATGTTTATGTCCATGTGCATCCATGTTTAGCTCTAAGTGAGAACATGTGGCATTTGATTTTTTGTTTCTGCATTAATTTGCTTAGGATAATGGCCTCTAGCTGCATCCATATAACTTCCTTTTCTTGGCAACTTTTCTTTTCTTTTTTTTTTTAAACGGAGTTTCACTGTTGCCTGTTTTGTTTGTTTGTTTGTTTGTTTGTTTGTTTAGACAGGGTCTCCCTCTGTCGCCCAGGCTGCAGTGCAGTAATTCAGTCATGGCTCAAGCAGTTCTCTCAACACAGCCTCCCATGTAGCTGCAACTACAGGCACGAGCCACAATACCCAGCTATACATTTTTTTCCTTTTGTAGAAACATGGTCCTTCAAGCATCTGCTTTTGGTGAAGAAAAAAGGAAACAGTCTGACTACGTTGCCCAGGCTGCTCTTGACCTCCTGGCCTCAAGAGTTCCTCCTGTGTCAGCCTCCCAAATCACTGGGATTACAGGGATGAGCCACTGTGGCCAATAATTTTCTTTCTTTTTTTTTTTTTTTGAGACAGGGTCTCACTTTGTCACCAGGCTGGAGTGCAGTGGCACAATCTCAGCTTGCTGCAGCCTCTGCCTCCTGAGTTCAAGCAATTCTCTGCCTCAGCCTCCCAAGTAACTGGGATTACAGGCACATGCCACCATGCCCAGCTAATTTTTTGTATTTTTAGTAGAGATGGGGTTTCAACAATTTGGCTGGGCTGGTCTTGAACTCCTGACCTCATGATCCACCCGCCTCAGCCTCCCAAAGTGCTGGGATTACAGGCGTGAGCCACTGAGCCCAGCCAATAATTTTCTTTTCTTTTCTTTTCTTTTTTTTAAAGAGGGTTTCACTCTTGTTGCCCAGGCTGGAGCGCAATGGTGTGATCTCAGCTCACTGCAACTTCTGCCTCCCGGGTTCAAGTGATTCTCCTGCCTCAGCCTCCTGAGTAGCTGGGACTACAGGCACGTGCCACCACGCCCAGTACAGAGACCCTTTGTCCCTTTCCAGTGAGACCCCAGATGGGTCCCAAAGCTGGGGAGGGACATCACCCAGTGGCTAGGGAGCAGGAGGGACCTAAAGATGTGTTTCTCAAAGGCACCTGCAAATAATCCCCTTTCTTTTAGCCTTCTTTCACCCTTAGATCTAGAAGCAGCAGCTGCTGCCGCCAGGCCTTCAGTTTTTCGGGATTGTGTTGTATGTATAAGGATTGGCTCACGGTCTTCCTCAGTCCTGGGAGAGATTTAGCGGTCTGAGATCAGCTCAGTCAGGTAATGCCAGCCTGTCTGCCTTCCATCTTCCAGAGATTCTGCTGCTGGGGGTCCGCTTTCCAGTTCTTCCTGTCCTTGTGGATTTATATCTATAAATATCTCTTTGTTGTGGATTTATGGGCGTCCAGAGGCAGTGCTCTCTCTATGCGTCTTAACCTGAGAGTCTCCTCCTTTTATATATAGTTTTTAGTTGTTGTTTTTTTTTTTTGTTTTTTTTTTTTTTTTTTTTTTAGACAGAGTTTCATTTTTGCTGCCCAGGCTGGAGTGCAATGGCACGGTCTCGGCTCACTGAAACCTCTGCCTCCTGGGTTCAAGCACTGAAACCTCCACCTCCTGGGTTCAAGTGATTCTCCTGCCTCAGCCTCCCTAGTAGCTGGGATTACAGGTGCCCACCACTGTGCCCATCTAATTTTTGTGGGTTTTTTTGGTTTGTGGTTTTTGTTTTTTTAAGACAGAGCCTCACTCTGTTGCCCAGGCTGGAGTGCAGAGGTGCTGTCTCGGCTCACCTGAAACCTCTGCCTCCTGAGTTCAAGTGATTATCTCCCTCAGCCTCCTAAGTAGCTGGGATTACAGGCATGTGCCATCACGCCTGACTAATTTTTGTATTTTAGTAGAGACGGGGTTTCACCGTCTTGGCCAGGCTGGTCTTGAACTCCTGACCTTGTGATCCACCTGCCTCAGCCTCCCAAAGTGCTGGGAATACAGGTGTGAGCCACTGCGCCTGGCCAAATTCTTATATTTTTTAGTAGGGATGGGGTTTCACCACGTTGGCCAGGCTCATCTCGAACTCCTGATCTCATGATGCACCTGCCTTGGCCTCCCAAAGTGCTGAGATTACAGACGTGAACCACCTTGCCTGGCCTTTTTTTTTTTTTTTGAGACAGAGACTCAGTCTGTTGCCCAGGCTGGAGTGCAGTGGCATGATCTCGGCTCACTGCACCCTCTGCTGCCTGGGTTCAAGTGATTCTCCTGCCTCAGCCTCCCCAGTAGCTGGGACTATAGGCACCCACCACCACATCCAACTAATTTTTGTATTTTAGTAGAGACAGGGTTTCTCCCTGTTGGCCAGGCTGGTCTTAAACTTCTGACCTCAAATGATCCGTCTGCCTCAGCCTCCCAAAGTGCTGGAACTACAGCCATGAGCCACCGCGCCTGCCCAAGCCTGTGTCTCTTGGGTTGCTTTTAGATTAAAATTAGATAACCCCAATTTCCAACCCCCATTCTGTCCCTAACCACCTGTCACTCAATCTCTGAGCCTTTGTCACTCTATATTAAGAATAATAATAGCAACGTATCGGCCGGGCGCGGTGGCTCAAGCCTGTCATCCCAGCACTTTGGGAGGCCGAGGCGGGTGGATCACAAGGTCGAGAGATCGAGACCATCCTGGTCAATATGGTGAAACCCCGTCTCTACTAAAAATACAAAACATTAGCTGGGCATGGTGGCGTGTGCCTGTAATCCCAGCTACTCAGGAGGCTGAGGCAGGAGAATTGCCTGAACCCAGGAGGCGGAGGTTGCGGTGAGCCGAGATCGCGCCATTGCACTCCAGCCTGGGTAACAAGAGCGAAACTCCGTCTCAGGAAAAAAAAAAAAAAATAGCAACTATCCGTCACAGCGTTGCTGTGAGGAATTACATAAGCCAATATTTGAAACATACTCAGGGCTTTGTTCAATGGCAGGAAGATCTACCGGATGCTTATTATGTGCCAGGCACTGTGTGGTTTATAGGAAACATCATAAAAGAGAGCTGTAATCTTGCATAGCTGGCAGCTGGCAACTCCTGCCGTTCAGAGAACCATATGCAAGAAATGCGGTTTCCGGCCGGGCACCGTGGCTCACGCCTGTCATCCCAGCACTTTGGGAGGCTGAGGGCAGGTGGATCGCCTGAGGTCACGAGTTCAAGACCAGTCTGGCCAACATGGTGAAACCCATCTCCACTAAAAATACAAAAACTAGCTGGGCGTGGGGGCGGGCGCCTGTCATCCCAGCTACCGGAGAGGCAGAGGCAGGAGAGTCGCTTGAACCTCGAAGGCAGCGGTCGCAGCGAGCACAGCGACCACCGCACTCCATCCTGGGCGACAAGAGTGAGACTCCGTCTCAAAAAAAAAAAAAAAAAAAAAAAAAGTGGCGGTTTCAAGTGCTCTTCCCGCGCCAGGTGGAAAGCGTAAATAGCACATCGCGTTGCGTTATTTATCCCATAAAGGTGCGTTGAAGGCCCGTCTGGCGGGCCCCGTGCCCCGTTCCCGGCTGTCGATGCTGAAGGAAACACGTGGTTCCCCTCCCCCGTCCGGTCCCCGGGCGCAGCCGGAAGGCCCTCCGAGCCCCGCGGAACCTTTCTCTCCGCGCCCCGGGCGCCCCGGCGGGAAATGCGTCACGGCCCACGTCGGCCGCGCCGGCGCAGTCGGGCCTCGGTCGCCACGGGAACGCGCGCGCGCCGGCGTCCGACCATGAGCGCGCGGTTCGTGCGGGCCGCGTGGGCCCGGCGCTCGGGGCCCGGCCGCTGCCGTGGCGCCTCCGGCTTCCCGCCGCCTCCGCCGGGCGCCCAGGGTGTGGCGGAGCTGCTGCGAGACGCGGCCGGGGCGGGGGCGGAGGCGCCGTCGGCGGCCGCGGAGCGCCGGACGCCGGGCCGGTACTCCGTGCTGCTCTTCCCGGGCCAGGGCAGCCAGGTGGTGGGCATGGGCCGCGGTCTGCTCGGCTACCCGCGCGTCCGCGAGCTCTACGCCGCCGCCCGCCGCGTGCTGGGCTACGACCTGCTGGAGCTGAGCCTCCACGGGCCGCAGGAGGACTTGGACCGCACCGTGCACTGCCAGCCCGCCATCTTCGTGGCATCGCTGGCCGCGGTCGAGAAACTGCATCACCTGCAGCCCTCGGTGAGGCCCGGGCCCCCGGGGCGGGAGGGGGACGGTGGGCTCCGCCGGAGCCCTCAGCGCCAGGCTGGACCCGCCGGGGGCTTCCGCCTGCCGGCCGCGGCTCCCGCATCTCACTCATCCCACTGAGTTTCAGAAAGTTCCCGTTTATGCCGGGCGGTGTTGGAGGCGCCGTCGGCAAAACAGCGATCCCTGCCCTGGGGTAGGTGACGTCTTAGGGATACAGAAAATAAGCACTAGATGCAGTAACTAGGTGAATTAGATGCTCTGTAAAAGATGGTAAATGTTGCAGAAAGAAATAGCAGTAAAGGGGATGTGGGAGAGGAGGGCCAGTTTGTGGTTTTAAATGATTTTACATCATTGAATGCATTAATACATAGTTTTTAAAGGATTAATTTTTTTTCTTTTTTCTTTCTTTTTTTTTTTTTTTGAGATGGGAGTTTTGCTGTGTCACCCAGGCTGGAGTGCAGTGGCACAGCCTTCTCGGCTCACTGCAGACTCTGCCTCCTGGGCCCAAGTGATAATCGTGCCTCAGCCTCCTGAGTAGCAGAGCTTACAGGTGTGGGCCACATGCCCAGCGAATTTTGTTTTTGTGGGTTTTTTTTTTTTTTTTTTGAGACAGTCTCAGTCACCTTGGTTGGCATGCAGTGGCTCAATCTCAGCTCACTGCAACCTCCGCCTCTTGGGTTCAAGCGATTCTCTTGCTTCAGCCTCCCAAATACCTGGGATTACAGGTGTCTGCCACGACGCCTGCTAATTTTTTTATTTTTATTTTTAAGACGGGGTTTCACCATATTGGTCAGGCTGGTCTCGAACTCCTGACCTCAGGTAATCCACCCACCTGAGCCTCCCAAAGTGCTGGGATTACAGGCATGAGCCACCGTGTCTGGCAATTTTTGTATTTTTAGTAGCGACAGGGTTTCACCATGTTGCCCAGGCTGCTCTTGAACTCCCGACCTCAGGTGATCCACCTGCCTCAGCCTCCCAAAGTGCTGGTATTACAGGCATGAGCCACCATGCCTGGCCGAATTTTGTATTTTCAGTAGAGCTAGGGTTTCTCCTTGTTGCCCAGGCTGGTCTCAAACTCCTGACCTCAAGTGATCTGCCTGCCTCAGCCTCCCAAAGTGCTGGGGTTACATTCGGGAGCCACCACACCAGCCTAACGTTGTTCTTTCTTTTTTTTTTTTTGAAATGGAGTTTTGCTCTTGTTGCCTAGGCTGGAGTGCAGTGGTGTGATGTGGGCTCACTGCAGCCTCCATCTCCCAGGTTCATCCGCCTCGGCCTCCCAAAGTGCTGGGCTTACAGGCGTGAGTCACTGCACCAGCATAAATGAAGGAACATTGAGATGACTTGAGAATGTCACTTCACTCGAAGGTGGTGGATTGATTACTATTAATATTTAATAAGACGGTAAATGTTTAGCCCTTGAGATCCTTTACCCTATTTCACCTCCACAACCACCTTGTGAGGTTAATACTGTTATTTGATGGTTGAGGAATGTAGACTCAGAGATATTAAAAAGAATTAGTTGGCCAGGCACCATGGCTCAAACCTGTAATCCCAGCTCTTTGGGAGGTAGGTGGATTGCCTGAGGGCAGGAGTTCAAGACCAATCTGGCCAACATGGTGAAACTCATCTCTACTAAAAATACAAACAAACAAAGCTGGGCATGGTGGCATGTGCCTGGATCCCCAGCTGCTTGGGAGGCTGAGGCAGGGAAATTGCTTGAACCAGGAAAGTGGAGGTTGCAGGCGAGGTGGCTCACGCCTGGAATCCCAGCACTCCGGGAGGCCGAGGTGGGTGGATCACTAGAGGTCAGGAGTTCGAGTGCAGCCTGGCCAACGTGGTGAAACCCGGTCTCTACTAAAAGTACAAAAATTAGCCAGGCTTGGTGGTGGATGCCTGTAATCCCAGCTACTCCAGATGCCGAGGCAGGAGAACTGCTTGAACCCAGGAGGCGTAGGTCGCAGTGAGCTGAGATGGTGCCATTGCACTCCAGCCTGGGCGACAAGCAAAACTCCATCTCAATTAAAAAAAAAAGTCACGCTCTTAACTTCTGCACAACCATGTGGCCCGAGAGCCTGCTGTAGGGTCACAGCAAAGGAATCCAGAGCCCTGGGTTGGTGTCAGTGTGACCACGGGCGGAGTTGACTGGGCTGTAACTTACCAGGAAACTCCTCCTAAATACAGGGCAGGACTCAGTGATAGTCAAGGTCACTTCTGCGTGATAGTCAAGGTCTCTTCCGGCCGGTGCACCAAGCCTGCAGAACCTGGCTCACTAAGATGCTGAACGCCCTGGCCGCGGTCAGGTGCAGAGCCCCTGGAACTGGGGTCCCCAGGAGAATGAGGCCTCACATTCTGTGTCTGTCATCCCAGGTGATTGAGAACTGTGTAGCTGCTGCTGGATTCAGTGTGGGAGAATTTGCAGCCCTGGTCTTTGCCGGAGCCATGGAATTTTCTGAAGGTACACAAAGGCGTTTGGTTTTGTACAGCGCTGTGGTCTCAGGCACTTCAGGTGCGTGGGACATTGCCAAAAATGATATTGGACCCACTTGGGTGTTGGGAAGGGAGCACATGGATAGGTATGACATTGGCCCATGAAGACAGGACTTCACTGTGATTCCATTTTAAGCCTGAAGAATTCATTAAGGATTTCCCTTGTTTTTGTAATCTCATGACATCTGCTTGCTGGACTCTCACCCCCGATCCTGTGCTCTCGCCTACCTGCAGCACCTGCCATGGATAGTGCGTGCTCAGTAGATTTTCACTGAATTAAAATGTAAAGTATTTCATCTGGAGCGATGTTAGTTTTACTTCTTAAGAATTTTGCTGCGCAGGAACCATGGCTCATGTCTGTAATGCCAGTGCTTTGGGAGGCCAAGGCAGGAGGATCACTTGAGGCCAGGAGTGCCACACCATCTTGGGCCACCTAGTGAGACCCTCATCTCTGCCCCCCAAAAAAACAAAAATCAGGTTGGGTAAAAAACCTGTAATCTCAGCGCTTTGAGAGGCAGAGGCAGATGGATGCTTGAGCCCAGGAGTTTGAGACCAGCCTGGGCAACATGGTAAAAACCCCATCTCTAACAAAAATACAAAATCAGCCAGGCATGGTGGTGTGCAGCTGTAGTCCCAGCCGCAGTGCTCAGGAGGATGAGGTGGGAGGATTACCTGAACCCAGGAGGTCAAGGCTGCAGTGAGCTGTGATCCTGTCACTGCATTCCAGCCTGGGCAGCAGAGTGAGACCCTGTCACACACACACAAAATCGACTGGGCCTGGTGGCATGCACCTGTAACTCCAGCTAGTCAGGAGGCTGAGGTCGGAAGATCACTTGAGCCCGAGTCTGAGGCTGCAGTGAGCTGTGATTGTGCCACTGCACTGCAGCATGAGTGACAGCGAGACCCTGTCTAAAATGAAAAAAAAAAAAAAAAAAATCTAGTATAGAAACATGAGGTTACTGGGACTGGAGAGGGAGGAGTGGAGGGTGCTTCCATAGTGGACGTGGAGTGTTTGAAACTAGACAGGTGGCGGTTGCACAACATTATGAATACCCCAAATACCACTGAATTCTGCATATTAAAGTGGTTAATTATATTTTAAGTGAATTTCACCACAGTGCTTTTTTTTTTTGAAGCATTATATCATTATTAAGGAAAGTTTCATACTTTCACATTTTATGAAACAATTTTAATTGCACGTATCATCTTACGTGTGCATAATGTGTAGAATTGGGCCTGGTGTGGCGGCTCACGCCTGTTATCCCAGCCCAGCACTTTGGGAGGCTGAGGTGGGTGGATCACCTAAGGCAGGAATTTGAGACCAGCCCGGCCAACATGGTGAAACCTCGTCTCTACTAAAAATACAAAAATCACCCGGGCATAGTGGGTGGGTGGGCGCCTATAATCTTAGCTACTCAGGAGGCTGGGGCACAAGAATCATTTGATTGTGCAAGGCGGCAGAGGTTGCAGTGAGCCAAGATCACGCCACTGCACTCTAGCCCGGGCAACAGAGTTAAACTCTGTCTCAAAAAGAGAAAAGTGTGGAATTATAGCGTATTTACAATTTTGAGGGGTTTTTCTTGAGACAGTATCTTGCTCTGCCACCCCAGCTGCACTGCACTGGTGCGGTCATAGCTCGCCACTAGGTGCCTGTAATCCCAGCTACTCGGGAGGCTGAAGCCGGAGAATCGCTTGAACACAGGAGGCAGAGGATAGAGATGACGTTGGCCCATGAGGACAGGACTTCACTGCGATTCCATTTTAAGCTTGAAGAATTGATTAAGGATTTCCCTTATTTTTGTAATTGCATGACATCTGCTTGCTGGACTCTCACCCCCGATCCTGTGCTCTCGCCTACCTGCAGCACCTGCCATGGATAGTGTGTGCTCAGTAGATTTTCACCGAATTAAAGAGTAAATAAGTATTTCATCTGGAGCGATGTCAGCCTGGGCATCAGAGCGAGACTCCGTCTCCAAAACAAAGAAAAACAGAACCTCAAGGAGGTTGTGACTTGGCTAAGGCAACATGGTTCCCACTCTGTGCCTCTGTACCTTTCACCAGAGTTTCTTGATAGTGGCACAATGGTTTTGTTTAATAGTGTTGCTGTTGGGCCAGGTCATTTGTTTTGTGGGGGAAAAGGAGGCTGTCCTGTGCACTGCAGTGTGTCGGACATCCTCTCTGGTCTCTGCCCACTCAGTGGCACTTTGAGTCGTAACAACCAGAAAACATCTCTGGACACCACGGAGCACCGCTGTCCTCCACCAAACCAGCTTTAGGGCAGGAAGCTCCTTGGGTTCGTTTGTATCGTGCCAAGTACAGCAGTGTGCTTTTGGTGATGAACGCTGTGTGGTTGGTAGAGATGTGCAGAATTGTGAGTGGAGGTTGGGCTTTGTTTCTCAGGCCTGGCCTTTTCGCCTTCATTCTGTGCCCTCATTTTTCCAAATGCGCTTCTCTCTGGACAGGTTTGTATGCGGTGAAAATCCGGGCTGAGGCCATGCAGGAAGCTTCAGATGCCGTCCCCAGTGGGATGCTGTCTGTCCTCGGCCAGCCGGAGTCCAAGTTCAGCCTCGCCTGTTTGGAAGCCCGGGAACACTGCAAGTCCTTAGGCATAGAGAACCCTGTTTGTGAAGTGTCCAGCTACCTCTTTCCAGATTGCAGGGTGATTTCAGGACACCTGGAGGTGGGTGTTGATGGGAGCCGCCTTTACAGACCCCAGTCCAGTACGGCGGGTTGGAACTGCTCCACAGTGGGGAGACCCGGCAGTGTGGCAGGTGGTCTGTCCGGCCTGGTCTTTAGGAAGTATTTGGGGGCCAGAGCAGTGAGGTAGAGTGAGCGCCACAAAGCAGGCAGGACCCAGAGTGCCGCCCGGCTCCACCGTGTGTAGGCCGGGGTCTGGAACAAACCAGCCAGCCCGTGTCTAAAGTCAAGGGGCGGGGCCACGTGATCTCCAGGCCCCCCTGTAGTACCTTCTGGGCTTCTGAGGAGCCTCTGGTCTGGTTGCTTCCTTAGAGAACAGAGCTGTTTTCTGCCGATCGCTCCGCCTGCCTTGCTTTTTTTAGGTGTCTGTTTTTACACTGGTGTTCGTTTCCTTTCCACCGTCTTTCCTTCCATTTACTGCTTCCCCAAACGTGTATCAAGCACTGGGGATGCACAGACGGCTTAGCCAGCGTTCCCGCCATCAAAGGAAGAGCCCCTATGAAAGTATGACTCCAGGCCGAGGGGCAGGGGAGGGTCTGGCTGACCAATGATGGGCCTTGGAGCCACCGAGACGGCGGCAGCTGGAGGGAGAGCACGCGTTCGCCAGCAGGGGCGTCCCGAGCAGGGCGGCGGGAGCCCCTAGGGAGAGAGCAGCGGGTCCTGAGTGCCCGGCCGGGGGTGCTGAGTGCGTGCAGATTGGAACCCGTACCAGGGGCTGCTGCCAGGCTCAGATATTTCTTTTTTTTTTTTTTTTGAGACAGTCTTGCTTTGTCACCCAGGCTGCTGGAGTACAGTGTCACTGCATCCTCCGCCTCCTGGGTTCCATCAGTTCTCTGCCTCAGCCTCCCGAGTAGCTGGGATTACAAGCGCGAGCCACCGCACCCGGCCAAGGAAGGCATTCTCACACTTTCCACACAAAGGTGCTGAGGCGGAGAGTGCTTGGACATGGTAGAGGCAGAACTGGATCCCGAGTCTCACTCCAGAGTCTGTTGCTGCCACTTGACCATGCCTGGCTCCTCTTCCCCTCTGAGGACTCACCGAATGCCAGGCACCGTCGTCTGCCTCCTCTGAAGCAGTGAGAGCCGGCAGGAACCTCTCGGGACTGTTCTGAGATGGTGGGCAGGGCGGCTGCGGTGGCCCCAGCTCGGTCTTGGAGCTGGTGACACACTCCCTTTAGCTCAGGAAGGACCTCGAAGTCGGGGCAGGAGCCTCCCCAGCAGGCTCCCGCACAGGTGCCCAGTCTGGGTGACAACTGCTAGGCTTGTCCTTTCGGCATCTTTTTTTGAGACGGAGTTTCGCTCTTGTTACCCAGGCTGCAGTGCAATGGCGCGATCTCGGCTCACCGCAACCTCCGTCTCCTGGGTTCAAGCAATTCTCCTGCCTCAGCCTCCTGAGTAGCTGGGATTACAGGCACGCGCCACCATGCCCAGCTAATTTTTTGTATTTTTAGCAGAGACGGGGTTTCACCGTGTTGACCAGGATGGTCTCGATCTCTTGACCTCATGATCCACCCGCCTTGGCCTCCCAAAGTGCTGGGATTACAGGCTTGAGCCACCGCGCCCGGCCGGCACTTTTTTTTTTTGAGACAGGGTCTTTCTTTGTTTTCCGGGCTGGAGTGCAGCGGCACGATCTTGGCTCACTAACCTCCACCTCCTGGGTTCAAGTGATTCTCCTGCCTCAGCCTCCCAAGTAGCTGGAACTGCAGATGCGCACCACCACACCCAGCTAATTTTTTTGTATTTTTAGTAGAGATGGGGTTTCACCATGGGACTGTAGTCGTGAGCCACTGCGCCTGGGCCGAGGACCAGCCCCTGCAGTGGAGACCTTGACCCCTGTGGCCCTAACCTAGGACTTGAGAGGGCTCACTGTTGAACCAGAGTCCAGAGACCTTACATGGAAAGCCCCAAGAAGTGCCATGGAGTAGCCATCCCCATACCTGCCAGTCACTCAGACAGTCTGGGTGTGGAGGAAGGGCTTGGTCTATAGAGTCCAGAAGGCCCAGACCAAAGGATCCCAGCTCCTGTGGCGCAGCCCTCCGTGGGATGGAGCTGTGTCGAGGGTGATGGTGGAAGGGACGCACAGGCCAGTCAGCAGGAGCCAGCTTCTGCTGCAGTGACAAGCAGCCCACACCTCAGAGGTCACGGCCCGGAAGTGCAGGTCCCATTCCTAGTCTGTGCTCACCAGCCCAGGACTCAAGCTATGGGAGCAGCCTCTAGGGAACAGACTAAAGTGGGTGGATCACTGGAGGCCAGGAGTTCAAGAGCAGCCTGTCAACATGGTGAAACCCCATCTACTAAAACGTAGCCGGGAGTGGTGCTGCACACTTATAGTCCCAGCTACCCGGGAGACTGAGGCAGGAGAACTGCTTGAACCTGGGAGGCAGAGGTTGCAGTGAGCCAAGATCATACCTTTGTACTCCAGCCTGGGTGACAGAGCTCACTCTCAAAAAGAAAAAGTAGAAATTAAAAGAGTATCTTCTGTTTTAAAGACCTTTGCAAATTCTGTTGTTTGCTAACTGATGTAAGGGTTTGGAGCTGTTGGCTAGCCCGAGGCCCCTTTCTGAGCTCAGAAGCCCATTAGAAGGTTTTTGGCATCAACAACAGAACTCTTTCCTTCTCTAGAGAAACCCCAGATGAAGGTGGCAACAACCCAGACCCTGCATTATGAAATGGGGGCTTGAAGATTAAGGAATAAAAAGCAAACAGGCTTGTCAGAATTCTGCAAGTTGCGATAGAATTCTCACCGAGCGCTCACACTTCTTGGGGCTTTTCCTTTATCAGACCCTGTCGCGTGCCTTACGGCGTTTGCTCTTCCCGACAACGTTGTGAGGTAGATGGAACTGTGCTTTCTTTGAGGGATGGGACAGAAGAGATTCACGGATGTGAAGTGAAGTGCCAGGGGATGGTGCTGGGACAGACAGGCCACATTTCCGTGTTTCACAGCTGTGGGTCTCTGTGGTCAGCCTCCCAGTTTGGCCATTGAATGGTCAGATCCCCAAAGGCAGATTTCTGGGACGTCGGCTGTACAAGTAATTTTTTTTTTTTTTTTTTTTTTTTTGAGATGGAGTTTCGCTCTTGTTACCCAGGCTGGAGTGCAATGGCGCGATCTCGGCTCACCGCAACCTCCGCCTCCTGGGTTCAGGCAATTCTCCTGCCTCAGCCTCCTGAGTAGCTGGGATTACAGGCACGCGCCACCATGCCCAGCTAATTTTTTGTGTTTTTAGTAGAGACGGGGTTTCACCATGTTGACCAGGATGGTCTCGATCTCTTGACCTCGTGATCCACCCGCCTCGGCCTCCCGAAGTGCTGGGATGACAGGCGTGAGCCACCGCGCCCGGCCTGTACAAGTAATTTTAACGGGAACCAAAAGTGGGTCAGGGTCCCCACTCAGGGTTTGCAGGGTTAGATCCAAGTCCAGCTGTGAGGGATGAGTGTGCCAGATACGCAGGGCCGGGAGAGCGCCAGTGGCGACTTCTGCCACTGTGTTTCTCCCTACGATTTGTGCAGCTGAAACCTTCTTTCCCCAGGCACTGCAGTTTCTCCGGAAGAATTCCCCTAAGTATCGTTTCAGACGCACCAGGATGCTGCCGGTGAGCGGCGGCTTCCACACCCGCCTGATGGAGCCAGCCGTGGAGCCCCTGACGCAAGTTTTAAAGGCGATCGACGTTAAGAAGCCTCTGGTGTCCGTCTACTCCAACGTCGACGGGCACAGATACGGGCATCCCACGCACATCCAGAAGCTGCTGGCCCAGCAGGTGGTCTCCCCAGTGAAGTGGGAGCAGACGATGCACGCCATATACGAAAGGAAAAAGGGCAGCGAGTTCCCCAGAACTTTCGAAGTGGGCCCCGGGCAGCAGCTGGGAGCCATCCTCAAGAGCTGTAACTTGCAGGCCTGGAAGTCCTACAGCCCCGTGGACGTGCTGCAGACCCTCGAACACGTGGACCCGGACCCCGAGGAGTCCCCAAGATGACCATGGGGGACTCAAACGGATGAACCCCTGTGCCCTCCCGAGAAGAGGCTATGAGCTGTGCCCACCACACCTTCCCTTCCTAGCGGCTCCTCTTCTGAGTGAAAGGGATTGTTTACAACGTGCTTTGGAGGCCGCATAAAAAGCCCTAAGTGAGTATTTCTTTACATGACCCAGTCCATTTCTCCCCCTTGGAAAAAAATCTTTGGATGTTGGGAAGGATGCCACAGGGCTGCCAGCCCTGCACCATGGGTGGGTGTGCCCACTCAGCGGGGCGGGGAGGGGAGGGTGCTGCAGCCTCATGCCAGCCCCTGCCCTGCCCTGCCCTCCAGGTACTGGGAACGTCCTGGTGGGGACTCAGGTCTGGCCAGTGCCAGGGGAGCCCCTCCACCACCCCCCCGCCCAGGGCTTCTTTGTCACAAGTCTAAAAGGTTTTAGAACCCAGTTGGCCTTGGCACTTTTGTTCACCCCTCACTTGACATCTGGAAGACAGTCCCATATTTGTTGACGTACCCAAGACAAACATACTGAGTGCCTGCTGTGTGCCAGAGTGTGAGTGGGCTGCGGTGGTAGAAGGGTCCTTGAGTGAGGGGCAGGGTGCGGGGAGTGCCAGGAAGGGAGGGCGGCTGAGGCTCTGGTCCCAGGGTTGGGACCATAGGACTGTGGTTACTGCAGGTCTGCGGGGTGCCAGAGGGAGCACAGCGCATACCTGCCTCGGACCTGACGCCCGACTCCATGCCCCGTCCTTGGACGGAGCAGCTCCTACATGAACATCAAATATGAGACAAGCAATCAGTCGGGCACAGTGGCAGGCACCTGTAGTCCCAGCTCCTCAGGAGGCGGAGGTAGGACAATTGCATGAATCCAGGAAGCAGAGGTTGTCGTGAGCCAAAATCACGCCACTACACTCCAGCCTGGGCGACAGAGCAAGACTCTTGTCTCAAAAGTTACAGGGTTTCTCACTGTTCGTCCTGTGACGTTTCTCCGAAGCGCCCTGCTGGCCTTTGGGCAGAACCCTGTTTCGTTCTGCAGGACTATCCATTGTTGGATAGTCAGAGCCCAGCTGTCCTGGTGCTGGGCCATGACACGCCAGCAGCACTTCCAGGCATTGTGACCCTGTGACCCCCAAACACCCTACCCGTCTCCATGAAGCCCTGGGTTAAAACACCAACAGAAGTGGACACGCTGATTCCCACTGTGGCCTGCATGCATGTCACTTGAAGTGTGATAGTTCTTTGAAAAGAACTACCTCTCAAATCTTTATTGCACAAAGAAATGCTTATTTTGAGTACTGAGCCTGTTTGAAGCCCTTTCCCTGAGAGCTTCAAGCAGTGGCAGCCTCGGGAGACCCAGACCCTCCACGTCCAGGTTCTTTGGCAGTGCTGCGGGCAGGATGGTGTTGTAGGGTCATGTTCAGCTCCCAGGAACAAAATCCCAAATAAGGGAGGGGTCTGCTTTCCGAGGGGTCGGGAACAGCAGGCCTTACTGCTTGCTCTCTGGGCACTGCCTTGTCCTCGCGTCCTGGGGTGGTACTAGCAGATCCACGACTAGGAAGGGAGAAGAGACGGCCAAGAGCGTATGGTGCAGCCTTAACCAAGACCCCGGAAAGCTGTCAGTGTCACCTGTAGTGCGGGGGTTGCCCCACAGGTGAGGGCAGGCAGCGCTCCCCGCTACTCTACCCCTGCTCCTTTGGACAATCCTTACAGAGGGGCAGGCATGGGCAGACAAGGGGAGTCGGAGTCAAGAGCCCAGAGTCGTGGGGTGAGCCACGCAGAGTCCTACATCTTGTTCCTTGGTGGGAACTTGGCAGGCTCCTGCCCCTTTAGGGAAGTGCCAGTGGGTGGCTTTGGTCCCAGCACACTGGCCCAGCCCTTGGTGAAAACTGACTGCCACCACATCTCTGGGCCTCGTGTCCTAGGAGAACCGTGCCTGTTTCTCTAGGCCTGCATGGCATCGGGGCCCTCCCTTCCCAGGACAGTGAGATCCCATCTCTACAAAAATATAAAATGAGCCAGTGATCAGCCTCTCTTCACTTTGTCAGAACCCCAGATGCGAGGTAAGGGTGGTGCAGAGGTGAGCAGACCCTGATCAGCCTCTCCTCACTTTGTCAGAACCCCAGATGCGAGGTAAGGGTGGTGCAGAGGTGAGCAGACCCTCTCGCACCTCTGCTCACCCAGTAGGCACTGCCAGATGGTGGTGTGGGCTCAGGGGCAGGTGGGAGGTGGAAAGCCTGAGTGTGGGTCTAGGAGACCTGGGTGAAGCAGCAGATGTAGAAGTGGGGAGAGAGCACCCCATACCCATAGAGTGCAGGTAGCATGTGGCAAGGCCACAGCTCAGCCCCATGACTCGTCTGCGGAAGCTTTGAAGCCCAGTGTTTTCACTGCATGTGTTTCTAGTGGCCTTTGGTCAGTGGGCTGATCGGGGTGGAAAAGGGTCCATGGCTGGGTGGAATGTCCAAGACCATCTGCAGTGTGGTCTTTTAAAAAAAAAAAAAAAACGCCGGGCGCGGTGGCTCAAGCCTGTAATCCCAGCACTTTGGGAGGCCGAGGTGGGTGGATCACGAGGTCGAGAGATCGAGACCATCCTGGTCAACATGGTGAAACCCCGTCTCTACTAAAAATACAAAAAACTAGCTGGTCGTGGTGGCGCGTGCCTGTAATCCCAGCTACTCAGGAGGCTGAGGCAGGAGAATTGCCTGAGCCCAGGAGTCGGAGGTTGCGGTGAGCCGAGATCGCGCCATTGCACTCCAGCCTGGGTAACAAGAGCGAAACTCCGTCTCAAAAAAAAAAAAAAAAAAAAAAAAAAAAAGCCGCGCGTGGTGGCTCACGCCTGTAATCCCAGCACTTTGGGAGGCTGAGGTGGGCGGATCACCTGAGGTCAGGAGTTCGAGACCAGCCTGACCAATATGGCGAAACCCCATCTTTTAAAAAAAAGGCTGCCAAGGGCCAGAACTTGGGGTGAGAAAGACAAAAGTAAGGCGGCCTAGTGAGGCTGCCCTTTGGTCTGGAGGGTCGGAGGACACTGGAGCAGGATGCAGGGTCTGCCCAGCCCCCCTGGGGGTGTGGAACAGCTGCATCTCCTGGACTAGCTCTGGGGATAGGCAGGGAACAGAAAGGGCCTGGCTGGGAAGATGAGGCTGCAGAGGGTCCAGGAGGGTTGGAGGCTGCAGGATGGTGGCTGGCCCGGCCCAGCTTCGACATTTAGGGTGGAGGGCAGATAAGAGCCCATGTCCCAGGAGGGAGGCCTGGTGGGGTCCAGAAATGGCACGAGGCTGAGGCCCAGGGCAGGTACCAAGCCCACGAAGTAGGGGGCCGCCCTCTCTTGCAGCAGCCTTCCCACCATGCCCTCCCTGTAAGGGAGCCAGGCCTGCACCCCTCTGGCAGGAAGTATGTGCAGGGAGAGACAGGCATCGCCTAACGAGGAACTAAAGTCCCCAACAGTAGATTTCAGGTCATAGACCAGGACAAGAGAGAAGGCAAGCCATCAGGCCAAACCAAGACAGCATTTGTGGTCCCCAGGGGCAGGGAAGAGCCCGATTAGAAGTGCCAGGCCCCGCCCGCGCCCTCTCCGGGGCGAGAGGAAGCCCGCACTGGTACTGCCAACCCCTAGAGAGGACCCGAGACTGCTGGAAACCAACGTTTTATTGCGCACTCCCGCTCCTCAGAATCGACTCCAGTGGATTCTGGGCACTGCGGGACACAGGGGTGTGACCGGCACTCCCCCTGCTGCCTGCCTGCGGGCAGGGGCAGGAGTGAATGGCTTTTCCTGGGCACAGGCCGTAGTTAACCGGTAACAAGCTTGGAGCCACAGGAATTCATCTCTTAAAAAACTGGAGGAAAAAAACCTGAGTATAAAACCTCAGCAGTGTTCCAGCACTATCTCAGAGTTTAAATATAAAAAGGGATCACAAGAAAACGGTTAAAAAGACAACACCAGCAGGCCCCCACCTCCAGGGCAGTGGTCGCAGGGGCGGGGCCAGCCCCGCCCTGAGCCATGGACGCCTCACTTGAGCAGCAGGCGCAGACCCCCGCTGAACATCGCCAGCAGCAGCGCCAGGAGCGCCAGCAGCACGGCCTGTTTGCCGGACACCTGCGGGGGCAAAGCCGAAGAGTCAGGGCAGAGTGCCAAGGGGAAGCCCAAGGAGGTGGGGACTGGGAAGGAGCCGGAGGGGTCCGGAGAAGGAGTTCAGGAGATGGGGAAAGTGGTTCTGAGGATATCGCCCTAAAGGCCAGGGTGGCCTGGGGCTGCCAGTCTGCGGGACACAGGTGGACACAGGTGGGGGCAGTGGGCAGCGGGCAGCATGGGACCAGGCTGCTAGGAAAGCTGCCCAGGGAGGCACCTGCTCAGGCCAGGAGTCGGTGAAGGCGCTCGGGGCAGTGACAGGAGCACAGGGGCCTGCAGCGCCTGAGGGGGGCTCTGACAGCCCTCTCTGGCCACAGCGCCAGGCAGGCACAGGAATCTCAGGGCTCTCACCCAGGACCCAGAGCTCAGGGATCTCCAGAGCCTCACTATGTCCTCCTGGAAGTCAGCGAAAACATCCACGACACCGCTAAGAACATCCCTGATGTCGGTCCGGTCAAGGATGAAAGCGAGACCCGGGCTACAGACAGACGGGATTGGGGGCAATGCCGTTACCACAGCCAACAGGTAACAACAGCCTGTACTTAACATGACATCACAGATGTAGGGAGCAGGGGCCTGCGCCCTCCACCCCACAGCCACCGGGGCCCTTTCCCCGGGTGCTCCCAGCCACGGGGGCCGCTCGGCATGGGCTGTTGGTGGTCACATTCATTCCGATTTCCTGCTTCCTCCCCCAGCTGCCTGCCAGCCCACTGGCCCTGTCTTCCAGAGCTGGCCACATGGAAAATAAAGCCCCATTCTACAGAGCCCTGGCAAGTCGCTACCCACCGTTCTACCCACCCCCCGCCCCAGACCAGCTGAGAGCCCCGGCCCCCCAGGGTCTAGGATGCCAGCTCCTGTAGCAGCTCCTTTTAAGATCATGGCGGAAATGGACCATCATGGCTTGATAAGAAGGTGAGAGTGAAAAGGGCCTTGGGCTCTGCTTTATCTGTTGCCCGGGAATGCCAGGGCCAAGTGGCCACAGGGGCCAGGGCCAGGAGCTGGGGGCTCCCAAGGGAGGCGCAGGCAGCAGCAAAGGATTTCAGTACAGCCTCAGAGTGTCAGGGGCACGTCCCCACCAGGACTTCCTCGGTGCCCTGTGCTGCGTCCAGGGCATCCACCCACCACCCAGAGGCTCCTCAGGTGTAGAGGCCCCGGCAGAGCACAGGCCGGTTACCTGTACGTGGCCACCTCGTAGAGCTGGGCCAGCCTCCGGGCCCTGAGGCTCACATCCATCTGGTCCGCGATGCAGGCCAGCTGCAGGGCCAGTGCGTCACTGCGGGGAACACACACAGGAGTCGGGCGTGGCCGTGCCGCGGAGGCCAAACGCACCTGGACCCACCCAGCCAGTGGACTGTGTGCGGCTAAGAGTGGCCCGGAGGGTGAGAGATGGTATCAGATTCGGGGCAGGTGGCGGGTGGGCCTCCCTGCCTCCCTCCTCCAGCTCCCACTTGGCTTCAGAGACACCCTCGAGGTCCCATGGGACCCAGACACCAGAGGCGCAAACCATTTCAAATGATCCCTGCTGGGCTGGCCAGAGACAGCAGGGAGCAGCCTGAGTGGGTGCCTGTCCCAGGTCGTCTTGTGCCCCACGTCTGCCCACTAGCATAGCGGGCGGAGGGCTGGTGGTACAGGCTGAGCCCCACCTGGGCGGGGAGCGGGGAGGGCACTGGTGCCTGGGGCGACCGACTGAACAGGTGCGTCTCCCAAAGCAGCCCGCCTGAACACCCAGGGATGACCTAACATGCAGAACTCGGGGGTCTGCGAGCTTCCCTGAAGCATCCTGGGGCAGGCCCACCTGCAGGCTTTGGCGGAAACAGTGGAACAGGTGAACAGGCAGGTCTGGGGAGCGCCGTGCCCCCCACAGTGGCTGCGCTGGCTTCCCACATGGGTTGCAGCTTACCTTCCTTTGTGGGAGGTGAGGCTATGTAAGACCTGTGTCCCGGTTCCCAATCTTGAAACCAGCCCTGCTGGCACCACCCCTCCCAGAATGGGGGCACACACCTACGCCTCACCACATCCGCTCCCACACAAAGACTGAAACACAGCCGGGCGCAGTCGCTCATGCCTGTCAGCCCACAGGAGGCTGAGGCAGGTGGACTGAGACCAGCCTGGCCAACATGGTCAAACCCCGTCTCTACTAAAAATACAAACATTAGCAGGGTGTGGTGTGTGCCTATAGTCCCAGCTACTCAGGAGGCTGAGGCAGGAGAATCGCTTGAACCCAGCCTCAGGTGATCTGTCCGCCTCGGCCTCCCAAAGTGCCGGGATTACAGGTGCAAGCCACTGAGCCTGGCCCAAATTCTTTCTTGCTTTATCTAACTCTCTCTTGATCTGAATCTAGTCTCCCTTCTGCCAACAGAGCCACCTTCAAGAGGCCTTGATGTGCTCAGCAGGTTGCTAAGGGCCTGTCAAGCAAGGCCCCAGCACTGTACCATTTGGACAGCCAGTGGCCCTGGGTCCGTTTTGGGACTGTGAACATGCTGCCTGTCCATGGATCTGAGCTGGTGTCAGGGATTAGGGCAGCAGAGTGAAGCTGCTCCCAGGGCAGAAGCCTCCATGCCCACATCTGGGGCATGGTCCTCGGGGGCCCTGCCTGGGAGGCATCTGCAGACACCCTCATCCAGCCCACCCCTGAAGTCAATACCAGGCATGGGGCAGAGCTGGGGCCCCTTCTGTTTCTTCACCTGTTCTCCATGCATTCCAAAGGGTCCTCCACAGAGTCCGGGTCCTCTTCAGGGTCACTCCCACCGACAACCTCCATGGTCAGGGGATCCACAAACTGCTCACACAGGAGAGTCTCCATCAAGATGTCGCTGGAGAGGGGTCTGTCTTCAGACATTTCTCCTCTGGGGCAGAAAGAGTACAACTGGACCCCTCAGAACTGAGCCATCTGGGGCTCGCTCAGAGGATCACCCCCAGGATTGCATAGCCCTACTCGCCCTCTCTCTTGATCGGCTAACACCATCAACATCTCCCAACCCCAGCTCCCACAGGCATGAATCCTGCTACACACTGGCTGTGTGCCTCTGGGCAAGTCACCCAGCATCTTGGGACTTGATTCATAAGGGCCCTTGCTTGCTTTTTTTTTTTTCTTTTTTTGAGACGGACTCTTGCTCTGTCACCAGGCTGGAGTGCAGTGGCACCATCTCAGCTCACTGCAATCTCTGCCTCCTGGGTTCAAGCAATTCTTCTGCCTCAGCCTCCTGAGTAGCTTGGACTACAGACGCACGCCACTACGCCCAGCTAATTTTTTGTATTTTTAGTAGATACGGAGTTTCGCCATGTTGGCCAGGCTGGTCTGCACCACTTAGCAGAAGACCACACCTGTTCTTTGGTGTCTGGTTTCTCTTAAGGCAGAGAGAAGCAAAATGAGAAAGACATTATCAGAATCCTCTCCCAGAGAGACCATTGCTAATTCTTCTAGTGTTTTTCCTAAACTCGTGTGGGCATCACACATCCGTCTTCAGCTCCCAAACCCCCCTTTTCTTCAGGGAGGCCCTGCATCCTCATCCATGTAAGCCAGCCATGGTCCTCCTCTCCCCCGGGTTCCCAGCATCTCTTGTACCTGGTGACAGCCATGTCACCCAGTTCTGGTCAATGAGGGCTCAGAGGCTGGAGGCAGGGATTGGATGCCAGGGAGCAGACAGATAGCCAGGGCAGCTCAGCTCTCCTTCCTCCAAAGATGGAGCTGCAGCAGGTGGCCAAGAATAGCAGAGACGGGAGGCAGAGAGTGCCCAGGCCTGAGGGTGTCGCTGAGCTGCCTCCTCCAACTGTGTTTAGGAATAACGAACCCAAATCCGTCCTCATCACCATTCACTGAGTTTTCTGTTCTTTGACGCCAAAGGCCTTCCTAACTATGATCACTGCAGATTCTCACATTGGTAAGTGTTTCATCACGATGGCAGAAGGGACCTGATTCACCATAATGTACCCCACTGGGTACCAAATAGCCTTAGATCTCGGAAATGATGATGATGACTGTAGGATGAGAATCTAACAGCCTAGTTGAAAGCTTAGCTCTGGCAGTTAGCAGTGTGTCTGTTTCTTCATCTGTGAAATGGGTTTGATGGTCTGAGTACCCCTCCCTGGGCTATTGGGAAGACGAAACAAGGAACTCCTTAGTAGTCTCGAACAGAGCCTGGGACACTGGGAGGAAGCTGGCACTAACCATTACCACCTTTGTGCTTCAACTCGTTATTTTCTTACTATAATGCCCTGGGTGTTATGAATTTTTAATTCCCCATGCCTACTGATAGAACGCTCCGCCCTCCCACTGTCTCACTGAACTGTTTGCTCAAACAGGACGCTGAGGCCTGGAGAACTTCATGATTGAGCCAGGAAGGGTCCGAGCTCCAAATCTCCCTATTCCCCAAGCCAGGGGGGACTGATGGCAGGCAGGACCCACAGGCCTAGGCACCAGTGTGTGCTCATAACTCGCTTTCAGCATTAAAAGGAGAGGGTGGGCCGGGCGTGGTCATGCCTGTAATCCCAGCACTGGGAGACTGAGGCGGGTCGATCACCTGAGGTCGGGAGTTCAAGACCTGCCTGACCAACATGGAGAGACTCCGTCTCTACTGAAAATACAAAATTAAGATGGGCTCAGTAGCTCACGCCTGTACTGACGCCTGTACTGGGAGGCCAAGGTGGGCAGATCACAAGGTCAAGAGTTTGGGATTATTCTGGCCAACATGGTGAAACCCCATCTCTACTAAAAATACAAAAAATTAGCTGGGCATGGTGGCACGTGCCTGTAACCCCAGCTGCTCTGGAGGCTGGGGCAGGAGAATCACTTGAACCCAGAAGGAGGAGGTTGCAGTGAGCGGAGATCGTGCCATTGCATTTGTCTTGGCGACAGAGCAAGACTCTGCCAAGAAAAAAAAAATACAAAATTAGCCGAGTGTGACGGTACCTGCCTCTAATCCCAGCTACTCAGAAGGCTGAGGCAGGAAAATCGCTTAAACCCGGGAGGCGGAGGTTGTGGTGAGCTGATGCCATTGCACTCCCGTTCTGGGCACAACAGCGAAACTCTGACTCAAAAGCCACTGGTCACGGTGCACGCCCATAGTCCCAGCTACTTGGGAGACCGAGGCAAGAGAATCGCTTGAACCCGGGAAGCGGAGGCTACAGTGAACTCTGATCATGTGACTGCATTCCAGGCTGGGTGACACAGCTAGATTCTGACTCAAAAGGAAAAAAAATTTCACAGGTGAGATGTTTTAACGTTGTATAGATCGCCAGCAGTATGTGTGTTAAGGTGGCATTAAAAAGAACTTCGTCCAGAACCGCTGGCTGCCGTGGGTGTCTATGCAAAGAGCCATTTCCCTAAGAAAGCAGCTCCAGCCCTGGTTTGCTTTTCCTGCAGTCCCTACCCCTGCAGAAAAGGCTTTCTCTCCTGCTCTGTGCAAACCAGACTACCTCCATGCCCTGCAAAGTGAGAGCCACAGTGGAAACTCGGCTCGCTGTGAGCTGAGCTGTGAGCTGCACTGAGCCTCACCTCGATCCCCTGTCCCAGCATCCCCCAAAGCACTTTGGGAGGTGGGGGTGGGTGGATCACCTGAGGTCAGGAGTTTGAGACCAGCCTGGCCAACGTGGTGAAACCCCGTCTCCACTAAAAATACAAAATCAGCCAGGCATGGTGGTGCTCGCCTGTAGTCCCAACTACTTGAGGGACTGAGGCAGGAGAATTGCTTGAACCTGGGAGGCGGAGGTTGCCGTGAGCCCAGATCGCACCACTGCACTCCAGCCTGTGCCATAGGGCAAAACTGCCTAAGAGGAAAAAAAAATTAGAACGGCAGTACCAGTAACACCTATTGCCCAAGACCGTTGTGAGGATGGCATGACCCGACACGAGTAAACCACTGAGAGAGGAGCTGCTGCTCTTCACAGCTTCTGCTTCTCAGCCCAAGGCCTGGCAGAGCAGACATACATTTGTTGACTGAAGACATGAAGGCAATCTATTCCCAGAGGACCCACCATGAGGTCACTGCAGCTGCCAATCCAGGAAACTGGACTGGTTTTATTATCTTTTTTTTTTTTCCAGCAAACTTGCAAATGAGTAGGTAAAACCCTTCTTTGGTGAAGGAAGACACACCTAGCCATGTGTCCCCACCCAGGCTGCACCCCACACGTGGTCTCCTACACACTCACCAGTGGAAACACCAGCAGCCAGTCGGAAGCCCTGTTTTACCCTAAGAGGTAAGGATGCAAATCTAATGTGTGCAGAAGACGCGCCACACCCACAGCCTTGAGGGCACCTGCAGGGCTCAGAGTGGGCAGGAGGGCAGGTTCTGAACGGAGCAGCCTGCATTGGGCTCATCTGAGAGATGAGGAAATGCCAGCTACCTCCCAGGCCCCTCCCAGGTCGTTCAAAAGCCCAAGCAAGTAGAGATGCGTCCTGCACAGCCCTCAGCAGGTGTTCGAGGGCCGAGGCTGCAGGATCGTGGGGGTGGGGTTGAGCTCCTGGTAGGGACCCTCAGACTCTCAGGATCTCACTCAGTCCACAGTCTAAGCAAGTAGGATCTGACACTTCCCTGTTTCACAGGCAGGCAAACCAAGAGGGCCAGGGGCCACTCTGGGGTCACAGGGTCGGTCAGCTGAGTCGGCCCAGCTAGAAAACCCTAGTCTAGGCTGGGCACAGTGGCTCCTGCCTGTAATACCAGCACTTTGGGAGGTGGAGGCAGGTGGATCACCTTTGGTCAGGAGTTTGAGACCAGCCTGACCAACATGGAGAAACCCTGTCTCTACTAAAAATACAAAAAATTAGCTGGGCATGGTGGTGCATGCCTGTAATCCCAGCTACATGATAGACTGAGGCAGGATAATCACCTGAACCAGGGAGGTGGAGGCTGGGCACAGTGAGCCAAGATGACGCCATTGCACTCTGTCTCAAAAAAAAAACCCTGGTCCAGTCTTCTGTATTGGCACAGCCTGGTCCTGGACCATGAGGGTGGGGTGATGCAAAGCTCTTGGAGCAGGCTCAACTCGGGTGCAACCCAGCAGGAAATGCCCTGACCTTGCAGCCAGGCTGGACCCCAGTTCCACTCTCTGCTTGGCCCTTGCTGTGTGAGGCAGATCTATCTGCTAACCTCTGAGCCTTGCAGAAACAGCCAGGCCTCCGGGGCTGCTGAGAGGATGAAAAGACACACTATTGTCCCTTTTCTGCCACCTCGCAGGGGCTCCATAAAAGCTGGTTAACTCAATCAACAGTCTCAGAAGAGATGAGAGGCCGCTCACAGCTCAGGATGCCACAGTGATGCACAAGCTGCTGCCTTTCTGGAGAAGATTCAGCACCCATAGGTCACGTATGCACATGACCTTGGATTCTCGGGATGCATCCCACACACCCCTGCAGGGACCTGGGAGCCCTCAAAACATGAAGCCACGGATCTGCAGGTGCTGCTGCTCTGTCCTCACGGCCCTTTTAGGAGACAGGCAGGCAGGTGGCACAAGCCCAGTTTAAGACCAGCCTGAGCAAGATGGCGATACCCCCTACCTAAAAATAAACTGCAGCCTCCACCTCTGAAGGTGAAGGGCGGAATGGACAAGCAGGTAGGTATTCAAAGTATGGTTTCGACTGATGAGTTGCTCTACCATACAATGAAAAACCCTCAATCAAATCAAATCTAAGTCGGGGGACATCCATGCAGTAAGAACCCTGACGCAGTGACTGTAATCCCAGCACTTTGTGAGACTGAGGCTGGCAGATCATGAGGTCAGGAGATCAAGACTATCCCGGCTAGCAGTGAAACCCCATCTCTACTAAAAATACAAAAGCTAACGGGGCAAGGTGGCACATGCCTGTAATCCCAGCTACTCGGGAGGCTGAGGCAGGAGAACTTGCTTGAACCCAGGAGGCAGAGGTTGCAGTGAGCCGAGATTGCGCCACTGCACTCCAGCCTGAGCAATGAGTGAGACCTTGTATCAAAAAATTTGGGGAGAGAGATTCTATTCTATGCCCTTTCCTGTTTAAACACCTATAAAAATAATCCTAACTGTAGAGGAAGTGTAACAGACTAATAATTCTCTTGACTGATTTTGAAATGACCCCAAAAAGGGGAAGCCTGTGCCTTTTTATCACCATGAGGGAAGCAGAGGATGCCAAGCAACCACCTGGGTCTACAGTTGTTGAAAAGGACATGTTTAAAACAAGTTCTGGGCTGGGTGCAGCTGCTCCCTCCTGTAATCCCAGCACTCTGGGGGGCCAAGGCAGATTTCAAGACAAGCCTAGCCAGTATGGTGAAACAATGTTTCTACTACAAATACAAAAATTAGCTGGGCGTGATGATAGGCACCTGTAGTCCCAGCTACTCAGGAGGCTGAGGCAGGAGAATCACTTGAATCTGGAGAGGCAGAAGTTGCAGTGAGCCAGATTGCGCCACTGTACTCCAACCTGGGTGACAGAGCAAGACTGACTAAATAATAAAAATAGGCAGGGCTTGGTGGCTCACACCTGTAATCCCAGCACTTGGAGAGGCTGAGGTGGGCAGATCACGAGGTCAGGAGGTCGAGACTAGCCTGGCCAACATAGTGAAAGCCCGTCTCTACTAAAACAAAAATTAGCTGGGTGTGGTGGCATCTGTAATCCCAGCTACTTGGGAGGCTGAGGCAGAATTGCTTGAACCCTGGAGGCGGAGGTTGCAGTGAGCAGAGATTCCGCCACTGCTCTCCATCCTAGAGGCAGAGTGAGACTCCGTCTCATAAATAAATAAATGAAGAAATAAATAAAGATAAAACAAGTTCTGAAATGCTGAGGCTGAGGAATATGAAGACTGCTCACCTCGGCCCCAACCCGGAGGCTTGAGAGGCAGGCACTGCCCCTGGGCTCCGCTTCCGTGTTTGGGTCTCCCCTATGAACTTGCACCCCAGCCCTTTCACACCCCAGCTCCCCCTTTCATCCCCCCTCTGCTGCCAACATCCCCCAGGCAGGGACGCGGAACTCACTCCTTCCTTGGGGCTTGGTCACTTCCTCCCTGCCCTCCCCAGGACAGAATTAGCTGCTCCTCATCTGTGTTGGTCCAGCACTTTGGGTAAACAGAGCTGGATTGGGCACTCAGCTCATCAAGGTCTTATTAAATGTTTACTTGTCTGTCTGCCCCAGCCAGTCGGGAACCTGCATGGCCCCAGCACAGAGCAGGGACCCAGTGAAAGCAGGTGAGAGAATGCAGACAGCCAGACGAAGTCCCGGGAGTTCACTGCAAAATCCTGATGATGAGGGAAGGGGTTAATCAGCTGCTGGGCTCAGGATGGCAAGCTGTTCCTGGCCGGGAGACCCTGGACTGGACAGCGTCACCTGTTGTTAAAGGGCAGGAGGGAGCGCCCCATGGGAGCTGATGCAGCCCTGCAAAGGAGGTGAAGTTCTTCATGCAGGGCATACAGGAGAGGTAGCTCTCATTCTGAGTCTGGAGCTCTGCAAAGGTGCACACCCATGCTAACCACCTCCTGTTCCAAACTCAGATTTATCTTCATGATGCACCAGGGATTTCAGCTCTTCATGGAATCAGGCAGCTCTCTTTGCCCTCACATTAGAGGGAGCCTCTAATCTACAAGCTGCTGATACAATGTCATCTCTTGGCCGCACCTGTAATCTCAGCACTTTGGGAGGCTGAGGCGGGCAGAGACCAGCGTTGCCTACATGGCAAAACCCTATCTCTATTAAAAATACAAAAATTCAGCTGGGCACAGAGGCTCACACCTGTAATCCCAGCATTTTGGGAGGCTGAAGCGGGCGGAACACCTGAGGCTGGGAGTCAAGACCAGCCTGACCAACATGGAGAAACCCTGTCTCTACTAAAAATACAAAAATTAGCCGGGCGTGGTGGCGCATGCCGTAATCCCAGCTACTCGGAAGGCTGAGGCGGGAGAATCGCTTGAACCCAGGAAGTGGAGGTTGCAGCGAGTGGAGATCCCAGCGCTGCACTCCAGCCTGGTTGACAAGAGTGAGACACCATCTCAAAAAAAAAAAAAAAAAAAAAAAAAAAATTAGCCTGGCACGGTCACGCACACCTGCTCCTCAAGGGCTGAAGCAGGAGAATCACCTGGACCCAGGAGGCGGACGTTGCAGTGAGCCAAGATCACGCCACTGTACCCCAGCCTGGGCGACCGAGCAAGACTGTCTGTGGGGGGTGGGGAGGGGGAAGAATGCTTGATTTTAAATTTCCAAATTGACAGGGACCCTCACTCAAACAAGTAAGCTTCTCCCTTTGCTGCACGGGCGTCTCAGTCTGTGTAACTGGGTGCCAGGTTCTTTCCCACCCCCAGAAAAACAGGTTTGCTATGCAGTGCCTGGCAAGGCCCAGCACTGTTTTGTATTGTCATATCCTAATATTGACACTAGGAAAATCAGCTGCCCTCTGTGCCCGCCCCTCTCCTGGCTGCCTTGGGGCCAACAAGGAACTTGGGACCTCAGACTGATTTGCTCACATTCTGTCTCTCCCAGGGCCCGGCCCCAGCCAACCAGTGGCAGGACAGAGAGGGGCAAGGAAGCGGCCACCTATGTCCTGTTCAGATACACCGCTGGCTTCCTGGTGACCGCCAACGGTAAGACTCACGCCAAGACTTCCTCCACTCTGCTGACACTGTTCTGAGCACACAGAGTAGTCAGGCTCCCATGGGATCCACTAAGTCTGCAGCAAGGGAAGCAGAAAGCCATTAATTATCTACACATTTAATAGATCCACTAAAAACAGGATGCTTTCCAGGGAGAGGGGAAAATACCACCAGCAGCCGGGTCAGTTTCAAGCCTCACTGGCAAATCAAGCCCTTCCTCAATTGCCTCCTCTCGTCTGTTTGAGATGGGACCAGAAGTGGGGAAAAAAGTACACCGTTAGTAGTAGTCTCTGGTTTCTTTGCAGCTATGACTCCAGATGTCATTTTTTTTTTTTTTTTTTTTTTTTTTTTTGAGACGGAGTTTTGCTCTTGTTACCCAGGCTGGAGTGCAATGGCACGATCTCGGCTCACCGCAACCTCCGCCTCCTGGGTTCAGGCAATTCTCCTGCCTCAGCCTCCTAAGTAGCTGGGATTACAGGCACGCGCCACCATGCCCAGCTAATTTTTTGTATTTTTAGTAGAGATGGGGTTTCACCGTGTTGACCAGGATGGTCTCGATCTCTTGACCTCGTGATCCACCCGCCTCGGCCTCCCAAAGTGCTGGGATTACAGGCTTGAGCCACCGCGCCCGGTGTCACTTTTCTTTTTAGATGGAATCTCATGTTAGCCCAGGCTGGAATGCAGTGGCACCATCTCTGCTCACTGTAATCTCCGCCTCTCAGATTCAACTAATCCTCCCAAAGTGCTGGGATCATAGGCATGAATCAAATGTGCAAGAATCTCAAACTATCTTAACATCCTAACACAATTTTAAAGGGCAGCGTGTGGAGACTCAGGCCTATAATGCCAGAAACTGGGACTGCAGGCATGCACACCACAAGGCCCAACTCATCTTTTTTTTTTTTTGGTAGAAACTGGGTTTCACCATGTTGGCCGGTCTAATCTCAAACTCCTGACCTCAAGTGATCCTCCCAAAGTGCTGGGACTATAGGCGTGAGCCACCCCACCGAGCCCCAGATGTCATTTTAATTTATGCAGCCCCTCTATCTAGCCATAGAGTACCCAAGCTGTAACAGACACCAGGGATCTACCATTTGATGCTTTTTTGAGATGGAGTCTTGCTCTGTTGCCCAGGCTTGAGTGCAGTGGTGTGATCTAGTTGCAACCTCCCAGGTTCAAGCAGTTCTCCTGCCTCAGCCTCCCAATTAGCTGGGATTACAGGCTCACACAACCACCACCCCAGCTAAATTTTGTATTTTTACACTTTGGGAGGCCGAGGCGGGTGGATCACGAGGTCAAGAGATCGAGACCATCCTGATCAACACGGTGAAACCCCGTCTCTACTAAAAATATAAAAAATTAGCTGGGCATGGTGGCATGTGCCTGTAATCCCAGCTACTCAGGAGGCTGAGGCAGGAGAATTGCCTGAGCCCAGGAGGCGGAGGTTGCGGTGAGCCGAGATCGCGCCATTGCACTCCAGCCTGGGTAACAAGAGCGAAACTCCGTCTCAAAAAAAAAAAAAAAAAAAAGGGGAAAAAATTTTGTATTTTTAGTAGAGACTGCATTTTGCCATGTTGGCCAGGCTATCCCAGAACTCCTGACCTCAGGTGATCCATCTCCCTTGGCCTCCCAAAGTGCTAGGATTCCAGACCTGAGTCACCGCACCCAATCTGATGCTCCATTTTTTGAGACAGGGTCTTACTGGCGTGATCATGGCTCACTACCGCTTCAACCTGAAGCTCAGATAATCCTCCAGACTCAGCCTCCTGGGTAGCTGGGACCAGAGGTACATACCACCGTGCCCAGCTAATTTTTTGTGTTTCTAGCAGACACATGGCTTCACCAGTCTGGTTTCAAACTCCTGAGCTCAAGCCATCCTCCAGCCTCAGCCTCCCACAGTGCTAGGATTACAGGCTTGAGTCAAATGTGTCAGAATCTGTCTTAATGTCCTTAAGACAACAAAAAAAGGTCCAGGCATGAAGGCTCACGCCTGTAATCCCAGAGTAGCTGGGACTACAGGCATGCGCCACAACACCAGGTTAATTTTTTGTATTTTTAGTAGAAACGGGGTTTCACCATGTTAGCCAGGCTGGTCTAGAACTCCTAACCTCAGGTGATCCACTTGCCTTGGCCTCCCAAAGTGATGGGATTACAGGTGTAAGCCACCATGGCCAGCCAGAAGTATTTAAACACCCAAACTGTGCCACTTCCTGAGAACTTATTCCAATGGTATCCCCTAAGTAGAACTCGGGGTAACTCCAGGGAGGCACTAACTTGAATGGGGCTTTCTTCACCCCAGCCAGAAACCTCCGGGAGACGTTTCTGCAGAATGGACAGAACAACTGAGTTTTGGAGAGATGGAGTAGCCCTTCCGAGGCCACAGGGCTCTCGGACAGTGGAAAAAGGTTTTGGCTTGGCTTCCCATAAAGGGCCCTTGGCTTCCAGCTGGGCAACTCTGGCGTTTCTGTGCCTCCTGGGACTGAAGTGTTTCTCCACCTGGAAAAAGGCCTCCTGCTCCCAGGGGGAGACAGAATTTAAGACCTTCCCGAAGCCATTGCCCACCCTAATATGGGAAGATGAGGCTGACCCCAACCCTCCCTGGCCACAGTAAACACCTCATTAAAACAGCAACAAAAATGTCACAACATTAAGAGCAGCAGCAGCAGCAGCGGCGGAAACGTCCTGCCCCTCGAGTGGCTCCTTGTAGCAAAACTGAGAACAATTACCGGCTTGAAAGTGACGGCGTTTAGGAGGCCAGGGCCCGGACGACAACCAGCCCCAAACCCCCAATCCTCGTCCCGACCGCGCCCCGCAGGCCGGAACCCGTCTCGGCTCACCCGCAGGGGCGCACCCCAGTTTACCAGCGAGGCCCCACGCCCCAGCCGGGCTCTCGCCCCCGCCCCGCCCGGGGCGCACCTGCGCAGGGCGCGTGGGGCAGGTGCGGGCGAGCGGCTGCGCGCCGCTCCGCCTGCAGGTTCCTGTTCCGGACTTTCTGGGCGTCCCGTTACGGAGCCTTCCCTCGGCCCGTCCTCAGGTGCGCAGTGCCCCGGGGAGCCCGGTCCCGGCGGGGACAGGTGCCCGACGCCATCTTCCCTCTTTCAAGGGCTCCGGGGCTGTGCGACCGCGACCGTGGGCTGGCGGCGCCGCGCTGCGCTCTGGCCGGGTCCGCACGACGACGGAGGTCGGAGCCCGGTCCCCGAAAGCGGCGCTGGAGGACGGTGAGGGGGACGACGGGGCGTCCGGCCTTCGGGGCGAGACGCAGAAGGACCGCCCGTCGCACAGACGCGGAGACTGAGGGCCGCGCCGGGCACCATCGCCGGGACGTGTCGCCCCGAAGGGACTCGCCCGCGACTTGCCGGGGCGGAAAGACCTGGCGCGGGTCCCCACGTTTTCAGGCGCGCGGCACCCGGGGCCGCGGCCTCGGCGCTCATCGCGGGGCTGGAGCCGGGGAGGGGGGCGGCGGGGGTTCGGGGGCGCTCACCTGGCGGCGGCGACGGTGGCGGCGTCGTGTCTGCGGCCCGGGGCCCCGCGCGGGACCTAATATGCCCGGCGCCCCGCCCCGCCGCGCCCGGACCCACCCGGTCCCGCCCCGCCCCGCCCCGCCCCGCCCCGCCCGGGGGGCGCGGAGTCCCGGGCTGGGGTCCGAGCGGCGCTGGCCCCAGAACCGCCCCCCGCGCGGCCCCGGCTCGCTGACGGCCTCTCTGCCCGCCCCGTTCCGCAAACTCGTTTTCCCTCGTGCGCGCCGTTTGTCCTGCGCCCGGGTTTCCGGGAATACTCGGGATCGATCCGTGGCCGGAATCTGGGTACCCCAATCCCGGGGACGGCTCCCCGCGAGCTCAGAGTCCTCCTGAGGGCGCGGTGCCGTTTTTCACGGTCGTTTTACCCGCGTGGGAACCAAGGCTCCGGAGGACGAAGTGACTTGCGGAGTGACCGCGCGGAGCCGGCGCTGGGACACGGGTGTCCTTAGGCCGCTCCGGGACTCGGGTGTTGGCTTTGGTTTCGCTTTGAGACGGACTCACAGTCACCCACTCTGAGCGCAATGGCGCGACCTCCGCCTCCCGGGTTCCAGCGATTCTCCTGCCTCGCGCCACCACGCCCGGCTGACGGTTCGTGTTCAGTGGAGATGGGGTTCCACCACGTCAGCCAGGATGGCCTCGATCTCCTGACCTGCTGATCGGCCCGCCCCCGCCTCCCGAACGCTGGGGTTGCAGGCGTGAGCCACCGCGCCGGGCCAAGGGATTGGAGTGTTTTTAAGCCTATTTCACGAACGCGAAAACCGAGGTTCACACTTGGGTTAGCAGCAGCAGACCCCGGGGGGCTGACGTCCCCCCCACTCAGTCTTCCAGCTGCACCCACCGCACACCCACCGCCTTCCCGCTCCGGTCGCGGGCTCCCGGACAGCAAGAGCGGGGCGGGACCGGGAGAGAACTGGGGGCCGGGGGCCCACGGGCAGACCTGCTGTGACGGACCCCAGAGACCCACCCCAGGAGAGAGAATCAGAAAGGTTCCGGCGGGGTGGGGGCGGCAGCCTGCCCCGCGGGGATGGGTAGTGCCTAACTGCGCCCCGGGGCGTATTGGGGGTGGGGGAACAAGAGCGCTCCTGCAATTACAAAGTAACAATTGTCCTGATCACAACAAAGCTTGTTTACGTGTGTCCTGAGCCTCTTAGAGATCAGGGGAGGGGCAGGGGCCGGGGCTCCCCTCCGCGGACCGTCTCCTCCCCCGCCATCCCCTCCCCCAGCTCTGTCGCTGCTACCTGTTGGGCACCCTCACTGCTCTTCCTACCTCTGGGGTCATTACTTCCCCCTCAATGTTCTCATCTGTGAAATGCACAACAGCACCTACCAAGAGCTGGGCTTTGGGGAGGAACAGAGGAGGTAAAGCTCTGTCCTTTTCGGGAGGGTCCCTCCCTTCTGCTGGGCCTTGGACCTTCTCTGCTTTTGTAGTCTTTTCTTCTAGGGCCTCCAAACTACATCAACTCCAAGCCGTGCAAAGCAGCTCACCCTGACTGTGGCTAACAGCCACCGGGTGCCTTACAGTCAGGCGTGGGAAACCCTTCATTATGGGTCTTCCCTCTGAGTGCATTTTGCAGATGAGGAAATTGAGACTCAGGGAGGTAAAGCAATGACATTGCATCTCCTGAGTCCAAAAGACCTTGTGTGTGGGGGATGTTTGCAGAGGGGTCTTGAGGCTGGAGGCACAGGGCCAGGCATGTAGTAGACGTTCAGTAAACAGCAGAACAGATGGAGAATGAAGGACAGTTTGGGGACACATTGCATGATTAAAGGGCGAAGTGGGTGAAAATACAGTACTTATTTACTTTGCAAAATCACAAGATAATATGCTGATCAAAAGAAGGAAGAGATGGCTGGGCGTGGTGGCTGTAACCCCAGCACTTTGAAAGGCCAAGGCGGGTGGATCAGCCCGGCCAACAAGGCAAAACCCTGTCTCTGCTAAAAATAAAAAAAATAGCCAGTGTGATGGCGCTCTGTAATCCCAGCTGTTTGAGAATTGCTTGAACCTGGGAAGCGGAGGTTGCCGTGAGCCAAGATTGCACCGTTGCACTCCAGCCTGGGCAATGAGAGCAAAACTCTCATCTCAAAAAAAAAAAAAAAAAAGAATCTTACATTCTTTAAAAATCCATGTATGAAAGTCTGGAAAGAAATATAGCACAGGAAAAAGGAAATAGTAGTCATCTTTGGGCATGATGAAGTTCATGACCCGGCACAACTAACCGATGACCCCAGAGGTGAGATCGGCGGCTCCTTCTCCAGGGTGGAGAGGGGTATCAGCTGGGAAGGGGCATGATGGAACTTTCTGGGGTGATGCAGATGGTGGTTGCACAGGTGCATATGTATGCAAACAGCTGAATGCTTAAGATCAGTGCACTCTTCGGTATGTCAAACTCCGTTTATGTTTTGTTCTGTTTTTGAGATGGAGTCACCCAGGCTCCAGTGCAGTGGTGTGATCTCGGCTCACTGCAATCTCTACCGCCTGTGTTCAAAAGATTCTCCTCCTGCTCCATCTTCCCGGGTAGCTTGGACTACAGGCATGCACAACCTCACCCGAATAATTTTTTGTATTTTTGGTAGAGACGGGATTTCACCGTGTTGGCCAGGCTGGTCTTGAACTCCTGACCTTGGCTTCCCAAAGTGCTGGGATTACTGGCGTGAGCCACCTGGAGCGGTCCTGCTTGTTTGTTTTTTTGAGGCAGCTTCTCACTCTGTCATTCAAGTTGGAGTGCAATGCAATACGTAGATCTCGGCTCACTGCAACCTTTGCCTCCCAGGCTCAAGTGATTCTCCTGCCTGAGCCTCCTGAGTAGCTGGGATTATAGGCATGCACCACCATGCCCAGCTAATTTTCGTGTTTTTAGTAGAGACGGGGTTTCACCATGTTGGCCAGGCTGGTCTGGAACTCCTGGGCTCCAGGGATCCACCCACCTGGGCCTCTCAAAGTGCCGGGATTACAGGTGTGAGCCGCCACACCCAGCTGTGGTTTTATTTTCTGCCTTGTGTTTTCGTGTATTTTCCGGATTTTCTAGATAGACATGAAAAAAACACTTTTTTTTTTTTTTTAGAAGAGGAAGAAAACTATATGTGGTCTTGTCTCGTGCCAGAGCTAAGCCACAGACAAATGCCTGCCTTCAAGTCAGTGGCAAGGCAGAGACAGGCAGAAAATGACTGTGACCTCAAGAGAGGGAAAACTAAGCTCCAGGCTCCCAGAAAGGACACACACATATCAGGGAAAGCTTCATGGAGGAGGAGATATTTGAGGGGAATTCATAGAGGGGACTGGATTTCAACCACAATAGAAAGGTGAACGTGGCCTAATTACCCTGTGGGTACTGGGGAGCTATGGAAGGACACTGAGCTGGAAAGGAACCAGAGGTGAAGGAATTGGAATCTAGCAGCCATATGGAGGGGTAGTGCAGGGAAAATTATGCCCATCGTCTCTGAGAGTGCTCCGGGCTCCTAAATTGATTGGAGTGCCCGGGCTGCCCCCCGCCCCACAGCTGGCCAGCAGCACGTCCATCACCTGGCATCCTGCGTATCCAGTCTGGACTCAGCTGCGGATCTGTGAGGCCCTCCGTGAGCAGAACTGTTGTGCAACCTCTGGAAACCTTTTTATTTTTGAGACAAATACCCAACTCAGAAGGACACACTGGCGGGACGTCAGACCCAATGCTGCCTGGTCGCTCCTCTCCGAGGCGGGCGGTGGGGCTGCGGCTTCCCTCCTTCCCCGACTTGTTCACTTCCTTCCACAGCACCTTCTGCTCTCTTACATATTTATTCACTTGTCCATTTATTATCTGATGCCCATCCCCCACTAGAGTCTAAACGAGACTCGTCTTGCACTGCTCCTCATATAGTATGTGCTCAGTAAATAGCTGGTTGGTTGGTTAGTTTGAGACAGTTTCGCTCTCGTTGCCCAGGCTGCCACCACACCTGGCTAATTGTTGTACTTTTAGTAGAAACGGGGTTTTGCCATGTTGGCCAAACAGGTCTTGAACTCCTGTCCTCAGGTGATCCGCCCACCTTGACATTCCAAAGTGCTGAGATTACCAGGTGTGAGCCACCGTGCCCGGCCAAATAGCCGTTAAAGAAGTGCATGAGTGCCGTGCATTAGAGCCGAAGAGACACGTCTGTTTTTGGGTGATTCCCTCCCTCTGTCCCTCTCTTCGTTCTTCTGCCCAGATAGACTTCCCCTGAACAATATTTAAGAACAGCTTTCACCGAGGCTTCACGGCTTCTCTCTCTTTAATTTTGTTTGTTTGTTTGTTTTGTTTTTTGAGACAGAGTCTTGCTCTGTCACCCAGGCTAGTGTGCAGTGGCGCAATCTCAGCTCACTGCAACCTCCGCCTCCCAGATTCAAGCGCCTCTCCTGCCTCAGCCTCCCGAGTAGCTGGGATCACAGGCGCCGCCACCACATCTGGCTAGTTTTTATATTTTTAGTTGAGACAGGGTTTCACCATGTTGGGCCAGGCTGGACTCAAACTCCTGATCTCAAGTGAGCCACCTGCCTCGGCCTCCCAAAGTGCTGGGATCACAGGCGTGAGCCGCCATGCCTGGCCTTCTCTCTCTCTTTAAGTGAAGAGGTAGGGGGAGGAGCTGCTCCATATGCAACCCAGGGAAGGGGTGGCGCATTATCACCTGTCTGCGGAGCTGTTCTTGGGGAGGTGGAATATTCACAAGAACCGTGGGGGTGTGTGTGCCTTGGAGTCCAGTGGTGCGGTGGTCTTGGTGGGGAGCTGAGCCTTCTGTGTGGTGGAGTTTCTGCTGGACAGGGGGTCCAGGGATGGCAGTCAGGGTCCCCCTGCCTGGAGCAGCTGCCTGCAGGTGTGGGCAGACTACACAGTTGGGACAGGGCTCTGTGACCTGTGCAGCCCTGAGAGCCCCAGGCTGTGTGATAGTTGACAGTGCTCGGCTTCTCTGAGCTTTCCCAGGGGGCTGCGGGGTGACCGAGATCAAGTGAGTGGACCAATAGCCACAGCCTGTGTGGGGGGTATTCAGTGGGGGCTGCTGGAGCTGGGAAATGGGGTGGAGTCACTGTGCAC